CAACTTTATTCTTCAATTTTTATCGAAAAACCAAGAATTATTACTGGTAAAAGGTGCCCGTAAATCAAATTTCTAGCGCTTGAATTTGCTAAAATCGTGTGCAGTCTTGACAAAGGCGTGTTTTTTCACGAGTTTGGTGTGAACCAGGGTAGAAGAAAAGTTCATTTTCAGCGGAAATTACAAGTGTCAAGATTTCAAATATAATTTAATCGATTCCCTTTATTTACTGCCACTGTGTCTATATATTTTTGTTTAGAACAAGACATATCTTTGTGTATAATTTATGGAAGGGATGATGATCCTATTGAAGTCAAAGTTGCTTTTGGCCTGTTGCCAACAGGGCACGTGTCTATCTCCCATCTTAGGTGGTTCGATCTATACTTTTTTCGCCCTCTCAAGGGACAAGGAGCAAAAAAAAAGAAGGAAATTTTTAACAATTGTCGATGTAGAAGATCATCCTGGTTTTTACGCTTTTCGAACTAATGTTATTAGTTCAAGACCTGTCTTTTTGTCGAGCAGACAGTATAACTATTTGAGTCAACTTCATTACAAGATGATTGAGACATTTTATGGCAGGAAAAAGGGTGGCTAAATAGGCTAAATTGTCTGGAGCGGGAGTTTCCAGCTGAAGATTGCCTTTCAGAGAGCGGCTTTTTACGACTCAATCTAAAAGCGCTCTTCCAGGGGATCTCTCCAAAGCCTAGAGAAAAAGTTCAAAAGCCCCTCTCCGGGAGATCCAGAGATAGTTCCCCTTCTTTACATTCTGCCAAGCCCTGCGATTACTGTAAGCCACTGTTAGCCCAGTAGAGCGAACAGGATGACCTCTAATCAGAAGGTTTAACCCCAATTGGACCCGAAACAACACGCCTTGGTTAAGAGGGTTTATCTTCTCAAATTAGATCTGCCAGAAGCGCGTCTGTTACAATACCTTTTCTTTTTCATTTCAAGGTCGTGTTAGTTTATTTTTCTACATTTTGTTATTTTGTTTCAACAATCATTCACGCGATGAGGTCACGAGAATCATCAAATAATGAGTTCGATAGAGTCCATTTTTTCTTCATTTTTTACGAGAGAACGGTGTTTGAACTTCAATTGAAAGGGCCGTAATGCGTTTTTTCCACCGTTCGCAATTTTCATTAAAAGATAATTCCTTTTCTTTCTTTTTATTGCGAATCCAATTCTTTTCTTCTTCCAAATTCAAGTTGCGCCCTAGGAGGCTACCCACAGAAGCATTCATTTTTGGGTCGCCGACAGCTGATGAGGCAGATGCCAGAAGAGATTATTCTCCCCGACGCTTGTGCCCAGAGAATCCCTCCCTTTTTAGCCAGGAGCCGCTTTTCACACAGAATCAATAATCAGAATTGATTCTGTCTTTTTCCTTGTTCAGAAGGAACAGAAGATTGCCAAGAGAGATCTTTGAATTGTTATTTTTGCCACTATTTGTAGATAATGGCGACAGTTAGCGTAGACAGTAGACATTACTATTGACACCGTAATAATTGACAATAAGCAAACGAGCAGTCAGATAATTGGGTCAGTTAAAATCTGTTGAATTACAGTATTATTGTTATTTTTAACTAAAGTCTCGATTAATCTCTTCTCTTGCCCTGTAAAACTTTTGCATGTGTCTGTATGTCACCTGCAAGTAGCGTCGCTCACGTGAATAATTCCCAATCAGACATTCTGCCCACATGACTGTCCTTCACTTCTCGCTTCTTTCATTTTTCATCGCAAATAACAGCCTTTTTTCAGAAAAAAGAGACACGGACTTGAAAAAAACGGATAAAAATGGGAAACTGTTTACGATCGGAAGCCTCCGACGATGAAAGTCTAATAGATAGCGAAAACTTAGGCGACGCACCGGTTCCAGCACAACAAGAGAATGCACAACAGAGAAGCTCGCGACAGGGAGGAAATCGACAGAGAAGGCAAAGAGGCTGGCGTAATCGTAGACGCCAGCAACAGTATGCCAGGGAACCGCCTGTAGTGCCAGACGCGACGCAGTACTTTCACTTTGGTTAGAAAAAAGGTCAAATCAATTTGTCATTAAAATTTTAGGCGCGAATGTGATGGTGAGCAATCTTTCGGAAGGAGAACAAATTGCCGTTGCTCAACGACTCGGAATGATTCAATATCTACCCGTAAGTTGCATCCAGGTGTCTTAGAATCTAAATTTGCGTAGATCACAAAGTGGACAAAAGAAGAAAAAGGATCGGAAGAGTGCGCGATTTGCTTTGAAGACTTTGAAGAAGGCGTGCCCATCCGCTACTTGCCCTGCGTTCACTTCTACCACGCCAAATGCGTCGACGATTGGTTGATCCGGTAGCTGTCGACCCTTTTTCCATCTCGTAACCCCGCTATTCAGATCTTTCACCTGCCCAACCTGCATGGCTCCGGTCGAATCTGGACTCCAAGCTTCCCTTTCCTCAGCCTGACTGATTTTTCTTTTTTGAAAAGCTGAAACTTTTCTCAAGTTCAATTTTAAACCCAACAGCTTCTTGCTTTTTTCATTTTACTATTTTTGGTTTTCACCGAATTTTCTTCTACTGCAAAAAAAAAAGATCTTCTTGTACTCTTCTAAAAAACTTGCCATTATTCAACCAGAAAAGGGGTCGAAATTCAACCCTTTCTTTCACTGGTAGAAAATTTGGCCCACCTGCTTCTTCGCTCGTTCTGGCATTTCACTCTCTGTAAATTACTTCAAAGGTGTGTTTTTCCCATTTTATGCCTTATCCGTTTTCTTATAAAAAAAAAACTATTTGGAAAAACAAAAATCATGAATTCACTGATTGTCGCAAAACAGGACGAAGAGAATCAATTATCCCTAGCTCATTTTGATTCCAAGAGCTAGAACTCCTCGTTTTTCCAATCCAGCTGCTTTGCGTTATATTCTCCTCCCTCCGAATATGAATTCCCAGCTCTTGAATTTCTTACTTTCTCTCTCTGTGTGATGTTCGTTTGTAGTAGAGCAAAATAAAGATTTAAAAAAATCGCGGATGACGAAAGGTTCATCCTTCCTTTTTCCATTTATCCAAAAACCGCTTATTATATAATAACATATTATCACTCATAACTGAAACGTAAAACTTTAAGTTTGCTTTTTATGAAAATGCTTTCACCGTTTTGATAAAACTTTCTGGGCACTGCTGAGCTGTGCTCCAGCCTCTCAGAAAATTGCTTGTTTTCGACCATTCTTTTACTTTTATTTTTCGAAAACTATGTTCACAATTCATAAAAAATATCAAAAAACAGGCGTCTTAATTTCTCATTTTAGAATTGGCTGATAATCGAGATGGGTTCGAAGGTAGAGCAATCATATTATCAGTCGATATCTTTCTTTATACTTGAGTATTTTTAGAGGCGTTTCTTCTTACGAGTTTTTAGGGATATAAAAAGAGTTATGGCAAGGCTGCGTATAAGAACAAATACAACGCCTGGTACACTGATGTCAAAGACTTCATGTGGCTCTTGATGCAAAACCTGGACGTCCTGATGTCAGCGCTCATGCTTGTTTTAGGTCGAGTTCCGAGATTTATTTTTCACATAAATTGACGCAATTTGCCAAACAGAGATTTCAATCAAGATCATCAATAATCAGGAATTTTTTAATCCGGGAACTCTTAAAAAAGTATTCTACATTTTCCTCCGACGCAAGTTTACGAACTGGAAGCCTGGAAAGAAATCCTGATAAATGCTTTACCGAATTAGTCGTTGAGACTTTTTCGGGTTTTTATTTTGATATTTTTCATTCTGTGACAACTCTTTCTTACCTCTCATTTTTGCTCCCCAAGTGCCTTATGAATCGCTAATCCTTTTCTGTAGCAACTTTCTTCCGAATACCTTGTAATTCATTTTTTAAAAGTTTAAATGCAATCATTTGACTGTAAGCCATTTAAATAGTGGACAGTATTCAAAAATTATAATCATTTATCCCTTTTGCCAAAGAAAGATTTTCCAGACTTATGACGACATTTTCAAAACCTTAAATTCAAGGCGAATATGTTCTGACCATGAAATTTATCAGAATAAATACAATAACTTCGGTGCAATAAACTTTTAATACAAAGACAAATGAAATCGTTTTTTTTTACTATAGAAAATAAGGTTTAAAAATTGTTGCTTGTTCTAATTAAAAATCTTCTATTTTTGCGAAATTGAAAAACGCAAACTTGAGCAGGGCACTTTGTGTATGCTTTGCCTTCAGTCTCTCTTTCTACGTTACAGAGCATTCATCATCCTCGCAGTTCGGGTCGATGCTCGGGTTAGGCTTTGAGTTTCCTCAAAGTTCGGGTTGTAATTGTCGTACTCGTAGTCCGACGTTGAAGGGTAGAACATTGAGTAAGCGTCATACCGAAAAGAAAAAAGCTCAGATGTTCAAGGCAGTACAAATAAAGATCGACATATTTTATATACTTTTGAAGTTTATTGGCGATAAATGGCAGTTCAAATTCATAAATACTTTTTTCGTTCGGTTCTAATATTAGTCGGCTCGTCGAAAGACTTCAGCGGGCGCGATTTGCAAGAGTTTGGCGGTAATACCCATGCATTCACAGAAGATTCGTCGGCAGACAGCGCCGAGAAAATGTCGCTAAAAATATATTTCACAAAACGAATTCTTTGGAAGGACTTACAGATCGTTGATCTTGTTCTACCTCCATTTCCACAAGCGCTGCATCGAGGACGCTGTCGAAGATAGTCAACTGGTTCCCGAGGCGAATGTAGAGAGAGGAACTTTGGAACCTCTCGATCGGCTGGTTGCCTCGCCAGATCGAACAATCGAGTACATTCAAGGTCATCTTCACTAGCTGGATAGTCTTTCTCGCTAGTCGTCGAACAATCGCTCGTTTCTCATCCTCAGATGCCATTCTGAAAAGGTAGAAATCCGATTTATAATAATTCGGTAATCATTCTTAGTATCCTTCCTAAACAAACACTTCTTTCTCCAGACATTCCTTCTTGTCGAAAACTTTTCCCTCAATCTCTTTCATGATTTCTTCGCAGATCTCGTGGAGATTATTGCAGATTGAGACAAAGTGCTTCCTCTAAAAATTCCTCAATACCGCTTTTCTTATGCGCCTTTACCAGCTTGATGAGAAGAGTAATAGTCTTCTCTTTCGAGAAGACAATTTCTTCCACTCCCTTCTTGATTGCTTCCTCATAGTGGCACAACAACTGTTCCCGCTCGAAGTCCAAATCGGTCATTTCATTCACATCCGTGCACATATTCTCGCGACAGAGCTTCAGATAGAGGAGAGCAAGTTGAGCATGCTCGTAAACGTACTTGTCAGTCCTAAGCTTGAGATCCAAATGCTAAGAAATAATATTATTTGATTCGTTAACATAAGTCGCCCCATCACGAGGTGTCCATAATTCTAAAAACTATCTGTAACGAATAACGAATACATACATCGTCAAAGTATTTCTCCATTAACCCGTACAGTTCCTGCGCCATCTCTTTTCTTTCGTCAACTGACGATTATAAATACCGTCTTTTTTCTAAGAAAATGAAGTTCTCGAAAAATGGCAAAAAATTGAAATTTTTTATGCGCATTTTTTCTAGACGTTTTAAATCACAATTTCTTCACAATGAATACTGTCTTACAGACATTGAACCAAATTTCAAGCAATGTTGTTATTTATGAGGAGAATTTATTTGCAGAGAAGGTGAGAGAAAACGATCAAAAGACAGGAAATTTTCACTGGAACCAACGCGAGTATCTGAGGTCGTTCCTTTTGCCCTGCTGGATTGTTCGAAGAGCCATCTTACCGTAAGCATGGCATTTTCGGCAGGTCGAGGCCTTTTCGATGCCATTTCCTTGGAAAAATTTAAGAATATTGCATATGAAATTGAAACTTACGATCTTTAGCTCCTGGAACTTTGCACTGTCCTTTGTTCTGCTCCACGTCTCTTTTGCAAGCTTGTTTTTCTTGGCATCGAATGTTGAGCTGAGTTCGTCCGTTATTGCGTCGCTCCTCCACCATGCAAACGTTGGGCTCGTGAGTGTCTTCTGGATTGGCGTGGTCATCTCTGCATCGAACGAACTTGGCTTGAGCAAGGCACTTTTCGTAGGCTTCACCTCCAGTGGCTCCTTCAACGTTGCAGAGCATGCATGATCCCCTGATCTCCTTGATCGTTCCGCCGAAATTTCCTCGGATGTTGAAGGGTCGAACATGGAGTAGGTATCGTACTAGGAATTAGACTTTTGAAGAAAGTTCAATTTGATGCTTTATTTTCATCGCCGGTTTCATCATTTTCATTCAAAATCGAGTCAATTGTTTCATTTTGGTTACCTGAGCAGCAGCAAAAGCGATGAGAGCTCCGTAAAGTTTCATTTTTGACGATTTTCTTGGGTTAGCGATGTTCTATCCCTGACGCTCAAATTATCTCGAGTGATTTTTTTCCAGATCCTGCGCGGTTTATATAGGAGTTGTAGCAGTTTTGGTATTAACCGCGAGCACGTTTACGACAACAGATTATCGGGAATATTAAATCGCCGATCATACTTGTTTACGGCTATAACTCGTACCAGGTGCGAAGAGGTTTTCTATTTTAGAGCAAAATAAACTACCGAACTTTCGCGAAATTGCGCAGATTTGTATAAAAGGTCGGAAATGTACATTTCGGAGCGGCTTGCGTAAAAATGGATTAGCGCTTTGATTATGCCGCGGATTTCGGAAAATGACGTCGAAAATCCGTCGTTTAAACCTGTTCAAGCTGACCAGAAGTACTGAATTTACCATGCGTTACCAGAGTTGCAAATTTGCTGAGCTGAGTGAGCTGAGCTGGCTGAGTGAGCTGAGCAGTCGCTCAGCTCACTGATTTTCGAAAATGAATTTATCTGCTCAGCTCAACTCAGCTCAGACAATAATCACTCAGCTCAGCTCAATTATTCTCGAACATGATCTGTTCTGCTCAGCTCAGACAAGTATCATTCAGCTCAGCTCAGCTCAGCTCAATAATTTTAACACAATTTCACTACTAAAAAACAGTAAAAAATAGCTCAAATCAGCTCACTCAGCTCAGCTCTAATTAGGGTCTGCTCAGCTCAGCTCAGCTCAACTACCTTAACAAAAGGTCTGCTCAGCTCAGCTCAGCTCAATGACCTCTGAAAATGGCCAGCTCAGCTCAGTGAGCTCCGAAATAGGCCAGCTCAGCTCAGCTCAGCTCAGAGAATTTCTCACTCAGCTCAGCTCAGCTCAGCGAAAATAAAGCCAAATTTGCAACTCTGTGCGTTACTGGTTATGAAAAAAGACATAATCTGATCTGAAGGAAATCAACAAAGACTCACTCGTTTCTGAGAAGAATTTTAACAACTGCTATCAAGATGGAACTTTTGGTAGTTACTTTAATGAAATACAGTTTTTTATGGAATTTTTGGACATAAAATTTTTGGACATTTTTGCAATTTTAAGGGGATTTCTTGGGACACTTTTCAAAAGTGCCTGTGTCAAATTTTTGGACATTTTCTGCGCCAAAATTTTGAATTTTCTGTTTTTTGCTAGATATGACGTTTTCTCTTCTCAAAAATCTTATTTTTTCTTTGAGAAAGAAAAGATTGAAGGTTTATCTCGTACCCCTGGAACTTTTTTTGTCTTTAGAAAAAGAATGAAACAGAGGATGATGGAGATTTTCCTCAACAAAAATGTCCAAAAATTCCATAATTAACTGTACGTTCCAGTTTATTCATACAACCTTCCTCATAAGAGCAGAAGCAAAATATGTAGATTCATTTTTAAGATAATTATTCGATCATTCTTCGAGAAAAAACTAGAGGAAAAGGACTTCATTTCATAAAAGGTATTACCTTAAAGGTTGAAAGCTTAAAAATAGTCAACGAATCTTCATTTGAATTTGTAAGGTATAAAATAAGCTACATGCATGCAACCGAGTATTTATACCAAAGTTGACTACTGCCAGTAGCAGCTGTTTCGGTCAACTAGATCTACTTTTTAATTCTTATCAGCACTCGTATCTACCCCTGAAATGCAACCATCTTGCCACCAAAGCAGGCAAATGCATATGTAAAATGTAGAAATTACAGTGGCCGGTGAAGTTTTCTGTCGACCGGACTCGCGTTGCCAAAGGTGAAACTGTTGTCTCCGTCGACATCAGTCGACATGAAGAGATCACCTAAATAGCAATCAATAGAAACAAACAAAAACTATCTGATGAGCACTTTATGTAATTAAAGGTGAATATCGTTCTCCAAGCAACGTTGGTTCAGTGGTAGAATTCTCGCCTGCCACGCGGGAGGCCCGGGTTCGATTCCCGGACGTTGCAAGCTTTTTTCACTCATCGCCGCTCGACCAATCAGCACAGCGCGCCCTTTCTGTTTTTTTCATCATTTTTCTTCGGAAGAGTCTCGCTGCGAAATCAATAACTCTACTCTTTCGATAATCGAGACAAACTGACGCAGACACAAAGAAAATGACCGACAGCTAGAGAGAATCCAAAGAAAAAAGAAGAAATGACAAGTAAACTGCGTTTTTCGCCGACTTTTAATGAAAATGTCAAAATTTCTTCAACCCAAAATGATGCCGAGAAAAGTTTCAATTATCAAAATTCTATTTGGGATTCTTGGCCGGTCGTTGTAAAGGTGAAAGGGTTATCTTGGTTGCTTAGGATGTTAAATTTCTTTCTTTTAGGTCGTCTGTAATGAGAGTTCCCTTGAAGTTTGGCATGAAAAAGACGAAGATTTCGGAAACTGCTTCGGGCTGACCCTTTTTGGTCTCATCCCAGCGGCCGTTTTCGCCCTTGTTAGTGCCTATTTTCTCGCCAAACCGTCACCAAACATTCGCCTTCCCGAGTTTCCCTGGCAGATTTGGATAAAAATCACCGTCAACTTCTTGATCAGCCTTCTTCTGATAGTTCACCTTGTTTCGCTTTACTTGCCATTTGACAGTCTTTATGCTCCACCTTATCCCGCCCTTCTTGTTACCTACCTGTTCTGGATCATCGCAGAAGTTCTTCATCTTTTCTATCTTTATGCTTTCATGGTTCCCTACAAGCTCTTTTTCAAACATGGCCCAAGCTGGATGCTCATGTCTTGGTTTCTAACCATTCCTTATTATGGTAAGTTTTCTATTAAATCTACCCCCTTGAATTATCATTTTTAGCCCAGTCCATCAAGTCGAACATTCATTACCAAAGATCCGTGATCGACAACGGCGTTTGGATTTCCATTTTATGTCTGAAGCTAATTTACCTCATCGCCCATTTATGCCCCCACTCGCCCGACTTCCAGCGTCTTCCGCATCAGTACCAGCGCGCGATTCGCCGCGACGGAAGATCTTCAACAGAAGGAAGTGAGGAAGAAGGATCCTTTGCAGATCGATCCCTTCTTCTTGGAGAATCTCTTACCGCTAGTTACAGAAGAAGTGGCCGCGCCACAGTCTCTCCCGAAGTCGGAAACACTCTTTGGACGCAAATGACGCTCTCTTGGCCGATGAAAATGCTCCGCCAGGGAGCTCGATTCGGAATCAATACAGTAGAACAAGCAATGATTCTCCCACGAAATCTGAAAGTTCTTTACACAACGAACCTATTCGGCGTTTCTGAACTTGTCCGGCCCGTTCCCTTGTACACCCGCTCTTCCAGCAGCACGAGTTTGGATGAATCCGACATGGACGAAATCAAATCACTCTGGAAGAGAATCGCGAAAGTTTACGGCTTCAAATTCGCTATGTTTGGAATCTTTCAATTCACCACGATGCTTTCCAACTTTGCCAAGCCACTGACACTTTCCTATCTTTTGGAGTACATGGAAGGGGATGTCAAGGACCCCGAAACTGGCTTTACATACGCTGGCATTCTCATCGCTCTTACTTTATTCGAGGGCACGCTTTCCGTACACCTTGATTATCAACTCCAGCGCATGAAACTATCCCTCCGAAGCGCGCTAGTCACGAGTGTTTACGAAAAAACAATTCTAGTCGCTCGCCACAAATTTGAAGGAAAAACAATCGGGGAGATTCTCAACTTGATGTCAACTGATTGCGACAGATTGGCCAACACAGTGGTCAATTTGCATCAGATTTGGTGCGTTCCTGCTCAAGTGATTCTCGTGCTCGGATTGTTGTACTTTCAGGTCGGCTACGTTTTCAGCATTGGACTTGGTTTCTCACTGGTGATGATTTTCGTCAATCATCGGCTGGGCAAATTCATCGGCAAAGTCAACAAAGAATTCATGAACGCAAAGGACGCTAGAATTCGACTCCTTTCAGACATCGTCTACTCAATCAGTTTTATAAAAATGACGGCGATGGAGAAAATCTTCAAGAAGAAAGTCGAAAAGCTGAGGAAAGAAGAAATCGGACATCTTGGGAAAATCAAGTACCTTGATGCTGCGTGCGTCTATTTTTGGGCAGCTACTCCTGTCATTCTTTCCATCATTCTTTTTACGATTTTTTCGTATTTTGGCGAAGCATTGACTGCTGCAAAGGTGTTTACAAGCTTGTCGCTTATTAATTTGTTAATATTCCCGCTGAATGCTTACCCCTGGGTAATCAACGGGACGATGGAAGGCTACGTGTCACTCAAACGACTTCAAAAGATGCTTGACTTGACAGTCATCGACTACCAACAAGTGTACGAGCCGACCACCGCCGATGATGACTGTGCGTTGCTCGATTCTCCTTCCATGTATGGGCTTGTCAACAACACAGAAGTGCCGTTTATTTTCAAGCTTTCGAATGCTTCCTTCACGAGTTCTACCAATATTCTCGCTCCTTCCACAGTGAAGAACATCAACTTCAAAGTGGCAAAGGGAGATTTAGTCGGAATCGCGGGCGACGTCGGTTCCGGAAAATCCAGTTTGTTACAAGCGATCGCTGGCGAAATCGATAGAACGTCCGGCTCTCTCCTTATGAATGACAATCACGACGGGTTGGGACTTGTGACGCAAGAGGCCTGGATCTTCAATGGAACAGTACGTGAGAATATCGTCTTTGGCTCAGCTTACAATCCGGAATTGTATCGAAAAATCATCGAAGCTACAGCTTTGGTCGCGGATATTGAGTCATGGCCAGCTGGAGATCTCACGTGGCTTGGTGAGAGAGGAACAACCATCTCGGGCGGACAAAAGGCTAGAATTCATCTAGCCCGGCAAGTCTATCAGGTATGAAAAACAAAAGGCCCGACCGAGATTTGAACTCGGGATCTCCTGATTACTAGTCAGGCGCTTTAACCAACTAAGCCATCGGGCCTGTCTTCAGCGCCTACAAAGGCAATTTATAAATCGTGCATGAAAACGAAAATTCTAGCGCTGATAAAAATTTCCCAAAGAGATTCCTCTTTTCTTACTTGGTTTTTATATTCAGCACTTTTTTGATAAAAGTAAGATTTCGAATTTTGTGAAAATGACACTAGAAAAGCCTAAGTTCCACTCTTGCATTGTTTTAAAAATGACCTTTGAAAGCTTGAGAAACAGGCCCGATGGCTTAGTTGGTTAAAGCGCCTGACTAGTAATCAGGAGATCCCGAGTTCAAATCTCGGTCGGGCCTTTGCGCCCTAGAAAGGGTTGAGATTCATTCCGTTTTTCTAGGAGAAGGATATTTATCTTCTTGACGATATCTTTGCGTCGTTAGATCGCCGAGTTGCTTCGCATATTTACGAAAACGTAGTGATGGGCCTGTTGAGAGACACAACACGTGTAGTGGTCAGCCACCAAATCGAGTTTTTACGACAGGGTTCCAAATTTGGCCAAAAATTTTTGAATTTGAGCGAGCGATGAGCGAGCGACATTTGAGCGAGGGCTGAGCGAGCGAGTGGCTGAGCGAGATTTTTCAAATATCGGCTGAGCGAGCGGAGCGACTGAGCGAGCGACGTTTGAGCGAGATTTGAGCGAGGTTTGAGCGAAATCTGAGCGACATTTGAGCGACATTTGAGCGACGCTCGAGCGAAAATTTTGTCTACCCCAGGCATTCAAATTTGCCAAAAATCAAGGCGAAAGCGAAGCAAAGGCGAAAACATTTCAATATTCCTCAAGCGAAGCAAGAAAATTTTGGTTGACGAACGGTTCGCCAAAATAGACCTCTCCAGTACGGTTCGCTGAGAAGGTTCTTAGCGTACCTTACTTCATTTTTCTGGTCATCAATAGAAGTTCTTTTATAGCCCAATCTGGCTGCTCCCGCATTTCCCAAAATCGCGCATTTCTCAAATCGCCAATTCAGAATTCTGCCGATTCAGGCTTTTTGGAAACGGAGGATTGAGAAAAGCAGGATTTTGAGGAATGAAGGATTCAGCTAAAATTTCAAGTCCGTTTGGTTTCCATTTGCCAAAGTTGCCGTTTGCCCAAGAGGAAGCCAATCCTAGTTTCAACCCCAATACAGTATTGCCAATACTGTATTGGCAATACTGGCTTCAATCATGTTTTCTCCAATATAATTGATATAATATCAATGAGGATTGACCCGCTGAAAAAAATAAGTGGTCGATTTCCTATCCCTTTATGAACAAAACTTTGTGACAATAGTAAAAAAGTACCCAAAAGTTCAATTCCGGGCTCAAAATTTCGAAAAAAATTCATCTTCCGGTCACTAGAGGTCATCAAAGTTCAAAATCAGTTTTTCTAATACAGAGTATTTCGTCAATTCTGGTTTCTACATCTTCAGTCCTAGCTTCACCGACTTCAATCACGGCTTCTCCAATGTCAATCCCGGTTTTTTGACGTCAATCCCGACTTCAATGTCGATCCCGGCTTCATCAGTTTCAATCAAGGATTTTTCAACAATAATCTTATCTTCGAAAAGCCATTATCGACATTCAAGAAGCGATAATAGAGAACTGAGAAGCCGGAACGATTGAAGAAAGTGACGGCCGGATCGGATTTAAAGAAGCCGGGATTGACGCTGGAGATGCCAGGATTGACGTTCGAGCCACCAGGATTGACGTCAGTAAAGCTAAGATCGAAGTTGTTGAAGCCAGGATTGAATTTGGTGAAGCCAGGATTGGCTATGGAGAAGCCAAGAAAATAAAGTTATATGATAAACAAATTTAAGGGGAGGTCGTCAATATCGGGGTTTCTCTTGAGCAAAAAGCGGGAAAACCTGATTGGATAAAGAAAAACAAATTGTTAGGGGAAAAGAAAAGGGTTGAAAGAATTCATCGGCGAAAACAAGAAAAATTTTGGCCAGAAAACGGTCAAAAATCCCGTCAAACTAGGGCCATTTCGCAAAAATCGACCAAAAGCGTTCATTTTTTAACAATTTTCTCAATTTAACCCCCTAAAACTTATTTTCATCATACGATTTTAGGCTCAATAGACTCGCCAGAATCTGTAGATTCCAAATATATATTATTCATATGCACACTATTTGTATAAGTGTGATTTCGATCACCACTGAAAATCCATATTGACGACCCCCCCCCCTTTAAATTTGGTAAGCATGAAAATTAACTCAAAAGAAAAAAAAAATCCCGCATTTCCCGAAATCCTGAATCGGCGGACTCCTGATTTGGCGATTTGAGAAATACGGGATTCTGAGAAATTCAGGATTTGAGAAATGCGGGATTTTGGGAAATGCGGGAGTAGCCTGGATTACCAGAGGACCTCCCTTTAATTGTGGATAAAACGTACCCATCCTGCGCCCTTAATTTCGAATAAAGCTTACCCCCGATTCTCTTAATTTCGCAAAATGATGACGTGACAACGCGGAGATGACGCACACTCATTAGGTAGTTTTTAAACAAGCGAATGGGGTTGCCGCTAAGCAAAATCTAGAAAGGTAGGGTTCCGAGCGCGCGACATCACCGCGTTGTCACGTCATCATTTTCCGAAATTAAAAAAATCGGGGGTAAGCTTTATTCGAAATTAAGGGCGCAGGATGGGTACATTTTATCCACAATTAAAGGGGGGTTCCCTGGTATACGGTACAATTTATACCTCTACAATCAAAATCAGGCTAGCCGTAAAATATTCTATGTTAACCTACTCAACAGTTGTAGACGGCGGGGAAAACCCAACGACCTAACACGCCAACTGGATATTGAAAGTTAACATAACCAATTTTTGAGGTTAGTCTAATTGTTGAAGAAACCTGTTGAATCGCTGTAATAATCGAAAAAGAAATAAGGAAGCTGTCGTAAAAAATAAATTATTGGGTTGGCTTGGGTATCAATGATAATTTATCATTGATAAATCAGGCTGACCGAAAAATATTATATATTAACTCACTCAACAGATGTAGACGGCGGGGAAAACCCAACAACCTAACACGCCACCTGGATATTGTGAGCTAACAAAAGCAATTTTTGAGTAGAGCCTAAATTTTGAAAAAATGTAGGGCTGAGGACGGTGGGTTTCAGCGAAAATAATTTTTTTATTGTTACCAACTCAATAGTTGTAGACGGCGGGGAAAACCCAACGACCTAACACGCCAACCGTATATTGCTGGCAACAATATGTTAAAATTATTCGCAGAATTTATTTAAAATTCTCTCTTTTTAATAAATCCGTGGCTTAAAATCCTCCCCATTCATTCGCTAACCGCCAAGGAGTTTTTAGATCTTGGCCAATAAGCGCGGAGAATTGGCTAGTGAGTAATATACCTCGCTCAAGCGTCGCTCAGACCTCGCTCGAGCGGCGCTCAAACCTCGCTCCAACGTCGCTCGAACCTCGCTCCAACGTCGCTCGAACCTCGCTCCAAAATCGCTCCAGCCTCGCTCGGATCTCGCTCAAACCTCGCTCAGCTATCATATTTTTTGACCTTGAGCGAGCGAGCGACTGAGCGGTTCTCTATGAAAATCAGTTGAGTGAGCGGAGCGTGAGCGATCGCTCGCTCGCTCATCGCTCGCTCACGCTCAGATGTCGCTCAGCGCTCAGCCAGAATTGGAACCCTGTTTTACGAGATGCAAGAATTGTGTACAAAATGGAGAACGGGGAGTTCGTTGAATCCGGCACCCCGAACGAGATTCTTGGCGTTTCTAAATTCGCCAGCGTTGTTCCCGAAGAAGAGTTTCACGCGACCGAGGGAAAGAAAGACGAAGAACAGGCGGAAGACAAAGCTGATGGAGCCGTTTCAGCGGGCGTTTACAATGCTTACATCAAAGCGACGGGATACCCACTTTTCATCGCCATTGTTTTCTTCGTCGTTCTCATGCAGCTTTCCAAGAATCTCAGCGATCTCTTCCTCACTTACTGGATTCACCATGATAACGACAATACGACGGATTCTTACTACTCTTCTCAAAAAGCCAGAACTGCGTTTAGCGAAGACCAACTAATCCCGATGCCGAAGAAGCTCTCCTTCATTCAAGTTTTCATCATAATCGGCGCTGTCAATTCCGTCATCACTCTGATCCGCGCGTTTTCTTTCGCAAAGGGAGGACTTGTCGCTTCAAAACGGCTTCATGAGAAGCTCCTTGACTCTGTGTTGAATACTTTGCCAAGCTGGTTTCATAAGACGCCACCTGGACGACTGATCAATCGTTTTAGGTAAGGTTTTATTTGGAAACAGTTACAGTGTATTGTAAATGAAAATTAGCTCGGACATAAACGAAGCTGACGACGGACTTCCTTTCATCCTCAATATTTTCATGAACGATTGTGTCCAACTAATGGGAACTATCGTCATTATTTCCTACGCTCTACCTTGGTTCGTCGTCATCGTTATTCCACTCATGCCGTTCTACTCGTCTTTGCAGTTTTATTACAGGCATACAGCTAGAGATCTTAAGAGACTAGCAGCTACGTCGCTTTCACCGATCTACCAGCATTTCAGGTAGCGATCTACTAAATTCTGCCCTAATAAAAGTCCCTAATTCTAGTGAAACAATTACTGGCGCTTCTACGATTCGCGCTCTTCGAAAACAGAACCAGGAAATTCTGAAAAATGCTAAATTATTGGAAGCGAATCAAAGAGTAAACTTTTCAATGCTTGCCGCTAATAGCTGGTTGAGCTACCGGCTTACAATTGGCATCGGTGCGACAGTCACAGGAGTAGTGACGCTAATAGGTATACTGTTTTATTAAAAACCTTTTATCTAACTTAAAAGCATTCTTGCTAAATGACGAAAACTTCTTTCGATTTTATGAATACTTTATTACGACAAAGCATCGTAAAAACAACATTCTTAATGTTTTAATTAAACTAAAAGATTCTTTTAGCAATTACACAGCACGAATACGCCACTGTAGATCCATCACTTATCGGCTTGGCATTGAGCTATGCGTTGCCTCTTACTGGAGTCATTTCCGCATTCATGAGGGACTTCTTGAGCACTGAACTTGGATTCATCTCCGTCGAACGAATCGATGAATATTCAAAACTTGAAAGTATGAGATAATGATGTTTTCTTAATTATTAATAGCCTTTGAGAAGGCTATGACTATTTTTCTTTTTCGAATAATTTTCAATCCTTCTGACGTGATCAGTATTCTACTGTCAAGCTTCATTATATTTGATGACATTGTGGGTGAAAGAAGGAGTGACTATTATTTGAAAAAAAGATTCTTCTCTGTGGTATATTCAGTGTCAAAAATGTTGCCAAAGGATTGAATAATCCTGAGTTCACATTTTATCGTATCATTTTGGATAAAATAAGCCCTGGAAATTCTAATGACGGGTTTAGGGGAGGGTGCAGGCCCAACACAGCCTGTGGTGAAGAACTGGCCGAGAAGCGGAAATCTTCAGATAAACAAGGTCCATCTTCAGTATCCCGGCGCCTCGGAAGAAGCATTGAAAGGGCTCTCTTTGCAAATCAAAAATGGAGAACACGTGGCTATCGTCGGGAGAACTGGCTCAGGAAAGTCGAGCATTTTCAAGACAATCTTGAGGCTTGAGGAATTCCAAGGCACGATTAGACTCGACGATGTCGTACTGAAAAGCGTTGACGTTCATTCACTCAGAAGGTGTCTCACTTTACTTAAATAGAGCATTGACCTTATTTAGAAACGTAACGACACTTTCTCAAGACGAATTCCTTTTCCATGGAACCATATCCGAAAACCTGGACCCGGAAGAAAAGTTTTCCACTGACGAAATAAATGCTGCTGTGGACAGAGTGGGATTGCGTGGCAGAGTGGACAGGATCGGGGGTCTTGGTGGAATTATTGAGGAGCAGGGGCGAAATCTGTCACAGGGGGAAAAACAACTCATGTGTTTCGCAAGGTGGGTTAATTCCTCTGAGCTTTGCGTCAACGATTTTTAGGGCACTTCTTTCGAAGAAGAAACTTATTCTCATTGATGAAGCCACATCATCAGTTGACGCTGAAGCCGACTTGAAAATTCAGCAGTTAATTAAAAACGAGTTCAAGGGATGCACAGTACTATCGATTCAACATAGACTCACAAACGTTTCCTTCTACGATCGGTAAGAAATAGCTGCAAAATTATTCTTTGACCCTGTTGATTTCAGAGTTCTGGTGATGAACCACGGCCACATCGAACAGTTTGAAAAGCCTGATGCCCTGATTGCCGACAAAGCTGGTCTTTTTGCGCAACTACTTCAAAATCAAACGGAACAATTACACGAATAGACCTACGAAAACGAATAAACGATGTTCAAGACATTTATCAAACAGCGACAGTTCGATCCAAATTAATTTTGGACAATTTCCTTATGTATTATTGAATTGAAATTACGCCATTTATTTCACCCGAATAAATTTACATGTCATATGTTATTTCTCGATCTCATGATCATAGTTCATTTTCCGGAATATGAATTTGTTTCGAAGATGATTGCGGAGAAAAAAATTACGGTTGATCAGACAGCGTGTCCGATAATTGCTTTTATATAACATGAATTTCATACCATGCTGTAAATTTTTTTGGTTAAATATATTTATCGAAATTTGTGTCACAGAAATGATTTTGTTGGGCATTCGTTGGTTGTCTTTTGGTAAAAGTAAAGTAGAAAAAGAAATGATAAATCAGTAGGTAGTTCATAATTCAGTTCGTAAAGCCCATTCTTCTGAGATAAGTCAGTTTTCTCATGTTTCTTTGGCCCATCGCAAACTTCCGGGGGGATAAGTTTCGGGTTGATTCCAGTTCGTTTCGTGTGCGCCGGGCTTTCAACTGCGGGAGCTACTGTATATCTATTGTGGTAGTAAATGTTGTTAGCATATCTGTTGATTGCTGCTTTATCCGCTAGAACGAGGCAGGATAGCTGCGATAGGAAAAATAGTAAATGCATGATCGAGGCCATTTTGATAGTTTTTTTTTGTGGTATAGATAAGCGATTGCTCTTTTTCGTGTGATATCTCCGGTAAAAAGATTTCGTTATTTTATACTACAGGTGATGGCGCACACGAGCTATTCTCAAGCGCCAGAGAAGCGATAGAACAGGGTGGAAACTGTCGACCAGAAACATGGTGATATAGGCCTGTAATGATCTGAAAAAAGTTCTGAATTAACTTTACTTAATTTATTTGTCATGCAGTCTGTAGAACCAGAACAGTTTATTTATCCGTCACAGCTGCTAATTGCGCCTTTAGCTCGCGATTCTCGTGTTTCAGTGCTAAATGAAAGTAACTTTTTATCTCAAATATTTTCTCAACCGTGAAGTTCTTCATGAAGTTTTTCATGGACGATCTCGTTCCCTTCTTCGATGGCTTCTTTCATTCCGTGAACAAGACGAATTACACGGAAGGCGATCAGGAATTCAGCAATCATTCCATTTTTGACATCCTTACAGGAATCCCGACTTGTTCTTATGTTATGAAAATGAAACTTGAAGAATCTTTAATTCAATTAAGACTCCTTCCTTGTCAAGCATAACGAGCATCAAAACCCAAGAAGTGATGACAATTAAAGCATCGAAAATGTGAATCCAACTCTTTAGAAATTTCTTCGCAGTAAAAACGATTTTCAAGATAACTTCAACGACGAAAATAGAAAGCACTAAATTATCATTAATTCGAATTCTCGATTTTAGTTCTTACAAGCAAGACTAGTATAGTACAGACTCATGTAGATATTCTTCCACTTCTTTGTCTGTTTTGAGTCTATTTCGTCTTGGCAAGTAGTTGCATTGGGCGAGCAGTAATCGTAGTGCGTTTTGACCTTTTCATCAAAAACGATTTCACATGCGATGACGGCGCAGTCTACTAAGACCAGGAACAATATTATCGCCTGAATTTCGCTTTAATTTTTCTTCTCTGGTGGAAAGACTGAAGGATCTGCGGCTATTTTCGGTCCTTTATATAGCTTAAACGTACCTGAAAAGCATGAGAATGAAGCAGTTTCCCGACTACTCTTGTGCTTTTTTCCCAACAAGTCATGTCGCTCTTCAAAATATCTAAAAACGGGATAGATTCTGTGTCACTGCCACTCTCGCTCATATTTCATATCGTAAAAGAAGAGCAAGATTTTTTTGCTCGGTGGTAGCAAATCCATTGAACAAAACTCGTACCTCTGAAGATCAAAAAAGAGATCAAACCGCCTCTCGTAGTAAAATCAAAAACGTCTCTCTAAATGGTCTGACTTATCGAGGCACTTTCTGCGTATTCGGACGGATATTTATGATCTAGGTCAGAGTTGTGCCGCCTTTTTCTCGTAAAAAATGGCCTAGATAATAAATTATGACATTCATTTGAATCTAGACCGTTCATTTGTGCTCCCACAAAAACGTTTTCCCTGTAATCAAGTTGAATGACAAGTCCATGACCGAGAAAAGGCACTTTCTCAAGTTCTATTTTGAACGGTTTTGACAAGCTTGAACTTCAACGTCAATCCAGTTTCTGTTAAAATATGACGCTTTCTGTCGTTTACACTTACTCACAGTTACAACCCTACCTTTATGAGCCTGCACAGAGTATTCTTTTGCCCATCTTTTCGGGTTCTCAAGGAATTGCTCAATGAGATCGTACCTTCTCGTATCCATTTTTTACAAAGCGGAAGTCTAAAAAGGTACAGACGATTTTTATTGATTCGAGTATAGTGTTTTATTAAAATGGCAGGAAATAAATAATGAATTTTAAGCGGGCTTGATCGCAAGAATAGTGAGAATAACGTCAGCCTCGTTGTCGTTGAAGCTAAGGAGGGATTCTCCAGGCGGAATATGTGCTTTCCTTTTTCGCTTAGATCTTCCTCTTTGATTGGAAAACGTAAAAGAATGTCTTGATTATAATTTTCTTTTTTACGTAAGTAGAAAAAACAAAAGAATCCCTAGACAATCCCATGATAAATCGCCGACATCTTCCAAGATTTCCTTCATGTTGTAAGCACCGGATTCGTGAAGCTTCATCACAATTTGAATAGCTTTTATTCAGATTTTTAACACTATTATAATTCAGTTTCCTCAATTTCTTAAATTTAAGCAAGTCATCACGAGTGTGCTTTTATTAAAATATTCCCTTTCATTATTCCTTCCTTAATTTTGTCGTAGACTTTGTCTAGTCCGCAGAATCTGTTATTTGGATAATCTAAAGCTATTCCACTAGCCGGCGACTATTCACGCTCATCAGAGACAAGCTGAAAATGTGATCCGAAGCTACTGCGATTTCGTAGCATTAAAATTTAATAATTTAAAAAAATCAAGTTTAAAATCATTCCATTAGCATTTCCAACGAGCAGCACCCGAAGACAGTGACATGCCCAAAGTTGAATCACTTTTTCTTTGGCTTTGCCGCCACTTTCGATCAAGTTGATGAGCGTCTCTTCAAATTGGCTAGTCAGAAAAGTATCTTGGGCTTCTTTGTTGTTTGAGCAGAGAGCTGATATTGTCTTCAACGCATTTAACTGTAGCATAACATCCTTAAAAGTTCGTTTACAAGTTGAAGGATTAAGGATGGAGAACTTACATCCTGCCATTCTTCGACAGAGCGGATGAGAATGTCGAAAAACTCGTTGACCGCGAATTTAATCACGACAGGGCCTCCCAAAACAGCTTCAAGGCCGATTTTGTACACCAAGTTTGCCATATTGACATCAGAAGAATCGCGTTGACGATAAAGATCGTCCAACTGGAATTGAATTTCCATCAAAGCTCGTTTCGAGAGATTCTTTTCATCTTCAAGTTCCTTGAAAATTCCTTTTTTTAATATTTTCAATTTGTACTTTTTACCTTTTCTCTTGTCTTTACTTGATTTTTGTTCCCAAAAATCGGCATCACCGAAATACGGGTCATCATTTCGGACATACGGCCGATCATCTTACTGAATTTCTCTGTTTCTTAGCTTCTAAATCAGTTAAAAATAAATTTGCGTCTAAATCTCGCATCTAGAACAAAACGAAGCTTTTTGTTTTAGTCTTTGTTTTTGACAGAAAAAGGGATAATTTTGGACATGATTTGCTCAGGCCATCGTCTCAGCAACTACATCTGGTATGAATCTTGAGTTTCTGATCGCAGGAGAAATTGTGTAGCCTCGAGAAACTACTGTGGATGTCGTTAATCTTCGGTTTACGGAAAAGCTTCTACGGCTTGGTTGTGCTAAAAAGACAATAACCGCATATTAGTACCGTAAACAAGTTGACGGTTTGAAATTACCCCCATTATTTTTTCGCCAAAATGATTATCTGGTCATAAGTTCGATTCGAAATTAAAGTTCCAGACGATGCTGTGAGGGTTTTGATGATTCACTAATTGATTTTATTCTTGAATTCAAGAATATTGAAGCGGGTTTCCGTTTATTCACAAAGATAATTTCACATGACAGTCTTCATTTTAAACCTGAACATCTTCGTATATCTTCCTCCTCTCCTTCAATCGCACTCAGCCTTAATCTCTTCACTTCAAAGCGCATAATATTTAGCTCAATGAAAAAATAGAGTTTAGATCTGATGATATTTCTATGCCTCCCTGGATATCTACTGCTGAATTTGAGCATATTTCGGATCAAGAGAACCCTCATCTCACTCCGAAGAAACGTGTAGATAATTGGATTCAGAACTTAGTTGAGTTTAACTTCAAAGTTTAAATTCAAAGCTTTTGAAGTCTTGAATTGCTCTTAATTGTTCTGTTTTTAATTTCTTTATAAAGCTCCTTAAATTGTAAACAAGCTGACTGTCAAATTATAGAAGTTAAAATATATCAATTACTAAATATCAAACTCTTGACTGAACCAAGGTAAAGCACCGCATTGGTCGTGAAAGAGCCGGCTTGTAAAGCTCTTCCATATGACTTTTGCTGAAGATTATTTTAGGATTTTTCTTTGATTTGGGCCAATGTTTTCTGAGATCTCACCTGCGCGAATTTACTGGCAAGAATAATATTAATAATTGCATTTGGCGTGCCACATAAAATCGCCGACGATAAGACAGCTAGAATAACTTTCGTAGTCCTTGAAAAAGGTCATGAAATTGCTTTCGAGTTGAGCGACTTGGGAAAGTACCTCGACTTCAGCGAGAGAATATTGTTCTCCACTTTCCGCGAGGTGGTACTCATCAGCGAGTTAGCCATGTTTCGTTTATGCTTTGCAATTCGATGCTTTCTACCGGGGCAAAAACTGATACGCTTTCCAGATTCACGGAAGTTAGAGAGACCGAAAATGACTTTAAATTACTCATGTAAAAAAAAGGTTAAAACTGTCGTGGTAATTCCATGACTGATCTTTTAATATTTTTCGACGGGTGACGGATTGAACTGGCCCACTGCTCACGAGCTCAAAATTATTTATGACCTTGCCTCCAAATTTTCCGTTTGAGAATTTTCAAGCTGGAAACGCCATTTTCCGCCGGTTCCTGGTTTTGCACCAATGTCAAAACAATAAGCAAGTAGAACAGGATTAATAAAGCGCCAGGAATGTAAAAAGTGATGGCTGTCCGGGCGATGAAGAATATTCTAAAAAAATATAAAAGTTTCCGGAAAAAATGAAGGTAATACGTGTATGCATGAGGGGTCTTCTTTCTCCAGTTCTCCAAGTCCCAAACACAGGAAGTCCCGTTTTTGTTGAAAATATTATCGTCTTGCTTTGAAAGATTTCGATCCAATAATGCAAATATACTGAATCAAGCTTGTACAAGAAGCTCCAAAATCATTTTATTTGCTGTTATTTTCTCATGCTCGATCCTAAGAGTGACTGAGAAAATCCAAACTCCAATGCATAAGTAAACTCCAAATTTCACAGAACGATAGTTTCTCCCACTCATTGGCCATCTAAAAAATACAGTAAAGGATGCTCACTGTTATCCTTGATTCAGAGCACTAGGTCTGCTTTATTCAGACATAAAATCTGCTAACCTGACGGCGATGAATCGATCTAAGGCGAGAATGACAATCGAGAATCGCGTGCAAATCATGCAGATGTAGGTAAAGAACGAGGTCAGTTTGCAGCCGAGGACGCCGAAGGGAAATGTCATATTGTAATACTGTTCTACGATGCTTGGAATCACGGAAACCAGCAGCAGTCCATCTACGAGAATGAATGTACTGAAGCTGAGCTTGGTTTAATACTGACCAGCAGCTGCCAGGCTTATGACGTAAACGTCAACGACATGACGTTGGCGAAGTTGATATGTTAATTGGAAAACTAAAGTGGATCATGAATAAGTCCCCATTTGCTACTTGACTTTGATTACCTACTAAGTTTGCAATAAGTCCTAAAATAACCAAGATAACGTAGACAGAAGGGAGGGCCCGGGTAATGTACCAGCGCAAAAAGATATTTTCTGGAGAAGATTCGCAAAAGCAACTTCTTTCAAGCCAATCTTGGAAGCCAGAGTTCTAAATATATAATATTCAATTTCCTGGTTTATTCAGGATTGTTACTTTTTGCTCGTAATTGCTGTTCGTATTCTCGTGCAGATATTCTTTTACGTCGCTGTAGCTGAATTTATACCGATTAATAAGCTCTCTAAAATCAATTCCATCACCGTTTTTTTCAGATCTTGTTTCAAAGAAGAATTTGATGTTGTAATACAATTGAAAGTTATTCATAAATTTATTGGACCCCGTGGTAACAATTTCTCGAAGGTTCAAAAGCAATTCAATATATTATATTTCCACTTATTTTCCAAAAGAGATATCATTGACGATTAAGGCCGGAAAGTCAAAATTAACCTTTGACGCAAGATCAAGTTCTCCCCCTTTCGACGCTGATAAGATAAAGTTTCCTTATGATACTTTATTCCGTCAAAGTTCAACCTCACCTGATCCCGTTTGCCGGCATATTCTGGCCGGCGTGATTGATGAATATTTTGCATTCGAGATCTTCAGAATTGTTTGTTTTGCTGCAGGGTTCGAATGTGAGCATGTCTCTTTCATTGAGGTCGATTATAGAGGCTAGATGCCTCAGATACAGTTCCTTCATGATTTACTTTTTTTCTTTTTGGTGTTTCTCTTAGTGGAAGAACGAATGATATTGATATTGATTTAGTAAAAAGGAACAATTGCTACTTAGGTAGTATCAGCGCTCGAGGACAGCCGTGGACAGAACTGATTCTGCTCACCGCACTTTTTATAACGCTGTCCGGGCATAGTATTACGCTACATTACCCTTATTGGGCTTATCGTCACGGTCAAGGTTGAAATAAAACAGCTAGTTTTGCAAAATTTTAATCACCAAGTTTCCTTAAAAAATATATTTTATTCTGATCAATTAAAGGGATTATAATAAGACCGATATTTCTTCTTTAAAACTTTGCCGCCCCTGTATTATTCATGAATAAGTTATTTTAAATAACTTTAAATACCAGGGGGCCACCTTATTAGATACTGACATTACTGTAAAATTATCAAATAAAATATTAACGGTTTAAAACACGTTCTCTTAAAAAATGATCATTTATTTTTTAATGGAAGTTCGATGTGATTGACAAAATCTTTATAGCTCTTCAAGCGAGGTTCCCTTTCAAAGGATAAGTGAAGAATGAGCCGTATTATGACCATCAGGTATCAAAGATCACGGTTTAGGGGAGCTGAGCGCGGATTTGCGCGACTCGAGAAAATAATGAAAATAACTCAGAGACGATATATTGTGAAGAATGATCCTTTTCGTTTGGGTGGCAGACCAGACAGTAAGCTTCCCTCAAAGTTAGGCCTCGGACGTTAGGGCCATCAAAATTTTCGACCCCGACCCAAGAGTGTCAAAAAAGTTGCCGCTGAAGTTTTTTGATGCCGGAATTAAAAGATTCTCCAAATTCAAAAGCTTCGATGGTCCTTTTTCTATTTTGATATTCTCTGAATTCATTGTCGACTTCCAGTGATCGTCAACGAAATCTTCTTAGTTAAAGTTGTCTAAATTTCCGCTCCCTTATCTCAAATAAAGCGCAGATGAGCAGCAGAATAAACTCTCTTGACACTGAGCAGGTTGCAATCGGCGCAATCTAAAGTTAAAACTTCATTTCCTTGAGTGCCCAAAAGAAAACGGCTAAAATGAAGACGATCAAAAGCGAATAATATGCTGCATTATGTATGCACTTTTAACAAGAGGCACCCTTTTTACAACAAAATCTCATATGCTGAGCTGTCAACTTCTTTTTCATGAACCTTCACGCCTCCTGATTACAACTATTCGGGACGACACGGCCCGAAGTTCGGGCCCCGAACTTCCAGAAAAGTGTCCATTACTTCAGCTGATTTTCTGGACAAAAGAAACAAAATTGTCAAAAAGTGGCTGATCAAGAGGGGACCGAAAGGTACCTGCTCTAATCTGTTATTGCTGAATGGGATCATCGGGACTCCCGATTCGGGAGACTTACTTTTGATGGATACAGTATCAGACTTGATCCTCCAAAAATATAAAAATTTTTCTTTCAAATTGTTAAACAAATTATCTTTTGTATAAATAGAAATCAAAATTAGAGATGGTTTATTTTTGAAATGAAATTATACAGTTCACTTGGCATTTATTGGCAGATTCTGCAGTCTCAAAGTTGTTGGAGTGTGCCGGCAACCACGTCTGAAATAACTTACTTGTGCATTGACTTGCTAAACCTGGAAAATAGTGATTACAGCTTTTCTTCCGTCCAGATTTGGAAACAATTTTGATCGGCGAAATTGGTGCTGATCCATAAACAATTGGTGAGCGAATATCGAGCGTTTCTCGCCGCTGAAATAAGCATTGAGATTAAATTATATAAATTGTCTAACATTATTTCTTCTACAAGTACATTCCGGGTTGACTGCATTTGGTTGTGACTGCCGCCTCAATCGATCTTCATTATCCTCGGCGTCGACGGTTGTCACCATTGTCGCTGCCATAGAATTTTCGTAAAGCTCGCCGAAACGATTTAAGATTTCTAAAAGTGAATAGATTCGAAGAATGAACTATTTACCTAGGTTTGCGATGCGTCGCATGAATTTATCGAATCGACGGATTAGCAAAGATCTCAATTATATATTCTAGCGTTGTTTCGGTAACGATTTATACCGCATTTCCCGGCGTAAAAAGGTGTATATAATCGGGTTAAGCACGGATCCAAGATAGAGAAGCATATTCGTAGTGAGAGAGACTCTGTACAGCGTCGGAGTCAGCTCTTCTTCTTTGGACATCTGGCGCGCTTGGAGGATATTACTTAATGCATTCGGCATCCCACAGGCCAGCGACGAGGATAAAACAGCAAGGATGACTTTGGTTGTGCGCGATTTGAGTGACAATATGTTAATTTGTCTGGTGGCTTATATTTATTTCGACCGATCAGACTTTATCTTGAAAACAAGCCCTTTCCTGCTAGGAACATTACTTCCAACGCTGGTCTGTGATTTTTTATGCTTCGTGAGTCGATGCTTGTTTCTGAGTTTTAAATCTTGAGATCAATTTTGAACATTGCTTATTGAATATTACACAAGCTTTTTCAGCCATTTTACGGAATTAATTCGTAAAAAAAACCGTGGAAACGGGAGGAAATCTGACAGTCAATGTTGAATACTGTTGTGCCAGTATTACGCAAAAAAACGGAACGTACGATTCTCAGGATGATACTGATCCGAAGATTATATAAATTCTTGAAACTCCTCCTGATTTCTCAACAATGTTACGATGATCGCGATATAAAGGAGAATAAGTATTGTTTGAGGAAGATAGAAAATAATTGTTATCCGTGCATAGAAGAATACGGATAGGGAGATTCTAAAATAATGACTAAATATGATTATTTAATAAGCTTACTGGTCCTCCATCAGAGACGACAGATCCCAAACGCACTCGCCCTTGTCTTTCTTTCGATATTTAAGACAGTAAATACTGCTCACGATCGCGAACGTCCAAACGGCACTGCATAAAACATTCGCGAATTTTCGCGTCCGGCATTTTCTCCCAGATATTGGCCACCTAGGTAACAAATTTCAAGATTGAATTAACGCAGAAGTGACAATAGTGATGTCTTACTAATGTAGAACTTATGTGTGAACATACCCGACAGCAATATATCGATCAAGTGCAAGTATCACTACGGAATATCGCGTGCAATTCATGAAGATAAACGTCGCATACGAAACAATTTTACAACCAATATCAGGAAAAGGAAAATTCCCATATTTCTCCATGATGTCATTCGGGATTGTTGACAGCAGCAGCAAACCATCTTATAAATATTAAAGCCAATTCTTTGATTATGAATTTACCGGCAACACAAAGATTCAGAACATAAATATCAACAACATGGCGTTTGCGAAGATGAACTGTAAGGTAAAAAACGACGACATTGGCGATTAATCCAAAGAAGACGAGGAAGCAGTAAATTGTTGGCAGAATTCGATTGACATAAGGAGAGATGGTACAGTCGCACTGCTTTTCAAGCCAGCTTATCGTCTAAAAAAAGTTCAGTTTTCATCCTTGTTGTCAGAAATCAACAACGATTAATCTTTCTTTACCCCGTTTGAAAGACGCGATTCCGGATCAGTTTTATTGTTGAAGTCAAGAATTTCTCCAAATCTAAAAGCATTCACTATCAGCTTTACTTTTCAGACTCACGTGATTCCATTTTCTGGCAAAACACTGCCTTGAAAAACGAATTGAATAATGCAACCACGAAGTTTATCTCTGCATAAAAACTGAAGCATATCCCTACTCCAAGATTTCTCTTTGCCAATGATAACTTTATATATTTTTGTTAAAAGTTTCATATACAGGCTGATTTCCGAATCGGAGGCACCCATTTGAAACCTTCAAATTAGTGAGAAAGAGATGGATCTTACTTTAGTTCTCTATCAAAAAGCTTTGAAAAATCGTTGACTGATTGATAAATGCTTTAGCAAATTTGCCAGAAGCACTCCATTCTTTTCCGTCAAGCTCATCCTCGACTTTCGCGTCTCCGCTCGTCTCAAAAAGTCGAATGAGAAAAGAAAATTGAACTGGTAATTAACAATATTGAAATGAAGTCGTGCTCTGAGTTGAGCAGGTAAATTTAATTGATGAATAAGACAATCGTACCCAGAAAAATCGGCGAGATCTTGTCACTCAACCTGTCAATAAATGGCGCTTACAGCATATGCTGTCTTACTCCAAAACCTCAAAACAACTCTGGTCATCAAAATTGCATTCGTTCTTCGTAACTTAGAGGGTCCTTTCTCTTTCTTACCAAACCTTAATGAGGATGCCGAGGAACGCAAATATAAATGAACCTTAGAAAATAGTCTTTGAAAAAGCTGCTCAAGATGCACTTTTAGAAAAGATTCGGATCCTCGGAGAATCGGAGACCATTAGGATTGATAAAGATCAAGGATTATCTTGGCCTGAGCGTGAGCTTACTCCACCTTTTTACAGCTGTGTCATTATACATGCTACATTAGCTGACTTTTTGAATGATCAAGTTCATGGAGAAGCGTAAATAAAATAACCATTATTTTCCCCGTTGCGCTTTAGGGACATTAAAAATCATCCGGATAAGCAATTATCCTAAGCCCAAAGAATCTTAATACCGAGTACACTTCATCAATTTTTGCGCTAGAGAAACCTTTCAATTGAAATTGAAACCAAAGGTGTTTGGAGTCGTCGAATTCTTCCAGCTCTTCGAACCTAATGGAATGGCATTTTCTAGGAACTTGTTGAGTTTCTCTTCGAGAGAACCAATTTGGTTCTTTTTCTCTCCAAAAATGATTTCAAAAGAACAGGTCCACTGATGATTTAAAAAACGTCTGAGCGTGTAAACTATCAAATCGGTTTTCAAAGGAGGGAGAGACAAACGTATGAATTAATAACGGGAAATGAAATAAAATCAAGGTAAAACTCGAACGCATGCGAAACTCTTCCCTGAAGAAGAAAGAAAAAGCTGCCGATTCCGTTATTCTCTTTGTCCATAATAACAGTAAATTATGCATGCAACAAAGAGAACCTGTGGAATATAAGCTTACAATCAGACAAATTGCTAGAGCTTGACCTGCTATCAAACATATGCCGATTGAGAATTGTGATTACAAAAGATGGTCTTCCATTAAGTAATCACGAGGGTAGCTTGCAAAAATAAAACTTTATTACATATGAAAATAATCAAAATTTAAATAAAAAAGTTAGGAGCGAAAATGCTGTTTTCCGATCAGTAAGCAAATAGGATTGAACTCGCTGTTGATTTGAGTCAGGCTTCGTAATCTTCAACTATCCCATCGTATACGTGTTTGAGGCTAAATAGAGGGTAAATATCAAAGCCAAAAAGCAATTGCTGGCACCTTGCATCGAAAGTTTGTCGATGACTTTCACCGCGATATTTGGAGGCATCCTCAAAACGAGTTCATAGAATAGATACAGAAGAGCTAGCTCGTAATTAGGACACATTATTTGCTGAGAAAAATTGACCTTCTACACTCTCTTTTCATTAGGAAGCTTAATTATTCAGCTACTTCATCAAATACCCATACTCAGTATCAAACTTAAAGAACTCTGCCTCAGACCAGGTGCAATCCTGAGCCAAATTTACCCTCGGTCCTTTATTTGCAGCAATTTTCCGTTCCAGTCTTACAAGCGATGCATCGAGCTCACCCTGAAAAAAACTTTCACACAAAATATATCGAGTCGATCCTCACGTGTCTGTTGAATTCTTGTGCGCGGGGTGATTCAAGTAATCTTGAAATTCTTTCTCGGATCTTCTCGTACGTATTTCCGGTGTAATCAAGTTCAGTTACCATAGTTTGCCTGGACTTGGTGGGAGGAGCTTTGGTTTCCGAATAAGTAGAGGTATATCGTGCTAAAGATATAGGATAAATTGACGCGCTTAAATATCCGGCCCTAAATCCCCTAGAAGGCAGCTGCAGCTGCCAACTTAAGGATTGTTGCTTCTTTTGGTGACTTTCACCAGGTGAAGTATTCTTCTTACTTCTGTAAATAAACTTATCAGAATACCTAGATTGTGATTATCATTAGCACCAACGAACGGCAGTGGTTTTTTCGTCGACGATTTAGCTGATTTTACTCTTTCAGCCGGTTAAGAAAACTTGTTTGTGGAATTATGTCTGACATTGTCTAGGATTACATATGTCAAATGATGAACCCGCTCCTTCTTTCGGGAGATTTTGCACGGAAGGAAATCGTCGTGTTCATGAAACGAGGATCATCAGATCTACGGACCGCGCTTCTGGAACGTTGCGATTTTTGTTGCGTCTAAAAAGTCTTGTGACTATATTTGGGAAAGGAGCACCTCAACAGCCTGTTGAAGATTCTTCGCAGCAGTGCGAGTTAACCGATCGTCGCTTTTCGACATTTCGAAAGCTCCTCGTCCACGAACAGGGGATGGGCTGCGGACACGGTTGGTTATCGCGGTACCTCCAAATTTTCGCCTCGCTGTGACTTCTTTGATGGTCGTTTTTGTACTGAAAGGTGGTTTTAGAGCGTTGGTTTATTCGAGGAATACGACTGTACCTAAATTCGAGTTTTGGTTCAAGAAGTCCCGTGTAAAATTGGGTCCGATTCATCAGGACTTCGCGGTGGACTCCTGGATAAGTGTCCGACAGCTGTGGTGTTGGGAAGAGAAAGTCGCGCGCGCTCGCAGCGTAATGAGCAAGGATCTGATCCCCAAGGGCGCCTTCTTGAATCAGCTTGATCGAGATCATCTGCTTCGCCAGTTCGTTGGCCAGCTGTCCCGGATCAGTTAGATATGGGAAGATATGGGTGATGTTCAGACGCTTGTGGAGAAGAATGGGGAAGATAGAGGGACTTGCTTCAGATCGCAAAAGATGTCGAAATATTTGCATTTCAATATAAAGCGGCCCTCGTGTGCCCAAAACCGTGCCCGGGCTGGAGACGGCGTCCAGGTTCAAATCCACGCTCACTTTCAATCCTTTCACCATTCTTCGAATTTTCGAAAGTTAGAAATCGAAAAATTGAAACGGCAGGTGTATAGTTCAGGTCAGTAATGAAGAGTCGTAAATCAGTACTAGCTAAGTTTAGAGTTTAAACAGTTATTGAACGGTGTGTGATGAAAAATAAAGATTTATCTAGATCCCTGGTTGTATCCGCTCGCCCAGCTTGGCCTCGTTGAACGGGAACTAGAAAAATGAATAAATGAAAAAAAAAAAAATATGCGGGCTAAAGTGCGAGTCTCTTTGTTTGTCAATGAGATCAAGCGACATCGCCAAAATTTGCGAGTTTTATTGACTTTGATCGTAACTGCAGCTTTTGAGCTCAAAGGCGCTTCCTTTTTGGAAGAATCACTGACAAAAATAAACAAACATGAAATCCTTACTCTGAACTTCGGGCAGGCGGTGCGCGCGAATTTTGATACATGTCTCGGGTTGAGTTGCGTGATTGCGAGGTTGGGTTTGAATCGGTTCGGCGTGAGCTTCGGCTATCTTCGTATGCTGGCTCTCCTGAGCTTTTCCTTAGGAAGTAATTTTACATGCAAGAAATGATGCCCAATTCCTACCTTTGATAAGGGTGCGAACGCGAGTCTGGCGTTCTGTAAGCATCTCTTGAAGGACCACCAGAAGATACGTCCCTTCGTCCATCTCTTCTAGAATCATCTGGACGACTACGAAAGACAGTCGACGATGATCTGCCCATATCTCGATTTCCGCCCCTTGAATCCCGAGATTGAGAAAGCTTTGATTCGTATGACTGTCTCTCTGCATTGAGTATTTCTCTGAATTAACATGAACATATCTGAGTAGCGAGAATAACTTACTTTTCGCGAGCATAACGCTTTTTCTCTTCTTCTAGCTGTCTTCGCTCACGCTCGAGTTTTTCTCTTTCAGAGTTTTCTCGCGAAGACTTCTTTGCCTTTTCTTCTAGCGCCTTAATCTTTTCCTGAAATCCTAATGAAAAACAGTTGTTTTTAAAGACATCATTACTCTGATTTCCCGTAAGCTGTGCTTGTAAATGGCCAGTTCCTTTCTTCCGTTATCAAGCTCTAGTTGCGCCTTCTCAAGCTCTTTTTTCGACTTTCGTCGGTCTTCGAGAACAGGGTCTTTTTCTCGCTTCAATTTTTCGTCTAAAATCTCAATAAAATAAGAAAACCAAAGAAAATATAGTGGAAAAAGATATCTTACATTCATCACGAGCTTTTTTGAGCTTGATCTTTTCGTCCAAGTACTCTCCTCGGTCCTTCTTTTCCGATTTTTCATAATGCCGCTTATCGTCTTCCAGTCTTCTCTTGTTCTCCTTGAGCCGTCGCATCTTCGAGCGCGAATCGTAGACTTCATCTCTCAAATACCTTCCCTTTTTTCGTTGAATCTCGTTCTTCTTTTTTAGTTCTTTGAGCTTGTTTTCCTCTTCATTATCGGCGTTTTCTTCCTTGTTCGCAGGCACTTCTTCGTCTCCAGCAGCTTTCTCCGATTTCTCCACTGTCACTGAAACTTGTTTTCCTGAAATTTCAGTCCCATCCAAAGCAGCTTTTGCAGCAGCCGCTATTTCTGCAGATTCGCAAACGACCATTCCAAGATATTCATCCGTGTTTTCAACATTCCAGATTTTCGCGTTTTCAACTAATCAGGAGGAGATTAAAACGATAATAAACGAAGACGTCATTCTTTCACTTTTCGAAATTCGAACCTTTTCCGAAGGGAGTTACTGCTTCATTCAGGGCTTCAGCTTTTACGGAGGCATCGAGGTTTTTAAAGTGGAGGTATTTAAAGTGGAGGCTTTTCGTTTGATCGCTGGTGTCTTCGGCATTTTGATCTTCGGAATGCGGAATCTCTTCCTCTAACGGCTCGTAGTCGAGTTCCAACTCGTCTTTTGTCTCGTCCAGGAGGCAGCTCTCATTCGCCTCCTCTTCAGCTAACGCGTTGTCCTAGTATTCACTTTTGTTCTATTCAGACACTGAGTTTCTTATTTGTTTAATTCAATAAGAAAGAAATAATGATGCCAATCTTGGATGAGCTCTTTACCGGGTTTTCGCTTACGGATACGTCTTCATTCTCCTTATTTTTCTGCTCCGGATTCTCTTCTGCCGCGAGTTTGTCTTTAGGTGATTCTTCAACAACATCAGATGAGGCATTTTCCTTCATCTCGATGTCTTCTGACTCTTGCGCGTCAGCTGGGGCATCTTTTGATCCATCTGCGGAACCATCCAGTGCTTCTTCAGGTTGGTCCGGTTTGTCGGCATCGTTGACTGGTTCTTCAGACGGCTCGGCTGGATCAGCATTCTGTTCTTCAGATCGCTCCTCAACAGGATCCTCATCTATTTTTTCTTCTTCTTCCACTTCATTCTCAGCGTCGATGGCAGGTTTATCCTCTACTAAAAAGGCATTCCCTCGATTCTTTACGCAACAGTTCTACCTTCCAATTTCTTCGTCTCTTCCTTAATTTTCTCAATCGAATCTTGCTCTACCTCGCTAGTCATATTGGCAATGCGCGTGCTACTTTCTGCAAGAGTTCAAGAAGTCTTAATTTCTTTATAAATTCCAGTAGATGTTTTTTTGTAACAGAAACTGAGCTGCAATTATTTTTATTAAAAAATATAATAGAATAAAAGAAGGACTGAAGCTGCTCTTCATCGAGATGAGCGCTAAACCAGAAGGTAACTTTTAGGAAGATGAAGAAACTGGGAATGATGTTTCAAGAATACACGAGGAAAATAAAATAATAATAAAAACGGTGGTTCGAGAGAAGGGAAATCTCGCTGATCCGGACTTCCTTCGTCCATCGGATAGGGAGAGATAAAGAACAGAAATAATAGATTCACAATAAACTATTATTGAAAAACGAAGTCATTTGGAGGATTTTTCTTGGGCACTTGTATTTTGATTGGGTTCCTCGTCGAGGACGACTTTGCTTTCATTGGCGACTCCCCATGGGACGTGAGCAGCTGGAAGTCCGTATTCGGTCGATGATTTGATGTTATCCACCTAGGAGCAAGATATGTTATTGAATATGCAGCAGTTTTCGTACCTGGTCGTCGAAGAATAAATGCGGCTTGATCTTATCGAGCAGGGGTCCCTTAGGAGCACCGGCCATGAAATGCGCTTCGTCGATGTCCAATCCCCATGATCTGAGTGTTTTCATCGCTCGTGAACCGGCTGAAGCAGCGCTAGAAGATGTTAGCTGACCGCCGCGTGAATAAGAATGTACCTGCGAGCAGTAACAAGATAAGTACGAATCGGGCATTCTGTGTGCACATCTCTGAATTTCTTCTGCATCTGTCCAAGAATCCAGGCGAATTGAATCAGCGGTCCTTTTTCCAGCGGAATATCCTCTTTCTCTGTCTCATGGTCGAAGAATCGGAAGAGACCCTCGCGTTTGGCAACTGCTTCGGCTTCATCGGAGAAAAGAACGGCATCGCCATCGAAGGCAACGCGGAGCTCGTCGTTTTCCTCGATAGATTTCGAGTAGGGTGGCAACGTCGCCGCTGAAGAGTTGTTTGAGAATCAATAAAAAATGACTCACAAAAGAAATAGTAAGAAAACACTGGAAGCCCTCATCGAGATGGCGATTTTCAAGATGGAAGTGGTCTTAAAAGACTCTCATCCTGATGAAAGACCTATATAAAAGAAAAATCTTCCTCAGAAGTCAATCAGAACAAGAAAAAAATCTTGAGAAAAAAATAGATAAATCTCGCGGATTGAAAATGCCACGATATTCAAGAAAGCGACGAGAAATTCCTTTTTATGCTGGGATTCTTGAATACGTTAGTGTCCCCAGTTTGAAATTTTTATCGGAGAATTTTTCTAGGGTTACGAGATTTCGATTGTCTACGCTTTTCAGCTGCGCAAAGGCGATATAAAATGCGGGCGAATCGGTACTTGGACGAATCCTTCTTACACGATCAAGAATCCCCACTATGCTGCGCTCAAATGTAAGAAAAATTATTCAGCTCTAAGTTTCTTATGGTTCTTTTAAGCGCTTGAAAAGCTATTCGAGCATATTGCTGCGCGACACGACTTCAACAAGAGAAAAATCCGCATCGTGGCTTACTGGGACAGCCAGATTCGAAATGGCTACTCTAGCTTGAAAAACTCGCTCGAAACGAATATGAAAAAATACGATGTGCAGCTTGTCTCTGTTCCCGGAAAAATGTGGCGAAGCCCGGAACATGTGAAGACTTACGGCTTGATTAAAAATTTTGCTGAATCTTGCGTTTGAAATCGAAAGAAATTCAATAAATTAGAAAAAATGATTACCTGGTACTCCCACTCTGAGCGCATCTTTGACTTTCGAATGATCAGTGGAGAGATAGAGATGTGTTCCATAGGCAGTGAGGTAGTTTGTCACAGGCCGACCGGCGGTCAGACAAACTCGCTCAATGTTGAGCCCATGGTGTCGGATGCTGTTGAGATAACGCACCCCACATTGCGCGTGATTCTCTGACATCAGAACAACGTCAAACAGATTCTTTTCTTCTGGGTTGATTTCCAACAGGGCTGAACATGGAAAGTTAAAATCCGGGTCACCAGAATCTGATTTGTCATTCTTTCAGAATATTGTCTCAAAAAAGAGTCGTCACGACAATTGTTCAACATAAGAGTACCTAAATTAACCGCCTCAATCGCTTGAACAAAGGCAAAAGCTGGCCCAGGCGCAAGTGGAACATTTTCAGCTTCGACCATGTGTTTGATGTATCCCTCTAAGCCTTGCTCTTCCATGACTGTTCTTCCTTCCCGAAGATCGAAAAGCGCTCGGCTGGAAACGCAAATGATGCAGGCATCCTTTGGCTTTGGTGTTTTTCGGTGCTAGAATTGAACAATTTAGTTTTATGAAGAATAGAGGCATTACAATTCGTAAATTAAGTTTGGACATGATATTTTTCAAGGTTCATGCCAGGTGTAACTTAAGTTCAGCTACTAAGAAAGATTTTCCGAAAGAAAAAGATTCTAGAAATCAAGGAAGAAAGCAAGAGCGGATGCGCATTAGTGAGAACTCTCAAACTAAAAGTTGCAATCTGTTAATCTTTATTATTCCGATTCAATTAATTTATAAATCCAAATAGCGATTGTTCAATATGAATGTACCTGATGCCAGATCGGGTATTCATAAGAGACCTGAGTGAAAAAATACAAGTTAGAAATAAGTATAGAGTTAGACGAGTTTTAAATTACTCAAGTTTCAAGCAAACTTGGTCCCGTAGACCAAAAAAGACCAGAATGAGTAAAACCAGTAAAGTTTTGCTGCCTAGTCAAAACGCCCGTAAAAAAGGAAAATGACTGTACTGCTCTGCATTCCGAAAAAGACTATTGCAAATAGTCTGTTAGACGTGAAACTAATTTTACGATTTTGGATAGAAGAACTGGTAATTGCTACTTTTGTTACGGACATCTTCGTTTCAGAAATAGAGTCTTTTTCTTATCAACGAGAAAAGGAAGCGTTAATTTGACATCTCATGAATAACCATAAAAATAAATCGACAGAAAAAATGAATCATCCATTTTCAACGCCGATTTCTCCTCTTCTTTTTCAAAAATTGACACTCACCGGCCTGCCAGTCGAGCTCGTCGAAATCGTTCTAGTTTTTCCCATTCCGAGAATTTTTCCGGCTTCGAGATGATCTGAAATAGGTACGGTCAGTTTTCTCAGCGTTCTCATTCTCTTCTTCTTTTCACAATTTACAATTAAAAAAGGGATGAATTTCAAAAATGCTGTAGGTGGCAAAATACCAAGCGATCGATAATCGCGGCGATTTTCTCTCTTTTCCAATTACTGTACTACAGTCACACTTTTCAGAGTCTGCTCGACTCGATAAAGAAAATAAAGGACAGGCCGAGAGCCAAAAAAGTCAAAAATGATTATTCAGCCAATCGGCGCTGCGCGCTGATTTTTCCCTTTTTCTTTTCTGAAACTAGAACCAAAGTCCCGAATCCTGACTTTTATAAAGAGAAAGATCATGTGACTACCACAAGGTGGAGACCTTCTTTCTAAAATAAATCAACTCTCACCGGGACATAATATTCTTCGTGTCGCCCTGAGCAAGGGCGTAATTTTCATTCACTTCCTCTTTTTCAACCCTTTTCTCGCTTCTTGAACGGAAAATGCCGTTTTATTGACTTTTTTGAGTCAGCAGCTCAGAATCGATGACGTAATAAACAGCGCTCGTAGTAGGGCTTGAGCGACTTTAGCTCACAAGGACTTCAGCTTTTTTATCAGAACTCATAGACGCCCAGAAGGGAGGTCAGACGAATGTTGCGTCATTTGGAGTTTCAGCCTTTTTTTTCTTTGGGAAATTCTAAAAGAGAAAAAATTTCATTTCGTCGTTAAATTAGATCGTAAAAAAGACATGTTAAACAATACTAAATAAATTAATTACTAAGAATTTAAAATGGTGGATAAATATCTTTAAGACTTTCAACCGTAAGTTACGGCCCGTAACTGTATTATTTTTTTCTCTAGAATGGAGCTTCTCTTACATAAAGTTGAAATCTTCAGAGATCTGTTCGAATCAGAAAAGAGGAAGGCGAAGAATCGGAAAGATCGATTGCTTTTGTTGAATGCCGGAAAAAGCACTTTTGAAGTTGCTGCTGGTCGGCGACTCTGGTGTTGGAAAGTCGGCGATTTTGATACGATACGCGGACAATACTTTTACGGGTAAGCACTGCTTACTAAGCAGCCCCGTTTTTTTGGGCGACACTTGATTTTCAAATTTTCTCGCTGTTGGAGGTCAAGTCGGCTTGATGACCTATTTTTAGATGTCTACACGGGCACAATTGGGGTCGATTTCAAATTGAAGAAGATCTACAAAAGGGGCGAAGAATTAACGCTTCAAATCTGGGACACGGCCGGGCAGGAACGATTCAAATCTCTTGTTAGATCGTTAGTTCTATTTTCCAGGTTGACGAACTCAATTTTTGTAGATTTTACAACGGTGCTAATGGAGTCGTCGTCGTCTTTGATCTCAGCAACAGGACATCTTTTGAGGCGATCAGAAGGTGGATGAGCGAGATAAGAGAAAATTGCGATGAAATTCCTCGGATTCTGGGTAAGTTTCCTTTCCCATTTTCTTCCTTGATTTCAACCGGCTTTTCTATCAGTTGGAAACAAAGTCGATGGACCTAGAAGTGTTTCGCAAGCAGAGGGTGAACAAATCGCAGCAAAATACGGCTTACAATACATAGAAACATCCGCAAAAGTATAAATAATCCGCTGATCATGAAAGTAATCGATTTTCAGACAAATTTGCGAATCGAAGAAACCTTCGAAAAGCTAACCGACCAGATCATGATTCAAAGAAAGCCGAAAACGCCGAGGACTGATAATGATAAAATCTACCCTGGCAAAAAGCAGAAACGAAAGAAAAAGACGAAACCCGCCAAATGCAGCCTCAACTAGATTTGAAAACGCAAGTCATTACATTACCAGCAGTCCAGTCCTCCAATTGGTACCTGTCATTTACTCTATTCCAATAAGAAACGCAAAGCATCAGATATTGTAAAACTGATAAAAGATACTCTCTTTGTTATACGCAGTAATTATAAATTACACACTGTCAAATTTGTAATTCCTATCAAATTTCTCATGTTTTGATGCATTCTCCAGAGTATTATTCGCTCTATAAATCGCCTCTTATCAAAAACAACCGAAGTCTTCAAAACTTTCCTCTTCTCTGTATATAAAGAAAAATAAATATTCAACGAGTCTATCAAGCTACCTGAATTTCTGAAAGGACCCCCGTCACTCAGCAATATATGTCACAAACGCAACGCGCTCGCCCTATGTTTTTAACATTGAAAATGTGACATAATTTGACTGACTGGAAATTCCGTCAGTCAGGAATGATAATCGCGGTAATTTGTCTGTTTTTAAAAGAAATCGGAAAAAGAAATGAGCACGAGCTTCTTGAGAAGATTCTTGAGTGGCTCGCCGCAACTCGCCAAAATGAGCAAAAGAAAAGAGCTTCTTCAAAGAAAAAAAGTCCAGCACTAGGTCTAGGATTTGGGGTGACCGGAGGTGATCTGAAATGAGTCGCCGAAAATGAATCACCGAAAGATGTGATAGAGCTCCGCGGATCACCTAAACGAGGTGATCGGAGCCGATCACCCGCCTGAATTTTTTGGTGATTTAGGTGATCGAGATCACCTCTGACTGGTGATCCAAACATTTTCGATCACCAAAGTCGTGTGATTATGGTCAGGGCAGGGGTCGATATTTTGATGTCAAATCGCTTTTTCGACCACTCTTTATTTGAAATTTTAAGAGATTATCTCCATTTCACTTTCTACTATTATGAAAGGGGCTCGCCCCGGGAGCGAAATACGCTTCAACCCTCTAATCCGACTCAGTTATAACTGTATAACTGTATATACAGTTTTTACTCATATGAAGTATAAGTTAATAACTTATACTTTACATTTACTTACTAACCCTTTACTTTGGATTCATTAGTTACTAACGGCAAGGGTCTGAATTTCCGGAAAATCGAAAAAGTAACTAAAGAAAGGATTAACTTCTCAATACACGGGGTCGGTAAAACCGACCACGGTGACTTAGGCCCTCAATTTATTCGAAGGTGGTAATCCGTTTTACCTATTTTTTCCAATGTGCGAATTTTCGTGAAATTTCTCAAGAAAGATGGCTTTTTGCAACAGATTTCTCTCGCGCTCTCTATCAAAAAATCGGAAGGTTTTAAAAATGATTCAACTGATGTCAAACCACAAGAGAAGATGACAATTATGTATAAAAGCTTTCTGATACTTGAAGCGACTTTATGTCGGAAGAAATAAAAAACTTTATGAAAAAACTTAACAAAAATGAATAAAAAAGGAAATTAAAAACTTCATGAACCGAAATTCGACGTTGGAGATCCGATCACCCGAATTTGGTGATCGAAGAACTCCCAGAAATTGATTTGGTGATCGGGACTCGATCACCTTTTTGAGGTGATCCGAGAAACCCGATCACATCTTTTGGTGATTCATTTCTGGCGACTCATTTCAGATCACCTCCTGTCACCCCAGATCCTAGACCTAGGTCCAGCACATAAATTCTGGGATCACTGAAGAGCGAAAAAGAGACCTTCTCGTTGCTACAGATTTGTCGAAGACGATCAAAAAGGGAAATTATCACGATGTCGTCAGCTATGGCAGTAAATTGATGTCCTTGAAGAGCTTGAAGATGTTGAAAAGGGACGAAAGACGGGTTCTAGCGAGGTGAGCAGAAGAAAAAAGAGTCATTCGATCAAGGAGCTTTAAAATTACTTGATTTTTTTCAGACAAAGTCAGCTCGAAGGACGAATACCAGTTCTGGCGACCATTTCCAGCCGAGACTATCACAACAAAAAGTACCAGAACAAAGTTGTTTGGGACTTTGTCTGCACTTACGGACGGTCACTAATGCGCGGCAGAGAACCTCCTAGTCGTAGCAAAATCGAGCTTCGAATTGAAATCGACTTGCCAATTGGATTGACCAAGTTGGAAAAACGAAAGCTTGAAGAAGAAGCTGACTTTAGCAAAATCGACACAGATAAAATTGAAGCGATGATCAATAATATGAGCGTTATTTTAAAAGAAGAAAAGTTCAAAATCTTCCGGATAGATCGCTCGAGCCAGAAGAAGTGGTTCATTGAAGCAGGACCTACTGAAGAGTTTATCGAAATGTACAACAATAAGATTTATAAACTGGGCTACGGGGACCAATAAGAAAACATTTGCTGTATAGTTTCTTTTTCAAGAATGTTGATAATTGTGCGAAAACGGCTGTTTGCGAAAAGAAACCTTTCAAAAGTCGTCGAAAAAGCAGCAAAAGAAGCTGGGTTTACGAAGCTACTTCCTGTTCAAAAACTCGTTGTGGAAAATGTAGATCATGGAAAATCCAATATTCTTGTTCGTTCTCCAACTGGTTCTGGCAAGACACTCGCTTTTCTTCTCCCCGTCGTTGATCACATTCTTCAAAATCCATCGACCAATTCTTCTCAAGTTCTGATCATTGCTCCGTCGCGAGATTTGGGAATTCAAATAATGAAAGAGCTACGAAAGCTATTCGAGCATCTGCAAGACGACTTTGTGGGCGATTGGATGTCTTTTTGCGCGTTTATCAGCGGTGGAAAATCGACAAAGTCGAACCTGTTCTTTCTTCAGAAATCGCCACGAATCGTCATCGGTTCTCCTGGCATTCTTCTTGAAATGGTAGGATCGGAGATGATTGAACCAGATGACTTTGAATTGGCTGTGTTGGATGAAATAGATCAGCTTCTTTCAAAGGGGTTTTCGGAAGAGACGGAAGAGATTTTGAGCCTCATTTCTCCGGCGCGATATTTGGGCTTTAGTGCAACGAATTCAGTCGAATTTGAAGATCGTTTGAGAATCATTGCGGGAAATAGCAAAAACTTCTGCTATTTGGAAACGGAAAATGAAAGGCTTATAGAAGAAAAGCGTCCCTTCGAAACATCTTCAACCCTTTTTCATTACAAAAAATCTCTCAAAACTCTCGAAATTACTCCCTCTTCAATCGCTCAAGTAATCGCTCAAATTCGCTCCGAATTCGCGAATGAACTCGGATCGACCATCGTCTTCTGCAACAAGAAAAGAGAAGTTGATGCTCTTGCTGGGTCGCTGAGATTTATAGAGAATGCGCCTTGGAATGCGGTCTTTCAGATTCACGGAGAATTCCAGCAAAATCAGCGAAATAAGATTATGAAGGCAGTGAGAGATACGACGAAAAGCTTGCTAATAGGAACTTGGTTTTAGAGAGAAACACTACTGCCTGGTTTTCAAGACACAAATATATAATAACACAGGCTAAGGCAGGTTTCGTTACTATATTTTCTGAAACTCGTAAACAGGCACGTCGCTTATTTCCCGTGGTATCGATTTACCCGACGTTGATTTGGTCATTCATCTCGGCTGCGCGAATCAGTCAACGAAAGAGTACATTCATAAATCAGGCAGAACGGGAAGAGCTGGTAAAATTGGACACTCGGTTGTTCTCTTTTCAAGCGATTCTGACGGCGATAAACTCAAACGAATTGAAAATGATGCTTGTTTGAAATTTTCTGAAATTTAACAGGCATAGTTAGCATTTTTGAACATTTAGAATGGCTCATCATCGGAGCAACATCCCGTATCAGGAGCAAAACGATCTGCTAGAAAGCGAATTGTCCGCAAAAACAAACAGACTGAAGCAAATTGCGATCAAAATTGGCGACGAAGCAAGATATCAAAATGACTTGCTCAAGAAAATGGTCAGAACCCTCTTCATCTCCTCATTACAAACGAATCTTTTAGGATAGCGACTTCGACAAGAGTCAGGGATTTCTGGGATCGACCTTCTCCAAAGTAAAGAAACTCTCGGCCAAGGGCTACGGAGGAATGTGGTGCACGCTCTTCATGTTCATTTGCGCCTTCTTCTTCGTTCTGTATCTCATTCTTCGATTCTAGTCTCTTTTACGACTTTTTCAAATTCAAGTTCCAGCTACTGTTTTTTCTCTCATACCAAATTCTCTCTATACTAGTCCGTTTTTCTACTGGGAAATTTACTGAAATAATACTCTCTAAAAACGATTCTTTCAAAATTTCAAATATAGTGCAATAATATTTCAGCAAAAATAAATTCCTCATTGCACTAGAAAAATTGAACTTGATGTCGGTAAAAGAGCAGCAAGAAGAGGAGCTGGAAGCTTTGGATGCTATTTTTGAAGATGATGAGTGTTACGAAAAGGTTTCTGAAACGGAGTTTAGCTATAAAATTACTCCAGAAGGGTAAGACTGTTTGAATGAGGTGATGATTTTGATTTGATAAGGGAATCCGGTAAAAATGTCAAAATCGACTTTAAATGGGGAGAAAACTACCCCGAAGAAGCGCCAGAATTCAGTCTAGAGAGCTTTTACAACACTCATTTGACGGATGCGACGAAGGAACATATTTTGGAATTTTTGAAGAATCAAGCAGAAGAAAACTTAGGTACACTATCTCTCCATCAATTACTGTAGAGATTTGTCCTCTGAAGACAAGGCAGTAGTTGTTGAAAAGTTGCTAAATCCATGATGATTTAGGAGACCCCATGATTTACACCCTCATCGAAGGAGTCAAGGACAACATTGACGATTTAACAAAATTCCAAAAAGAACGCCCGACAGTAGTGAAAGAGCCTGTTGAAGTGAAAGAAAAGAAGGTCAAAGAGAAGAAAGAACAACTGACGAAACGGCAGAAAGCGAGAGCAACGAACAAACTCGTCGATGGAGAGCTGCCACGAGGACACGACTGGGTCTGTCTAATCAGGCACTTATCGCAAACTGGGGGCTTACCTGAAAGCGCTCAAAGTTGATCTCTTTTGTTTGACTGTATCTTTGATTTGAACTTTCTGTATTTGGTAAAATTGACACTCTTCATTCATGGAAATCCATCTGAAATTGCCGATAGTCGATAGTATTGATAGAACTCTCCTTCTTATTTTATGAGCCTCCATAGATTGTGAACTCTAAGTCATGAACAATTAAACTAAATTTATGCCGGGAAATTTATGATTTTATTACGCCAGACTGAAACTAGAACTAGAGCACTGGGTTTAAAGCACCAACGAATAATCAGAAAATAACAGTCTAAAATTTATCATCTGCGAAATAATCCCGTGCCAGCGTTGGCTAGATTTGCCCTTCAGTTGACACCCAGTGCCATTGTTTCAAACTCTGGAGCATCCTAGAGAAACAAAATACGATACAAAGATGGGTTTTCTCGCTATTGAAATAGTAGAAATGATGAAGGATCTTTTCCTATTTGCATGTTTCAAAATGAATATTAATGCTTTTGAAAGAATCATGTTCAATTAACCTCAAGAAATGTTTTCAACCCCTAAAGTCACATGAATTGTAGACCAGACTCTTCGTATGACTAAAATGAAATTATTTGTGCTGTTACAAGCAGGCAGTAACAGTAATTTCTTTTAGTAGAACCCAATCAAAGAGAAACATGTCTTTCAGAGGGAGACGACCTTCATTAAATATTAATTCTCCGGGAGAAGACGCCTCTCAGGTGATTATGAACTTTTCCCCAATCGACAATGGAATCTTCCATAAAAGTACTCATAAAAGACCATTTTTGAAAAAAATAACAAATAATAAAAAGGGTTTACAAGGAAAAAACCCGTCTCGTTTAACGACATTCGTCAGATTAAAAGTTCATTTCTTGTCGATTTTTCTCTCATTTTATCTTTTTAAATTGTCGCCTTTCTACGTTGGCCTCTGAGGAATATATGAGAAAGAGCTTTCCGAAGCTGTCACTTAGAGAAAGACCCAAGATATGTCCAAGCAAGGTACTTTTTCTAGCAAAGGAAAAATAGAGGCCAGACGTCATTAGCACGATAGCACGTAATACTATTGAGCTAGATCTAAATTGGTGAGAGCAAAAGAGGTTGTTTTGCTCCAGTTATTTAATATATTATTTTTGAGTAGTAAGTATAATACGGAAAACTATTCTTTTGGAGTTTCAATTTGAAATAAAGACATGTTTTCATAAGGGTGATAAAGGATCTTTATATGTGTAAGAGGACCCCTTTTAGGGCGGTATAATTTATACTATAAAGGTGCAGTAGTTATTTACAGGGGAAGATTGTAATCATTCTGGCGCAATAAATCAGTCTGCGGGGCTCATAAAAGCACCTGGGATGACGTTTGAATGGACATTTTCTAAAAAGCAATATTTTCTTTCAGCGCTACTGGGACTCGTTTTCGCGGAGACAGACCATTTGTTATATGGGTAACGTTGATCTCGACGGAGTTGAGGATGTATTTGAAGAGGATGAAGACGGACCGCCACCGATTAAGCTCGGCATCTGTGCCATGGCGAAGAAGACCAAATCGAAGCCGATGGGAGAGATAATCCAGGTTTAATTAGGTTTCGCGGTAATCGGTTTCATTTCATTTTTTAGCGAATGCTTCTTTTTGGCTTCGTCAAGATTGAGATTTTCGATGAAAATCAAATCCTAAACGATCCAGTAGAAGAATGGCCTCTCTGTGATGTCTTGATTTCCTTTCATTCGAAAGGATTTCCGTTGGAAAAAGCAATCGAATACGCGAAAATGCGGAACTGCATCTGCATCAATGACCTAGAGAAGCAGTGGGATATCCAGGACCGCGTAAAAGTCTACCAGACGCTGAAAGAAGCCGGAATCGAAACACCACGATACATTGTCTGTGATAGATCAGATTGCGAGAACCTCCCTGAATTCGAAGAACACGACGACTACATTGAAATTAACGGCGAGGTCTTTCAAAAGCCATTCGTCGAGAAACCAGTTTCGGCGGAGAACCACCGCATAAATATTTACTACCCAAGCTCGGCGGGTGGCGGGCATCAGAAACTCTTCAGAAAAGTGCTCAACCGTTCGAGCGAGTATTGTACGGACTCGGCAGTGCGAAAAGAAGGCTCGTATATTTATGAAGATTTTATGCCGACAGATGGAACTGACGTGAAAGTGTACACTGTTGGACCAGATTATGCTCACGCAGAAGCTCGAAAATCGCCAGCGCTAGACGGAAAAGTCGAGCGAGACAAAGAGGGAAAAGGCAGGGTGGCAATTTTTATCAATTTAAGCTAATTTTCCGCGAAAAATGCTCAATTAATGTACTCATAATATATTTTAAATATTTTGTAATGCAAAATATTTGATGAATATTGAACATCCAAGGCAAAGAAATCCGTTACCCCGTCATCTTATCGGCGAAAGAGAAAGCAATCGCCAGGCAAGTATGCCTCGCCTTCAAGCAAACCGTTTGCGGGTTTGATCTCCTTCGTGCCAATGGAAAATCGTACGTTTGCGATGTGAACGGATTCAGTTTTGTCAAAACTTCTCAGAAATACTACGATGATTGCGCAAAGATGCTTGGTAATATTATTCTCCGGGAAAAAGCACCCGACTGGTTGAATATTCCAAGAGGTCTTCATCCGGAGCTTCCTGAAATCGTGCAAGCAGGAATGACTCCAAGTGCTTCTACAATGCTTGAGCTTCGTTGCGTCGTAGCCGTCATCCGACACGGCGATAGAACTCCGAAGCAGAAGATGAAGATGGAGGTTTCGCACCCGGAGTTTTTCAATATTTTTAAAAAGTACAACGGACCGACTTTGGGGAAAATCAAACTCAAGAAGCCAAAAGAACTGCAGCAAATTTTGGACGTAGCACGAACCCTCCTAAGTGAGCTTCAATCAGGAGAGCATACTGAGCCAATCAAGGAGAAAATGACGAAATTGGAGCAATTAAAAGTTGTGCTGGAGATGTACGGTCACTTTTCGGGAATAAACAGAAAGATCCAGCTCAAGTCTCTTGGAAAGAAGCAACCAGGAGCGCTGCAGTTAATTCTCAAGTGGGGAGGAGAACTCACTCCAGCAGGAAAAGTCCAGGCTGAGCAACTTGGTCGCGCTTTTAGATGCATGTACCCTGGTGGCCAAGGTGATTACGCTGGCTTCCCCGGCTGCGGGCTTCTCAGACTTCATTCGACATATCGTCACGATCTGAAAATTTACGCTTCGGATGAAGGTCGAGTTCAAATGACAGCAGCTGCTTTTGCCAAGGGTCTTCTTGCCCTAGAAGGAGAGCTAGCTCCAATTCTTGTGCAAATGGTCAAGTCTGCTAATACGAATGGTCTGCTGGACAATGAATCGGACGAGCTTCACAAATATTCCGGAGAGTAAGTATTGCATGAAGATTTCATGAATCTCAATTAATTGTCTCTTATCTGTCAACTGCCATTTTAAATAAAAACATCAGTCAAATGACTTACAATCAGCTATTACTCTGGAAATGACAGTTGAACAGTCTGAGCCAGGAACTGATAGTTAATCGATAATTCCAATAGACCTCAAAAAGAGGAGTTTTGCCTTGACAGCGAAGAAGATTTCGCAGTAAGCGTCGCCCAACTAGCGTAAGACCGAGCGTTTGAGATTATTAATCGTGTGACATGACGAGAATTTTAATAAGTTCCATTATTTGTGCAAATGGATATATATATTTACTATTGATGTTTTCGTGTTCAATAAATTCACGATTGCAAAAAGTTCGAAGCACCCTTTTTCTCAAAAAATCTATTTTCGTGAATTTACTTTACTGCAAGTTGTACAACCGCCCGGACTTACCATTTGCTTTTGAGTCTCAAAATTTGAGATCTCTTACTGTCTTTAGTTACCAATCACGGTTCTTTACTTTCTCCCAGGGTGAAAAAGCGACTCCACGACATGCTCCGATCAACGGATACTCCAAGTACAGACGAGTTCATCAACCGGATGATTCCGACAAATTCGATTTCGATGAAGAACTCGCTTTCAAAAATACCCGAAAATCCACTAGCTTGGCTTCATAAGCTCCACGGACTTGTGGAAAACCTCATTGTCTACATCGAAGAACTCAGCGAAGAGCACGAAACTTCCGGAGAAAAGTTGAAACTCTATCAAAACGAAGACATCAGTTTGATGCTCGAACGATGGCGCAAACTACAGCGCGATTTCAAGCATCATAAAACTGGCGAATTCGACGTTTCTAAAATTCCGGATATCTACGACAGCATCAAGTACGACGCGCAACACAATACTTGCCTCAAATCGCCAATCATCGATGAACTTTATGAGACGTCGAAGATCGTCGCCGACATCGTTATTCCTCAAGAGTATGGAATTGAGGAAGATGAGAAGCTGAACATTTCACATGGTTATTGCGTCCCGCTTCTACGGAAGATTTTGGCAGATTTGCGGGCCAATATTGACAACCCAGAGGAACAGTTGACAAAGCTCGATCCCAGTTTTGTCAGTAATGTTCTTTCCCCAGGTACTTTTTGAAAGAAGAACTGTTTAACAATTCTTAAGGCCGTCATGTCCGAACCAGATTGTATTTTACCTCTGAAAGTCACATCCATTCGCTGTTAACCTTGATTCGATATGGCGGCTTGTGCAACGTCGATGATGATCAATGGCAGCGTGCGTTGGATTACATCTCCCGTGTATCCGAGCTCAACTACATGACTCAAATTGTCATCATGCTGTACGAAGATCCAACAAAGCCGGCAGATTCTGACGAGCGATATCATATTGAGTTGCACTTCAGCCCTGGCGCCAAATCTCATAAAGTATGTTTAATCATTTATATTAATTTTAACCGATGTTCAAGGATGATGCGAATTTCCCTGCCGGTGGTGGCTTCCGTCCTGTTTCCAAGCCCAACAGTCGCGATGTAATTATCATTATTAACCGTTCTTTTTTAAAGAAAACTTCGAGAAGTCGTTTTCATCTGTGTTTTAGGAGGTTGAAAGATACCATCAGCTTATTTCTACTGAAGTTAAGAGAGTGAAGAAACTGCGATCGCAGTCGTTTTCTCGCGACACTCGCAGTCTCTCTAATAGTCCACAATTATTGGTAGCTCTTCTTGATTTTAAACTTTTTGGGATAGTTCAAGTTTTCTTGAGTGCGTTTTGTCGCTGGAAATTGATGCATAATTTCCACTCTAGGCTGTTTAATGAGCTATTATTTTCTATGTTTTGAACCGTTTTTTCGAGCAAAAGACCGCCATCTAACAAATTTTAGGTCTCTCCTCCTCGAACAGAAGAATGCTCTCCAACAGATCCATCGATAGAAGTTCGGCTTCCCGAGGTAATTGTTATCTTTATTCTGCTTAACCAGTGAAATTCTGCGCCAACTAATCTTCTTATTTCATGTTTCAGATGTCTAAAGAGATCCGAGAGCCTACCCTGGTAATAGTAGCCTAGCATAAGTTTTATAATCACACATTTGGGTGGCCCATGACAATCAGCAGTAAATCATTTCAAAATACTCTCGCGCAGTATTCTTAAAAACGATCACTCGCCTAGGAGTTTTTAGCTTGAATAATATCCCTAACCTTTAGTGCAAAATGCGATCATCGAGTAGTAGGAGGGTATGATCCAAAAGAGTAGATTTGGCACCTTTCGTAGCGCACGCTAAAAGGCTGAAAGTACTTTTCGCCAAAAATTATGAAATTAGCATGATGCTCAAAATTAAAGCTGGATTATTTTCTCCTTGATTTGGAATTTTCACTTCTCTTTGTTGATTTCAATCATATTTTCGCGAATTAAAAGTGAAGCCTGCTCGACACACAAACGCACATACACTTATCATGATTAATTTACAATCAAGAAGTAATTGCTAAAATGAAAATTAAAAGTTTTGTTATCTAGCGAGGACTGGAATCGCGCTCAAGAGATCTTTGTGGTTCTCCTACGTTCCCGACTGAGCCGGTATGAGATTCCTTTAGGCCACAATCATTAACTTAGAAGTCCATCAATTAGACTTACTAGCTACTTTTCCTTTTTGGCGTTATCAGCAAAAGCAGAAAAGCAGCTTGAATGAATTGTTGATGCCTTTTTTGTGGGCTCACGTTGTTTCAGGAAGCAAAAATAGACGCCAACGAACGAAACACGGCCTCGGACGAGGAGCTTGCCGATATTCCCAACGAGAAGGTCAGAAGATTCCTGAAAACAAGCAAGAAATACAAGTAAGAATTCGACCTTACGAGTCGTCTCTCTATTTGTGATTCTTTTCTAAGATCTGCCCCTCATCCATCTTCAAACGAAGAACAGACCAAGGCTTCACCAATCCACCGCCGAACCGCTGGACTAGGTAATTCGACCCTTTTCAGACTAGATAAGCGTATATCTATGCATTTTCATAGAGACAGATATGAGTTCGTCCCGTTTTCCATTAGCCGAAAACATTCTGAGACTTCGACTCCAAGGGAACGTCGAAGGTAGAATCTAAGTCTAAGTAACTATTTATCCCCACTTATCAAACAAAAACCCATTTATCCAATTATCTTTTGCATTTATGATCGTTCCTCTATTATCAAAGTTTGCATAGTGAATGTCTCTTTTATAATCATTTATCAATTTTTGCACCTTTCTTTTTTGGCTTTTCTCAAAAAAGTATTGCGGAAAGTCGAAAAAGAAGGTGTCAAAAATATAACTCTAATTTGCTTGAGCCAGTTTTTAGGTCTATTCAGTTCCAAGGGTGCAAACCAACAGATTTCCCGATCAATTTCAAACGACGAGAATTTCCAATTCCATTTTGTCAGCAGCAACTTAGAACGAGTAGCGCCACTTAGACGGCGAGCGATCTCGCTTTCCAGACAGAGCCACTCTGTCAGAGATCCCTTTGCTTCGCAGGGTAAACTCATTTGGTGACCCATTTTCAAACTCACTCCATTCTTTCACTAAATAAGCGAATCAAGGTGTAAAGCATTATTTGCGATAGAAATAGTGTAATATGAGTAGAATAGAGCTAGAACTTCAGTAGGCATCACAACATAAATCCGGTGTAAATACAAGACAGTTGTCCACCCTTGCCAAAGTCGAACGAATTTCCTTTTTCCCTCGGAAATCCAGGGCAAGTTCGGTTCCCTCCCCAACTTGACGCAAAGCGACGACGAAGACGGTAATTTTCAATGTTGCGAAAATTCACTTATTCTCCTTCGCGAGAATCCTCGCGGGCGGAGAAACTTCACATTTATCATCTTCCGTTCCATTTAACTCCCCTGGATTCAGTTTTATGCTGGATTTAGTTCTCATTTAGCAGTTTTTTACCAATCATTCAATCATTTGAGCGTTCCTCTACTAATAATTACCATAGTAAACAAATCTTTATCTATGAAAAAACAGTCTTTCTATCAAAAATGAAAAGAAAACAAAGTTAAACGATTTCGCTAGAAGCTTTTTTGATTATAATTATGTAGGAAAAGGGCGCAGCAAATCGGATACAACCGGAGATCCGCCGACTCTTACCAGTAGTAACACTAAACGCTCGTCAAGTAAAAATATCTTCTGAAATTTTGCGTTTTTGCATGCTTGTGCTTTTAAAAGTTTAACTTTTGATGTTCAATATGGTTTCGTGATTGTGATACATGAAGTCTTCTATAATCATTAAATTCGGCTGTGCTAAAAAGTTATTCAGCCGTGGAGGGATACAACAGAGTGCCAAATATTCGCCCGCTCGAGACGCTTCATAATTCGCTGAGTCTTCAGCAGTTTACAACATTTTCGGAAAAGATTCTCAAGGTTAATATTTCGCAATATTCAAATCGATAGATCTATTAGATAATATTCAATGTGAATGTTTTAAAAATTTTTTTAATTAAAAGATGGAGGGTTTGTCTTCGCAAGTCCCAGAAGAGCGCGAACGATTCATTTCCGAAAACTGCTCATCAGACGCCAACAGCACCCTCCAGAACGCTTCTTAGCCACTGTGCGCTAAACTCGCAAACAAAATGTGTCCAGACAAACTAAAAATCAAACGAACAATTCCATTCAAACACAGATGTTACCTTAAATTCTCTCTTTACGTTTCTGCTTTCCCGAAAATGCGATGTCTTCAAGTTCAAACTTCCTTTTCAAAATATTATTCTTTCATAAATATTAACTATCTTTGGTTGATTAAATTCATTTTTGAAGAACGATCAGGATGAATGATTTGACGCTCCCGCGAGTAAACGAGTTGTTTGAGGAATTAGAAGAAGAAAGTCGGATTTTTGTTGGCTCTGTCGGGCGGCTACAGTAACTAACCGTACCTTGCTCGATTTCTAAGCTCCTCTCTAGAATGCCTGTTTGTCCGCTCGCCTTCCACCGCGAGTACGTAGCTCCGAACCGTCCGGTAATAATTCAAGGACTAAGTCGAAACTGGAAAGCATCGGAACGATGGAGTCTGGATTACTTGCGTCAGATTTTAGGTGACGACATTTGCCAAATATCTGTAGGTCGATTGAACTGTCTCGTTTCTTAGCTCTTAACGATATTCTAAGTGCCGGATGGGCTGGCGGATGCAGTTGTAGACGGAAAATTCCAACTTCCTGAAGAGCGAAAGGTCAAGTTCTCATTCTTTGCCGATGTTATCGAAGGGAAGAAACAGCCAGAAGACGGGGGAATTTACTACTTGCAGCGGCAGAACAGCTGTTTGACTGAAGACTACCCTAAGCTGGCGAAGGACGTTCCAGACGAAATCGAATTCGCCACTGCCGCTTTCGAGTTCCGGGTTCATTTTCTAAATTTAGCAGACTTTTGTAGAATAATTCTGATGATCCCGTCTACCAGGAGCGTCTCCTGATGCGATCAACATCTGGGTAGGTGGCAAAGCTTCAGTGTCATCCCTTCATCGAGATCCGTACGAAAACATTTACACTGTTATTCGCGGAAAGAAAATTTTCAAGCTGTTCCCACCAACTTCTCGCGGGAAAATTATTTACAAAGAGTTCCCGGTTGTTCGATGTCATTTCAACCAGTCATTACGAAAGTGGGAGAGGAAGAGTGAAAAGGGAATCGACTTTGTGAAATGGATTGAGAACGGCGTGAATGGAGTTGCCTCTGAACCAATTGTAGTCGAAGTAAATCCAGGGGAAACTCTCTATCTCCCTGCAGGCTGGTTCCATCAAGTTCACCAAGATGACAAAACGATAGCGGTGAACTATTGGTATGACAGGAAATGCTTGAGAAACTCAACTAGTTTTTAATAGTTAGAAAAAGAAAGAAAATGTTTCCTCGAAAATTTTTCAATGAATACAATTTCTCAATCATTGATAGAGCTTACGACCAGCGTTATGCAAAAGAGCGTTTCCTCGATCAACTAGCGGAATTAATTCATGAAACTTAATAAAACCTTTCCTCAACTCATATCACTGAAAATTGAACTAAATCTAATAATTGTCTTCTTTTAGAATAGCGGAGAGTATGAGCGTGAAACGGGAGCAACCTCTCATTCTGAGCCCATCGGATAAGCTAAGCTTCAGACCACCCTTCGACGCGTATGATTTTTTTCCTTCTTGACGATTCATAAAACTATTATTCAGGGTTTCTACATCAAAAATATCGCTGAAGAATCCCACCGACAAAATGATCTCTTACAAGATAAAGACAACAGCACCTAAACGGTAATTTTTTTATGATATCCAGAATTATTATCATAAATTTTTGCAGATACTGTGTTCGGCCAAATTTCGGCTTTGTTCGCCCTTCTGGCGAAGAAGAAATCGTGGTGATGCTCCAGCCCGGTCCAACAGACGAAAAACACAAGTTTCAGGTCCAGTCAATTATCGGTAGGCAACGAAAAATCGAGCTTATGTTTTAAAAATCTCTAAGTACCGATGGAATTCGCGGACAAGCCAAAAGAAGAGCAGATGAAGGATTGGAGTAACAAAGAGTACCTTCCATCTGCAGATACAAAGCTCGCTTGTGAGTTTGTGAGAATGGAAGATAGCACAAAACCTGTGGAGGAAAAGATTGAGTCCTCTCCCGTCAAAGAAGAGGTGCGATCATTATTTCAAAACGCGCAAAGGCTAATTTAAAGATTCAGGTCAAAGATGAGCCCGTCTCGCAAGAATCCGTTGTACGAGAAGTTCCAGAAGAAAACCTCCATCAGCATCAGCAGAAACTCGCTGCAGCAACTCCAGAGAAATCTCCTTCCAAGCCGGCTTCGCGAACAGCCAGCACAAGTTCTAGCAGTCCACGCGACGCAGAAGAAATCAAACGACTCAGGGCGGCGCTTGAAGAAGCCAATAACAAAATCCGAGCGCTCTCCAGGTACACCGAAATCGCCTGCTCTCCTTATTATCATTCTCTAGCACGGCTCCGGATTCATCGGAAGAGGATGTTCAAGCAAGACAGAAACAAATAATCATCTGGTGCTTTGTCGCCTTCATGATAGGCCTGGCTTTAGCAATAATCATTATGTAATCCTCGTTTTTATATTTTTCAATAAATCTATTTCTCTGTTTTTTTTAATCCGAGTTACGTTTGTTTGGATAGCCAGGATCAGGATTCTTCATCGGTTGCATCTTGTAACTCCCAAAATCTCCATCAGAAGCAGACTAAGAAACTACCACCAACAATATCCACCAGTATCTAACGAATTGCACCTTCTATAAAACAGTAATTCAACAACAATCTTACACTGAATCATCAAGGCTGAAGAAATATAATTTTATCTCGCTATCTCACTTGGCTTTCGATTGATTTGAGACTAAAAATCATGTTCCAATGTTCTAATGCAATATTATTTATAAACATAACAGTTGACTCAACTGATCTATCATCATATTTAGCAACATATTCAATCTTGAATCTTCGGATTTTTCCATCTGATCTGTAAATTACCAACATCTCTCCTCTTCGAATAGAAAAAAATCACACCGATCATAATACACGTATTTTTCATCACCGTTAAAATACTGGAGAAAATTTAACTCGTCTTTTTGTAGCAATAAACTTGTAACTGTTACCGTCCAACAGCAATCATCTGATTTTCCTCCTTTTTCCGCTGAAATCTTCACGATTCATGTCAACTAATTGATATTAAAAATCTTCATATAGGATGATAATTTGTCTAATTTTTTCACTCAAGCGCTAGAATGATTCGGGCTTGTAAAACAGGGGCGATGCATTTTCGAAGGGGCTTTTATCTGAAATACCCGTTTGAAATCATGAACGATGAATTTTTGCCTCCAGTTGATGATGGCTTCGTGAAGAAAACTGCTTCGCCGGAGAAATTCCATCAAGGTCGCCACGCAGACATTTTGAAAGCGCGAGAGAGTAATCTAGCGCCAGTTGAGGTTCATACAGTTGGGTCTAATCAATTCGGACAGTGTGGCATTCTAAGGGATGTTCGAAAAATACCAGTTGACAACACTCTTGGCTCAAGTTTTCAAGAAAATCAAAAGAAACTCGCTGATAGCAATCACGAATGGCATCAACAATTTAAACTCGTCTCCGCCGAAGATGTTCCAAGAGAGATAGAAAAATTCGAAAATGCGTTTGGAGCAAGTGGCCGTAAAACAAAGCCTTATCAGTTTACCAATATCGCGGCTGGGCGGCAAAATAGCCTGGCGATTGGATGGCGAAGAGGAGTACAAGTTGGAAGAAGAGATTGGAGAGTCTTCGCCTCTGGTCTTAATCATTTCAATCAGCTTGGAAAGCATGTGACCGTTTCAGCGCCACGTGATATGGACGGGAATATTCTCAAGAATCAGTTCGACGAGCGAGGATTCAGAATAACAGGGGAGCAAGAAGAAGACGAAATTCAAGAAGAAGTTCTCGCAGCTTTTCGCGAAATAGATTTTTCCTCTCTTGGAATACCAAATATCTATCGACCGAGCCACATTTCATCTGGCGGTGGCCATTCTGCGGTCGTTTTCTGTCATGAAGAGTACGATCCCTTCGGCGATCCACAAGAAAATATTTCCAGGGTCACGCAGTATCCGAATTTACTAGTTATGCTAGGTAATAACGATTTTGGTCAATGTGGACACGAGTTTCACAGCTTTCAACAAGTTATTCATACTCAAAAATTCTTCAATAAAAAGTTTGAAACAGTTTGGAACCCAGTAAAGGAACGGTCGTTTCTCTTCAGTACTTTCATAAAAATTTCTAAAAAAATACAGCCCGAAACAGGTCTTCTGTGGCGAGAACCACACCCTTGTCTTTTCGAAAAACGTGGCGACGAAGCCCGAGCTTGGTTGGCGCATTTTCAGCTTTGGACTCAACGAGAGTGGGCAACTAGGCGTTGGCGATTTCAGCGACAGACTTGCACCCTCGATTGTTAATGTACCGCCACTAACGCAGCTTTCGACGAGAGGAGATTTCAATTTAGGAGTCGATTTGTTTGGGAACATTTGGGGCTGGGGCGAGAACTCGGGAGGAATTTTCGGATCTTTCACCACCGACGGAGCTGTTACAAAACCGATTTCACTTTCACTCGTCGCAAAGCAGCTTGACTCAAAGCCAATTGGAATCGCGGCTGGAACACAGGCGGCAATTATTCTAACGGCGAAAGGGAGCGTGTACACTTTTGGCACCGGCCTGCTTGGGCACTCGGGAGCAATGACTGCGCAAACTTCTCCTTTGCCAGTGAAAATTGACCAGCAGTTTTTTGGTCGATCAAAGCCAGTGGCAGTTTTTGCCGGGGATAAGACTTTCGGGGTTCTAACGGAGACAGGAGAGTTGTTTAATTGGGGGCAAGGGAGGAGCAATTGTATTGGTATTTATCAGGAAGCGTCGGCGAAGGTAGAAAAGGGACTATTTCGTTTGTTCATTGAAACAATTTTAGCAAAACCAACCATTTCCGTGGAAAGTAACGAGAGGTGTCGGTGAAAAGACGATTCTTGACTTGTGTCTCGGATATGATCATAGTGTCGCGCTGGTTATCCCCTGAGAGATCTCCTCCTGGATCTTAGCCAACGGCTCGCCCGACCCGAAAACCACGCGTATTGTGATTGTTGGACGGACAGCATCTATTAAAAATCAGCTTTTCTGTTTCACAGTTTCAAATTATAAGCTGCCTCAATTTCTCCTTTATTTGTTGAAGCTTTTATTTTCAAAAGATGCACCGCCACGGAGATTCTAGACAAGAAGAGAATCTTTAAATATTATTAAATATTTTTCCTCTTCAGAGTTGGGAAAGTGAAGCGAAAACGAGAAAGTTCACCGTCTGGTATGTCGACGGCGGTGTTAAATGGCGTTCCTCTCTCGTACACGACAACGGTAAGCCTTTTTTCGTTTCTAACTGTAATTGAACAATGATAGATTGAACCTGTTCATGGCGCCATTAGACATGCCGTGGAGCACTACCAATACGACGATGCGCTTATTATGGCGGAGCGCCTTTTTGCCGACAATCCTGGCCCAGAGGAAGCTTGGCAGGTGAGTCTTTCAACCGTTTTTCAATCTTATTACTTTTTCAAGATCGCAAATTGCCACTATTTGATGAATAACAAATGGTTGTGTCGTGAGTTTTTGGAATCTACGCAACTCAAGTCGCCAAAACTTCGATTTCTGTACGCAAGAGTTCTCGCAGATTTAAAAGAGACCAAAAACGCCATTGCCCAGCTGTCCGGCCCGTATCTCGAAAACGTCGGCCGGCACACGAGAAACGTCTCCGCCTTTCAGCACGAGTTCGAAGACTCTGCTGCCTATGCCCTCTCCCTCGCTGGTTATCTTCACAAAAGGCAGGGACTCGCCGACCGCGCGTCAGAGTGCTACAAAATGGCACTGAAACACAATCCGTTTCTGTTTACGCCGTATCAAGAACTTTGCGACATGGGAAAGGTATTTTTTATGAGCTATTTTGAATCAATCAATTTTCATTTAGGGTGGCGATCCGGATAAAATCCTCGATTGTACAACACACAAATACTTTAATCTCTTGGACTGTATATCGCCTTATCGCGAGCCTTCTTCTGCTTTTGACCAAAGACTTAAAGTAAGCCAAACGTTTTTTCGCACTCCCTAACCGTTTTTTAAAGGACATTCCCTTTCGAAAACAAGCGAAACAAGCTCTTCAACCAGTCACTAACACAAACGTCGGAGCTTCTACTGCCACGAGCGCCGATGCGGTTACACCAATTCAAAGGACTGTCTCTACCCCGACTGTTCTGCATTCAAGTCTGACGAGTTTCGATAACTTTTCTCCAATTGCCATGCACACGGATAAAACAACTCGTAAGCCTCATTTAATTATAAAATTTATGGAAATTTATAGCGCTTGGGCAAAATACAGAAGAATTGAGAAGTCACATGCAAGAAATAAAAAAGATAAAGAAGAAGACAGCTGGAAGCAGAATAGAAAGATCAGAGCTTCAGCAGCCTGGTAGAAGGCTTTTCAGTCGTCCAAACGTCAACATTCCTCGTCAATCGACGATGAAAGTCGACGAAAAGGGGTCGAAAGAGAATTCGGAGATGCCGACCCGCAGAGTAACCAGATCATCAGTGAACACAAGCTCCTCCTCGCCTCGTATTCCTCGCTTGACGAGTCAGAATCAACCAGAGACGGAGCCTTCCGAAGATCCTGATAAATCTCTTTCGCGTGAAAGACTAAACCGCCAATTTGACGAGTTCAGGAAGCAGGTACCCGTAAGTGTCCGCCGTCAAAGCTGCAAAAACATAACGCTTTTGTCGCTGTTTTTGACAAATAATAAGGATTTTAATTTACAATTTACAAGAGCTTACAGGACGACATGAAGTCGAAGAGGTCGGCCATCGAGTTGGTCAAGTATTACAGAATCATGGGACATGCGTATTTGGCAAGATCAGAACAGAGATTTGTCGAGGTAAAATAATAAGTCAAGTCAATTATGAACAACCTGCCCCTAGGCGCGTTCGATGCTCAACTCTCTTCCACCTTCGCAGAGACAAACAGGCTGGGTTCTGAATGAGATTGCCCGAACATACATGGACGATCAAAAGTTCCAATTAGCTAAGGTGCAGTACAAAGAGCTTTTGGAACTGGAACCGTATCGCGTTGTTGGAATGGAGTTCTATGCTTCCTGTTTGTATAGATTACAAGGAACTGGTTGAATAATAGTTTTATAAATATGTATGAATTTTATCTTTGTCAACATTTGAAAGATCAAATATCCCTCGAGCATCTCGCAAATCGCTTCGTTACCAAGGCCAGAAACCGTCCAGAAACTATGTGCATCCTTGGAAATCTGTTCTCGTACAATGAGCGGCGCGACAAAGCAACGACATATTTCTCGCGCGCTGTGCAAATCTGCGATTCCGATTTTGCTGCTGGTCAGCAAACAGAATGTCGACACTATGCTTTCCACTTGTTGGGACACGAGTATGTTCTGAAGGAAGAAAACGACAGCGCAATCAAGTGCTTCAAGAACGCAATAAAGCACAAGGCGAGATTTGTCAATGCGTTGACGAGCATTGGTGATGTTTTCATCAATGCAGAGAAGTACGACCTTGCAGAGAGTTATTTATTAACAGGTTGGGAAATTTACAACTGAATCTTAATTACAACTGCTTTCTAGCGCTGAGATACTATCCAAAGAACGCTACTGTTTGGTCATACATGGGCCAGATTCGCCACAAGAAAGGAGAACTGAATAAAGCTCTCCAATGCTTCAATAAAGTATGAAAGCTGACATATTCTAGCCTCATATAGTTAGGGATATCGCACAAATTTTCAGGTACCCGAAAAAAGGGTCCTGAGTAATTTTTAGATTGATGAACTAGTAGAACTTTGGACGAGGATTCCAATGGTGTAGAAATCATTTCATAATTATCAGTCATTTTCGTAAAAATGATGTGTCAAGGGGTGATTTTTTCGATCAGAGCGAAAACTTCAAAAGTTTGGAAATTGAAAATGATAGACTAACATAAATTTGGACCAGGATTCCAAATCTGCAAAAAAATTCACTGACGCACCTAGCAATCGCTAGAAATGAACTTTCGGGAGTTGTTTTTTTCTCTCTCGACGCTTGTGGCGCTTTTCTGTTTTCGGCTGCGCGCTGATTGGTGGACGCTCCTGAGAGCCTTGCTCACAAAAAGGCTCAAACAGGTTCAGTAAAATGATAATTTCTCGGGACTGGAACCTTGAAAATCAATGATTCTTGGACCAAAATAATCCTTGAAGACCACTTTATTTACCATCTATTCATAAATTATGGGAGATGACGCTGTAAAGATTTTTTGAAGGTTGCGTGTAAAGTTTTTTGTTAGGAATTTCGTGAAATACTTCAAAGTTTCGGAAAGCATCAAATCAAGATTTTCGCGGCTCATCTGTCCAAGAGGTAGAAGAAGCGTTATTTTTGCATGCTATTTCTCGAAAACTGCCCTCTCAAGGAATCAACAAGAGATAAAAGCGCATCTTGGAAGTTCTTTTCTGTTGTGGAATCAGCGAGGCAAAAATGCGCGCAGAAAGTAAAGATCCTTTCCGAACTGTTTTTGCGGTCGAGGACGATGCGAGAACTCATTGTGCCCAAATGAGGGTGACTCACTTTTCGGGAAGGTCTTCCGATTACGTTCTATCCTTGTCAGGTGGAATGTTTCTACACCTCCGATGCTCCGATGCCTAATGGAAAGCTGTGCTCAAGAATGGACGCGGAAAAGTGCCCTTATCATTGGGTAATCGTCGACCGAGACGTTCATGGCGGAGTCGTTGGCCGATTGGCGCCGAGAGAGGCGATTTTCTGGAAGTTAGATTTTCTGGAATATACGATTTTCAAGAAGTTCCAGAAAATCGCCTTTTCCAGAAAATCTAACATCCAGTAAATCTCAAGATTTTCTGTCTCTGAGACTTTGATAACACGAGACGCAGCTCATTTTGCTCCGAAGAAGCGAAAAATATTGCATCTATCCTTCTAGATCGGCGGGTAGAACAAAACCATAACAAAAGAAAAGAGCTTAAATAATATGAATTTTTAAAACAATGGGTGTGGGCGGGGTTGGGGACAAAACTGAGATTGATCAATTCAGAGTTCCAAGCCTTTGTCAAGCCCCTTAAATTCAAAAATGAAGGAACGGGGCTGAAACGGCCCGAAGGGCCGTCAAGCCCCTTAAATTCAAAAATGAAGGAACGGGGCTGAAACGGCCCGAAGGGCCGTCAAGCCCCTTAAATTCAAAAATGAAGGAACGGGGCTGAAACGGCCCGAAGGGCCGTCAAGCCCCTTAAATTCAAAAATGAAGGAACGGGGCTGAAACGGCCCGAAGGGCCGTCAAGCCCTTAAATTCAAAAATGAAGGAACGGGGCTGAAACGGCCCGAAGGGCCGTCAAGCCCCTTAAATTCAAAAATGAAGGAACGGGGCTGAAACGGCCCGAAGGGCCGTCAAGCCCCTTAAATTCAAAAATGAAGGAACGGGGCTGAAACGGCCCGAAGGGCCGTCAAGCCCCTTAAATTCAAAAATGAAGGAACGGGGCTGAAACGGCCCGAAGGGCCGTCAAGCCCCTTAAATTCAAAATGAAGGAACGGGGCTGAAACGGCCCGAAGGGCCGTCAAGCCCCTTAAATTCAAAAATGAAGGAACGGGGCTGAAACGGCCCGAAGGGCCGTCAAGCCCCTTAAATTCAAAAATGAAGGAACGGGGCTGAAACGGCCCGAAGGGCCGTCAAGCCCCTTAAATTCAAAAATGAAGGAACGGGGCTGAAACGGCCCGAAGGGCCGTCAAGCCCCTTAAATTCAAAAATGAAGGAACGGGGCTGAAACGGCCCGAAGGGCCGTCAAGCCCCTTAAATTCAAAAATGAAGGAACGGGGCTGAAACGGCCCGAAGGGCCGTCAAGCCCCTTAAATTCAAAAATGAAGGAACGGGGCTGAAACGGCCCGAAGGGCCGTCAAGCCCTTAAATTCAAAAATGAAGGAACGGGGCTGAAACGGCCCGAAGGGCCGTCAAGCCCTTAAATTCAAAAATGAAGGAACGGGGCTGAAACGGCCCGAAGGGCCGTCAAGCCCTTAAATTCAAAATGAAGGAACGGGGCTGAAACGGCCCGAAGGGCCGTCAAGCCCCTTAAATTCAAAAATGAAGGAACGGGGCTGAAACGGCCCGAAGGGCCGTCAAGCCCCTTAAATTCAAAAATGAAGGAACGGGGCTGAAACGGCCCGAAGGGCCGTCAAGCCCCTTAAATTCAAAAATGAAGGAACGGGGCTGAAACGGCCCGAAGGGCCGTCAAGCCCTTAAATTCAAAAATGAAGGAACGGGGCTGAAACGGCCCGAAGGGCCGTCAAGCCCCTTAAATTCAAAAATGAAGGAACGGGGCTGAAACGGCCCGAAGGGCCGTCAAGCCCCTTAAATTCAAAAATGAAGGAACGGGGCTGAAACGGCCCGAAGGGCCGTCAAGCCCTTAAATTCAAAAATGAAGGAACGGGGCTGAAACGGCCCGAAGGGCCGTCAAGCCCTTAAATTCAAAAATGAAGGAACGGGGCTGAAACGGCCCGAAGGGCCGTCAAGCCCCTTAAATTCAAAAATGAAGGAACGGGGCTGAAACGGCCCGAAGGGCCGTCAAGCCCTTAAATTCAAAAATGAAGGAACGGGGCTGAAACGGCCCGAAGGGCCGTCAAGCCCCTTAAATTCAAAAATGAAGGAACGGGGCTGAAACGGCCCGAAGGGCCGTCAAGCCCCTTAAATTCAAAAATGAAGGAACGGGGCTGAAACGGCCCGAAGGGCCGTCAAGCCCCTTAAATTCAAAAATGAAGGAACGGGGCTGAAACGGCCCGAAGGGCCGTCAAGCCCTTAAATTCAAAAATGAAGGAACGGGGCTGAAACGGCCCGAAGGGCCGTCAAGCCCCTTAAATTCAAAAATGAAGGAACGGGGCTGAAACGGCCCGAAGGGCCGTCAAGCCCTTAAATTCAAAATGAAGGAACGGGGCTGAAACGGCCCGAAGGGCCGTCAAGCCCTTAAATTCAAAAATGAAGGAACGGGGCTGAAACGGCCCGAAGGGCCGTCAAGCCCCTTAAATTCAAAAATGAAGGAACGGGGCTGAAACGGCCCGAAGGGCCGTCAAGCCCTTAAATTCAAAAATGAAGGAACGGGGCTGAAACGGCCCGAAGGGCCGTCAAGCCCCTTAAATTCAAAAATGAAGGAACGGGGCTGAAACGGCCCGAAGGGCCGTCAAGCCCCTTAAATTCAAAAATGAAGGAACGGGGCTGAAACGGCCCGAAGGGCCGTCAAGCCCTTAAATTCAAAAATGAAGGAACGGGGCTGAAACGGCCCGAAGGGCCGTCAAGCCCCTTAAATTCAAAATGAAGGAACGGGGCTGAAACGGCCCGAAGGGCCGTCAAGCCCCTTAAATTCAAAAATGAAGGAACGGGGCTGAAACGGCCCGAAGGGCCGTCAAGCCCCTTAAATTCAAAAATGAAGGAACGGGGCTGAAACGGCCCGAAGGGCCGTCAAGCCCTTAAATTCAAAAATGAAGGAACGGGGCTGAAACGGCCCGAAGGGCCGTCAAGCCCCTTAAATTCAAAAATGAAGGAACGGGGCTGAAACGGCCCGAAGGGCCGTCAAGCCCCTTAAATTCAAAAATGAAGGAACGGGGCTGAAACGGCCCGAAGGGCCGTCAAGCCCCTTAAATTCAAAAATGAAGGAACGGGGCTGAAACGGCCCGAAGGGCCGTCAAGCCCCTTAAATTCAAAAATGAAGGAACGGGGCTGAAACGGCCCGAAGGGCCGTCAAGCCCCTTAAATTCAAAAATGAAGGAACGGGGCTGAAACGGCCCGAAGGGCCGTCAAGCCCTTAAATTCAAAAATGAAGGAACGGGGCTGAAACGGCCCGAAGGGCCGTCAAGCCCCTTAAATTCAAAAATGAAGGAACGGGGCTGAAACGGCCCGAAGGGCCGTCAAGCCCTTAAATTCAAAAATGAAGGAACGGGGCTGAAACGGCCCGAAGGGCCGTCAAGCCCCTTAAATTCAAAATGAAGGAACGGGGCTGAAACGGCCCGAAGGGCCGTCAAGCCCTTAAATTCAAAAATGAAGGAACGGGGCTGAAACGGCCCGAAGGGCCGTCAAGCCCTTAAATTCAAAAATGAAGGAACGGGGCTGAAACGGCCCGAAGGGCCGTCAAGCCCTTAAATTCAAAAATGAAGGAACGGGGCTGAAACGGCCCGAAGGGCCGTCAAGCCCCTTAAATTCAAAAATGAAGGAACGGGGCTGAAACGGCCCGAAGGGCCGTCAAGCCCTTAAATTCAAAAATGAAGGAACGGGGCTGAAACGGCCCGAAGGGCCGTCAAGCCCCTTAAATTCAAAAATGAAGGAACGGGGCTGAAACGGCCCGAAGGGCCGTCAAGCCCCTTAAATTCAAAAATGAAGGAACGGGGCTGAAACGGCCCGAAGGGCCGTCAAGCCCCTTAAATTCAAAAATGAAGGAACGGGGCTGAAACGGCCCGAAGGGCCGTCAAGCCCCTTAAATTCAAAAATGAAGGAACGGGGCTGAAACGGCCCGAAGGGCCGTCAAGCCCCTTAAATTCAAAAATGAAGGAACGGGGCTGAAACGGCCCGAAGGGCCGTCAAGCCCCTTAAATTCAAAAATGAAGGAACGGGGCTGAAACGGCCCGAAGGGCCGTCAAGCCCCTTAAATTCAAAAATGAAGGAACGGGGCTGAAACGGCCCGAAGGGCCGTCAAGCCCCTTAAATTCAAAAATGAAGGAACGGGGCTGAAACGGCCCGAAGGGCCGTCAAGCCCTTAAATTCAAAAATGAAGGAACGGGGCTGAAACGGCCCGAAGGGCCGTCAAGCCCTTAAATTCAAAAATGAAGGAACGGGGCTGAAACGGCCCGAAGGGCCGTCAAGCCCTTAAATTCAAAAATGAAGGAACGGGGCTGAAACGGCCCGAAGGGCCGTCAAGCCCCTTAAATTCAAAAATGAAGGAACGGGGCTGAAACGGCCCTCGCAAATTTCAAATGCCCGGATCCTACTGCCGAATCCCAAAAGAATCCCGCTCCAGAACAAAGTTCTTCCATCTCCGATAAACAAGCCCGAATAGCCGCAAAAAGCCAACATAGCCGCACTCGCCGCGGCTAAAGCGCCAACACCCGGCCAGGGCTTTCTCCAGTTGAATCCAAAAATGTCCGATTTGCAAAAGAAAATGGTCAAGCATCTGACGAAAAAAAAATCGCCGAAAAAGATGTGTACCAAAGTTACCTAAGCGGTCAAAAATGATGTCGGAGAAATTGTAGAAATCAAAGGTTTTTGGAATCGTTTACACTTTGACGCTCAAGTCTGAAGGAGGAACTGACAGTATCGACTCCATACTGCTCGTTATTCACAAACCAAATGCTCCAGGAATTACATTTATCTCCGAGCTCACTATCAAACGTAGCACGATTTCTCCACTGATTCGATAGAAAATGTTCTAAAATAGCTTCCGAAAGTAGTCTTACTCGACTTTATAGTAGGAAAAACCGAGCTTCCAGTAAAGACCTTCATTCACTCACAAAAAGTATTCGACTCGTTAGGTGAAGCTTTGTCGGCACCTTCGGTTTTCGGCTCTTGCTGTCAGTTGATTTTATGTAAGAAATCGGAATTCGCAAGCAATCAGCGTCGACGCCGTAATTTGTTGCGGGGAATTTCTTTTGCGTGAGAGTTACTTTAGGTTCATTTTCATAAAAGTTTTATGATAAAACTCATTCTTAACCTGTGAAAAATTGAAAAATACTATCTAATTAAGCTATAATTTATAATTAGAAACTCATTTTTTATGAAATATTTTTATTATCAATTAAAATCCTTATTCATCGAAAAAAAATCATCTTAAAAGCTCCAGAAATATGCAATTTTATGAAAAATAGCATAAAATTGTGAAGAGAAAAGAATGTGAGTCGGGCTAGCTTGGCCATGCAGCGCGCGCGCCCCCTGGCGGCCGCCTCCAAAATGACGCAACCCCGCTTAGAATTCACCTCGGAAAACTTTAAAAATTCATATTTTCAAAACGCGAGGTGCGTCAGTGAATTTTTTTGCAGATTTAGATTTCTCAGCTCAATATCTATAAGGAAAAAATATAAAATCGTTACTGAATAAGAGTTCTCGTACTGATCCAAAAATGAGCTCTTTGAACGTCATTTTTACGAAAATGACTCATTATTATGGGATGATTTTGGCAGCATTGAACTCCTCGTACAAAGTTCTACTAAATCATCAATCTAAAAATTGGCATGGACCCTTTTTTGGGTACCTGAAAATTTGTGCGATATCCCTACATATAGTACGTTTGTTTCTAGGCGCTGCAGTTTGATCCAACACAAGCGAACGCGCTCTTCATGAAAGCGAACATGTATTATAACCTCGGCGACTATCAGAAAGCGCTCAACGAGTTGATACATCTTGACAAGATTCACCCCAAACTGGCCCTTGTCAATTACACCATGGCAAAGGCATACCATCATTTAGGGCAGAAATATCTTGGCAACAAGCATATGCAAATTGCTAATCAGCTCGATCCAAAGGGAAATCACAAGCAAAAAGGTGAAGCTTTTGATGTTTCCCATGTTTCAATTGAATTTTCAGCTCACGACTCATCAGAACTGGCAGACATTGCCAACTACGAGCGGGATCAATCGATGGAATCTTCAATTTCTGTAACTCCGACGGCGATTGAAACGTCCGAAATGGAGACCGACACGAGTCTTCAAAACCTCGAAGATCTGCTCAATGATGATTTTTAGTCACTCACCCTGCCAAAAAAGAAAATAAATAATAACTCAATCATTTAACTATAACTGCATCACTTGCATATCTCAGGACAGTTTCCACCGGAATATAAAAGATTATAGATTCACCGGGCGAGTCTTTGTTGATTTTAATTATAATTTTGTAGAATGACGAGAAATTTATTATGACACTGATATCCGGGCTGAAGAAAGATATTGAACGTAATGGAGATCAAGGCAAGAATTATTTTTAAATCTCTTTTACTATTTTCTATTAGGACATGTTGTTTACCGAGCTCCCGATGGAACGATTCTAAGAAACACCGATGATATCGTGAAGTACTGCACAACAGATGGTCAGGGTTCCTTCTTTATTCCGATATTTCAAGCAAAAATTAAGGAACATGCAAATGTGGCATGCCGAGTAAAATCGACCTGAGCGAACTCACCTTCGAAAAACCTGTAAAATATGAAACGATAAGACTCTCCCTGAGAAAGCTCAGTAGCAATTGGACTTCAGTAAAGCCTGCTGATAAAAGGTTCGTAAATACCATTCGAATTTTCGGATACTCCGAAAATTCGGGAAACGGGTGTTCAGTATTTATTCGAAAATGCAAATTCAGAAAAATACAAGATGATATCAAAACGAAAAAGACGAAAAAACTAAAAATAGAAGAGATCTGCCGCAACCTTTCCAAAATGCCAGAAACTTCCAAATTCAAGACACAACTTGTCGACAAGGATAATAATCATATTCCAAACTCTGCACAAAGAATCATTTCCAAATAGATCCTGTATAAATTTTCCTGATTTTGATTTTTGGGCTGTACCATTCAACCTCGTTTTTTCTTATTCGAGATTTTCAATAAACTTTCAAAAACTTTATAATGGAAGGAAAAGCAGTGATTATTGACAGTACTGCTTACCAATTATGTTACAATTTTAATTGATTGTTCTTTCGACAGATATCAAGGAAGAGAATTCTTCGGTGTCGAGAAGCTTTCCACTTGACGATCGAGTAGTTTAAGTTTTGCACGAAAGCAGGAAAGCTTCTCTGAAAGAATGTCTTACTCGCAGGTCATTTCTATTCTTTTGCCAATAGACTATTGGAAACTTCATCACGAAGAAAAAAACCCGCTTCCTGATTTTTCAGCGTTATTTCGATTTTTGAACTTTTCCACTTTTTCCTCTGCATCTTTGGCTCTTCGCAATAATCTTGAGGCATGTTTTTCAGCCTGAAAAAGTCTACTTCTATCTTCGTAGTGCTGCTTTCGCATCTTTTCAATTTCCACCCTTTTTGAATTCAGAACTGACTCAATTTTAACGGCGGAAGAAATCTCTAATGCATGAAGTTGATCACGTGACTTTTCAAGCTCCAACTTGAGCTTCTCGTCATTTTGAGCAATTGAAAGAAGACGGTGTTCCAAAGCTAAAACGAGTTTTAGATATCTTATGAGAAGTCCTACCTTGAAGTTTCTCTGCTTTTCGTCTTTTCGAACTCATAGCTTTGTTGAAAGCAACTTCCAGTTGTCGAATCTTCCGACGGTATTTTCTTTCTTCCTCTTTCATTTCAGAGGTGGAGCACAGGGTTGACCCAGATATACGCGATGAGGACCTACTGCTAGCAATATTTCGATTTGAAAGTAGATATCCTCTATCCTGCTCTTGAGAAACAGGAGCGCAAAATTCATCAAAGTACTGTTGAATGCTTTCTTCGATGCTCGACATTTGCAATGGTGGTGACTCTTGAGATTCAGCTGCTTGTGAGAATTCGTCCTCTTCTATAAAGTGTTCTTCTGGGTACTCGTGATACTCAGCAAAGTCTTCTTCGAGTTGATCTGGAAGTTGAAAATGAATTTCAGGTGGAAGAAAATCTTGATCTTCGCAAGCATTTGTTTCAGTTTGCACTTCTGAGTCGACTAGTTGATTGATAGGTGTTTGAGAACTGACGGTAAATTTAGATTTAGGTGCTGGAAATCTCCGAACGATGTCCTCAAGAGCATCAATCTTTAAATTTTGGACCAGAATTGTTTCTTCTCTATTATTGAGTCTTCTCCGGCAAATCAGCAGGTCATTTTTCGCCATTTCGAAGTTCTCGCAAAATTGCTCTCTTTCTTCTTTTAGTTCTTCGAGTTCTTGCTCAATTTTTTGCATTTTAGATTTTACTAGATGACTTTCATCTAATAGATTTTTGATGTTTTCGTTTTTGATTTGAATTTCAGACTCGAGTTTTGCACAATTTTGCTGTGTTGACTTTAAAACGAGGAGATTCTCTTGATTTTGTCTGATATTGTCCTTTAGTTCTGCGTTTTCTCTGCCCAGTTGATTGAGCAACATTTTGCTTTCGAATGAAATTCTCTTAAGATTTTTGTTCTCTTTCCGTAGGCTCTCTGCTTCTACTGATATTTTCTCCAAATTTTCTGAACGATTGAAGGCTAGCTCTTTTTGCTCTTCGAATTTTTCAGTCACAAGTTTCAATTCTTTTTGATTCAGAGCATCTTTCGAGTTTTCAGAAGATTTTTCAGTTGAAAGCGACTCGAAGAGATTTTTGAAAAAGTCTCTTTCGTCGTTGACTTCGACAAGTTTGCCGTAGACTTTTACCAGCTCCTCTTCAAGCTCTAGTATCTTTTCTCTAGAATCGTCTCTGGCTGAGTCACTTTTGAGCTTTTCAACTTCGTCGTCTTTTTCGTTAAGTGAAAACTTGACCCGTTCGTTTTCAAGTTTCAAAATGTCCAGCTCATTTTCTGCTGCGATCTTGTCCTCAAGAACTTGCTTAAATATCTCCTTGAGCGATGTATTTTCAGAAAGCAAGGCTGAGATTTTAGACTGTTCTTCGAAAAGACGGTCTTCGAGAGTTCTAATCTTTTCTTCGTAATCAAGCAGGATGTTTTCATCTTGACAGATGCTAAAAGAAGGAATGGATACAAAAACACGTCCTCAAGCCCAGTTAATCTCTTTACCTTGCTGAACTTAGTGATTCCAAGTCGGTGTCGCCCATGTGCGTTTCTGACTTGTTACAAATGACGATTGGTACAATCGACCTGTCACTATCGCATCGTATTCTTCTCCTAGAAAACCTTCTCTCCTTTTCAAAATCGCCTCTTCTCTCAATCCTCAAACTGGCGGACTCATACGGAATAAGTTTTCTCACTTCTTTCGAGCTCATCCCCGAAACTCATACGTGGGCCATAACGTGGCTGATTTCTCTCTTTCCACCGAGGTCGATCGATTAATTTCAGTATACGCGTGCCAAGTCCTCAGTCATTGCCGTTTTCCCCAGAGCTTTGATAACTCGATTTTCTTCGATAATTGTGACGAAGGAAAATATTTTTATGTCCTCAATAATGAGACAAAGAGTTTTTGAAAAGATGAGCTTGACAGGTGGTCGTTAAATTTTTGAAAGATTCAACAATTTCAAATATCATTTCTTGTACTTGAATAATTGGAGTTAAATAAATTGGCTTTATTAATTTTTTTTTCAAATAATAAACTTGAATATAAAAACTTTCAATTTGAAAGTGAGAATGACGTTTCAAATCGTACTTTTAGTATCTGCTCACTTCTGTAATGAGCTCTGTAAAAAGAAAACGAGCTGTCCTTACGACGAAGTCTGCTCCCACGGATTCAAGGCCGTATATAACAGCCAATATTTTTTTCATTGAAAACATTATTGCGTTCAGATCCGACTTTTCCCAACCTTAGCATTTTCAAGAGGAAGAAGAAGATGATCGAAATCTGCTTCAAATCCATTCCGACAGTTGTGACATTTTTCAGTTAATCTAGGGAGCAGGCGTCTCCGCGTCATCTTCCACAGGGAGCTTGAGCTTCCGGCACTTTTTCGGGTGTAATTTTGCGGGTGCAATAAATCAGCGTAAATCGTTTTCGCCTTTACGAAAAAAGTGCTACTCCGGAGACGCACAAAGCGGACAGAGCTGTCAGCTGGCGACGGCGCGGCGCACACGCGTGATCACTGCCTTCTATCTTCCGACAATTTTCAAGGAAGTTCTTTTTTAAAATACGATAATTGGCTATAAAACCAACAGGACTTGAAAGGACGACGCGCGTGGATAAGGAGCCATAGTGGCGGTTTAGTGGATTGATTTTTCGAAAATCGTCTTCCTTGATTTCATCCAAATTTTGATGACTCCATAGAACAAGGGAATAAATATCGGTAGCTAAAGATGAGTTTAAAGTTTTTAGATCAATTACTGATATAAATCAGATTATTTGTTGTTTTAGCGTCTATTTATATTTGAGAACATGGAGGAGTCGTTTCAGTCCAGAAATGTCGACGTCCTTTTGACGGATGAGCAGTTTTGAAGGCCTTCCCACGCTCGTGGTTATCTCGAGGGAGTACTTTAGGTCTGACTCGAGCTCGCCGAAAAACGCCTGGCTTTGATTGACGTGGAGGTAGGCATGATGCGCGCTGGAAATAGGCACCTAAATATCAACAGAGTAAAAAGCGTGTCACCCTTGACAGATGACTTTTCCGACGATTCTTCCGGCACTCTTTGAAACTCGCTCCACCATAAATCCGGAAGCCGCGAGTCCTTGTTGCGCTACAAAAAGCCAACAACTTCAGAAGATAATTTGCGGAAACGATGACTTCAAACGAGTTTTTCAGACTCGAGGAATTTTTCGTCTGTCATACTTTTTTTCTAACAAAAAAGCTTGACGTAGATTTTAGTGGAAAGAATCACAAAATAACAAATGATTCGATTTCCGCCCAAAGTTGTTGTCGTCGCACTCGCCCGCGGCCGTTCGGCGAATGGGCTCTCACATAAATCAGCCCCATTCTTGGCCAAACACGGGTGCCTAACAATGCCTGGGAACATTGCGATAATGTTATTGATGGTGAACCGCCCCCAGGCGTGTTAAGTGTCGCGAGTCTGCCGCACACTCGTGCTCCCAGGGCTCTTGCGACGGGCCGGCGGCGGCGCTGAGTAAACTAGAAACTACCCTTAATGGCCGCGGGAACGTGTCTCGCGTTTAAGAACTTGTAAAACCATTATCTGCTGGTTTAAACGTTTTTTAACTGGCTCCCAGGAAGGTATAATGAAGGACAATTACTGTAACGAAGAAAAAAGAGTATCTTCAAAAGATACAAACTTGTTAAAAGCACTCAGCTTATTTCTATTACTCAGCAAGCTACTGTGCCGAGTTTATAGAATGACATTTCAAAATAATCATTTTGAATACCAGAAAGTTTATTTTACGGAAGAAAAAGCAGATAAATCAAGGAGATTGCGGAAATGTCAGCGGATTATCCGCTTCATAGTGAGGAAAATCCCGCTCACCCGCCATACTTTGCGACGACAATTGGCAGCTTATAGCCATAATTTGATCGACCGGAAGTCGCACGGAAATTATCAAATGATCTCCTTTTTTTATTCGCCAATAATTACCATAACGGTTTTAACAGAAAAAAAGACACATTTGCGTGCCTGTATCATAGCTCGAGCTCCAGAGCTCGTGATAGAGAGACATAAAAGTCGAAAGAGGAAATTTGTTTATGATAATCTGGCCCTTGAAGGTCGGCTGATCAGAGCTCGCTCTTGTGTCAGAGGTAGCTGGCCCTCGAGCATTGTGCCCCGATTGTGGGAACCACTTGCCTCCAGGCGTCGTTTTACTTCCCACCCCTCTTTCTTGAGTCACTGGAGGCAAGGTTGACTTCTTCAGTATTTATCGTCCCCACTGTTCTCTTGAAACTGCCAAAATTCCTTTAGTAAACATTATTCTAAGCCTTATCAGTTATAAAATTGGCATACGAGTAATTCAGTTAATATTTTTTTCCTTGAATTTAACGATGAAGTTACAATCGTTTCAGAATGTTTCTACGTAGAGAATCCGCCCAAAAGTTCTCCCGAATGTCATGTGCAGTATTCCTTTGACAATTCTGAAAAGAGCACTTTTTCCTTCGCGAGTTCGCCATAAAGATAAGCCACTCGACAGAACACGCGTCTCAGATTCCCAGCGTGCTTCCCTTTCTTTGAATTATCCAACAGCGCCACTACGCGGCGCTCTATTGCGCGAATAACGACGAGTTTCATCGAGGAAGATCTTTTTAGAAAATAACGAGGAAATAATTAAAGGAATCCTTTTTTTTTCCGAACTGAAGAAAAAATGAGCCAAGTAAGCAAAACAACACTTGCACAAGAGGCGATTCCGAAGACTCCCTCTACTCCTGGTTCTTTTGATCGACAGGTTTGCAAAGTTAGGGAAACTGTAGCTTACATATATTTCTAGATGCAAGCCACAAAACCATTGATGGAGAAACGAAGACGAGAGAGAATGAATAAGGCGCTGAATGAAATGAAAAATCTTCTCCTTGAAGTCATGGGCCGCGACGTAAGTCTTCCTTGATTTCAACAATTTCTTTACAACCTATCTTCAGGTCACTTGTCACTCGAAGCTTGAAAAAGCAGATATTCTAGAGAACGCTGTCGAATATCTAAAGACTCTTCGAGCTTTTTACGGGATGCTGCCTAGCCCACACATGTACAATCCACGAGAAGGTGTTCGCCCCCGTCTCCCAGCTCGTCAAAAGTCAGCCTGTCAGCTGAGCACCACTCCGTTTATCCCCGCCTGTAGAATTCCCATGTCACCAATAAGCCCCGTTTACCCTTACGCTCTTGCTCAAATGAACCAGAACCCAAAGCGGGCGAAACTTGAACCCGACATCGAAAAGGCTCTCTTTGCCAACGCCGAATCCAATTCCACCGGAACCAATCCCAACTCTGACTCCGAACCCGAAGTAGAAATTACTGTCCCAGTCAACCAAACCTTGACCAGGGCTAAATCAACGATTGTGCCTATTTCTAGCGCTACCATTGGAGTGACTCGCAAGCGTTTCCGCTCGAGCCCTGACAATGGGCCCTTTCGTCCGTGGATCACACAATAACTTCTGATCAGAATTTATATCTTAATATTTTGTTCCTTACGTTCCTTTTTGTTATGTGCTCCTTTCAAATAAATATATTTATAGAAAAAAGCGTCCTATTTCAAGTGAAATTACAGCCATTTGTTTTCAAGCGCAGCATTGTAAAAAGTGAACTCTTTTGTTAGTCAAATATTGGCGCTGCAGAAAGAAACAGACGAGCATCAAAAATAGTAGAGTGACCTTTAGAGAAGTACAAGATGGCTACGGTTTTTAGTCATTTTAAGATCAATTTATTTGAGAGAAATTCTTAATGAAAAATTTGAAAACCGAGAAAAAAGGCTTCTTGAGCAACATTTTCAGCATAAAATTTCTCGTCCTTTGCTTCGTCGCTTTCTATGTCAATAAATCTGTTACGTTATTCGGCTATCGCCACAATCCAGATACATTGAAGATCAAGCATTTCGACGATCATAATTGCAAGAAATTGTTGTTTGACGTTGGCGCCGAAGATATTGCTACTTCAAGTGATGGGTTGGCTTTTATAACTTCTGGACTGAGATACCCGCCTTTTGTGAATTCAGAAGGAGGTGGAAAGATTTATTCGATGGATTTGACTAAGGCTAGAGCTGAAATTAACTTGAAATCATTCGAATCAGATAAAGTAGTAGCTCGATCAAAGAAATCGCCAGAACTAACTGAGCTCAGCCTCAGTGGCCCTCACCTTAATCCTCACGGACTTGATATCCTTGAGATAAAGGGTCAAATATTTCTATACATCGTCAACCATGGAGAAAACATGAGCCGCGAGACAGTTGAAAAGTACAGACTTGCCGAAAACAAACGGGAGCTGATTTGGATGAAGACCTTCGCAGACGACAAAGTTTTCCGAAATATCAATGATCTCAATGTCATCGGGGAGGATGAATTCTACAGTAATACTTTAAATCATACGTAAGACGTAAATTTAAGTCTCCAACAACTTTCATTCTAAACAAACCACCCCCTGGCTGAGAAAACTTGAGGTGACCTCACACATGTTACTTGGCTCGATTGCTTACTGTAATGGAAGCAACTGTGAGCTGAAAACATATCCGACTTTGGCATTCCCGAACGGAGTTCAAAAGCGAGGAAATGAGCTGTTTGTTGCTCTCAGTTTGGCGAACTACATGTCGGTCTACCAAATCGATCCGATCAACAAAGGTAAAAGAGTCCTCCATGATTTCAAGCTTATTTTCAGATTTGACTTTCAAACGAAATGTCGCCCTGGAAGTTGTTCATGACAATATTTGGATGAACAAAGCTGGCGACATGTTCATTGGCGGAGGAACGAACATGGGAGATCATCTTTTCAATGGAAAGCCGATTGGTTCCGAGATTTACAAAATTCCAGCTGGGTCTTATGAAGCCGAGCAGATCTACTTCGACAACGGAGACGAGTTCCGACAATGTTCGATCGCGGTTGAATGGGAGCAACATATTCTGATGGGCTCTCCTGGAGCTGATTTCATGATTTGCACACGAAAATAAATTAAAAAAAAAGAATTCTTGAGAAAAAGATTTTTTGAGCGAAAAATCAGCGTTCGAATATTCGGAAGCTAAAGTGACGCTTCTCACCCTCGCCCGTTTGCAGCTTGTTGAGCCTGTCAGGAATGCCTGGGCAAGTCAGGGACTGGTGACTGGCTGCCACCTTTGGAGTTCATTTGGACGAGGCGGCCTGTCTAAAATGCATTTCACCCGAACTACAGCACAAATGCGGCGATAAATGATTATGCTCCTGACGACAGCGAGCCCATAAACTCGAAAAACTTATCGCTAGTTACAAAAGACAGTTTCTTTCCGATTTTATCATTTAACGTAAAATTGAGTATTGAAGAGACAAACGGGACTAGACACGATTGTGGATTTATGATTCTAAAATTGAGCGCTTACGGTTTGTTAAAGAAGGCACGAAGAAAAGCGGTGGTGAGTGAGAATCCCACTCAAATCCACGGAATCCATACTCACTTGTGGTGGACAGCTCGTGGCAACGTAGAAATGACCATAATCGGCCATGAAATTATAAAATTATTGCATTTGATCTGTCCTTTAATCCGGAATTCAAAGGAATTTCAATATTCGATAACAGACAAAATGAAGAATTTCAGCAGCCATTAAATTTCTTCGATGGCTGCTTCTTTCTCAAAATTTCGAAAAGACGAAGAATGAGCTGGTAACGAAGAAACTTTCTATAACTCTAAAGACTTTGAAATTACAGAGTACTCAAGCAAAGAATTTCCATGTGCAGCGCGTATGTTCCATTCGTACGAAGATAAGAGCCGGCCTTGCATAAAAATATGTTATTAATCATCACCCATAAGGGGTTCTATCCTGTTCTTGAGAAGCAAAAATGTTTTTGAATAATTTTGAATAAATTGTTCCGCCTCACTCGCTCGCCTAAATTTAATCCTTCATAAAAAGCTCCAAAACTTTCAAAAACTATCATTTTATTGAGAGAAAATATGAATTGGAAAAAACCTGGCTTCACTCTTTTAGGAGGTTTTTCACTCATTCTGACGATGGTGCTCTCTTTTATCTTGTTTTTTATGCCAGGGAATTTGACTGAAGGAGTGCATCAACTCATGGAAGAGATTTCTCTGCCGTTTGATTTTCCGGAATGTCAAAAACGCCAAAAAATCATAAAATATAAAGAAAATTATTTTTGATTTTTGAAAAGTTGGAGAAACCGTTGGAGAGAACTTACGACATCAAAGTTAAAATCAACGGCGAAATTCGCGACGGACTGTTCATTGATCAACGCGAGGGCGGTACTTTTTTCTTCGAAGCTCGAGATGTCTGTTTGAGCCGGAATATGACATTGCCCAAGCAGGGCTTTGAGATTTTGATGACTCCTGATATTGAGCATCTTGAGATTGAGAAGAATAACATGTTTTGGATTGATGCTTTTTACTCGCTTGAACTTGGTGTTAATACAACTGCGACTGGCGAAGACGAAAAAATTATCACGACTTTGCTCGAGGAATTCATTGGTGCTAATGATCACCTTGGTAATATTTTGAATAACCTAATTTTCTAACGAGTTTAATGAATTTAAGGGTATATGCTCGCTAAAGGCTGTTTATACAAGCTAAATGATGTTGAAGGAGTGCGACTATCAAGGATTTATTTTCGTGAGAGCGATTTCCTAAAAGAAAGAGTTTCTCAACAATCTACCAGGAAAACATGGTAGTATCTCAAAAAACTCAACAAAGATGAAAACTTCACTGTATATTTCCAATACGGCAATAACTTTCCTTCCGATGTCCTCAGAATCAACAAGACCTTCATCGAGGAATATCTTCCTTACAACTCTGCAAGATTTCTTTGGTCTGAAGAGTTTCGCGTGATCGAAATAGATTCATTGCCTAACGATAATTTTCCAGCGAATCTTGTCTCTGGATGGACAGTGGGTGAATACCGAGAGAAAGAAGTTGGAATTCCCCTTTGCTCAAGAACACTGGCCAGTGCAATAACTTGGCTTACGTAGGTTTTCTTGATATTATTCAATCCAAGCTGTTTTTTGATGATTGACATTCATTAATTGCAATAATGTAATTATAAGTAGCACCAAGAAAACCATAAAAGATGCTCAGAAGAAATAGTGGCTGTGGATAGCATCTGCCATGGTCATTTTAGCTCCCGTCTTTCCACTAGAAACGGCACAGACCATCTTGTTCGAACAAGAGGAGCCTACTCCGTGCGAAATGTAAACGCATCTCCTGGCCCATTTATCTGCTTGAATAAATAGGCTGAATAAAGTTTCGCTGCAAGAACACACGCATCATCGGAAAAGAAAAAGGTCGTGGTAGGTAACCCACGGAAATATCATTTCCCGGCTGACCTAATCATTTCCGAGGCGGTAAACAACTTCTTGACCCGTCTAAACATCTGCTTGTAGCACTTGTAGTTTATTATCTGCATATTTTCTATAAAAGGAATGACAAAGAGAAAGTAATTGGCAACTTGGTTAACTCTTGGAAAAAATCTTAGCTTGAAAACTGAAGTTCGATAATTATCGTTTCGTAACCAGGGCGGGGCCAAAAGCTGATTGATTGAGATTATCAAAATCATATTTCCAAATAGTATCAGACTCAGAGTTATCATTCAAAATACCAGTCAAATAATCACCTAAAAATCAAAAAGCGCCACTTGTTTTGGTGAAAAGCGACAAAAAACTAAACGCTACTCATGAAGACAAACGAGCGGCGAAACACGATCAAGCTCGTGAGTCGCAAATCAGCTGTTCAAACGATCGATCATTTTTAGCGGCCAAAATTTTTCGAAAAAAAATGAAGTTTTACACGATAGTTTTCTCTTTGTTTTTAAGCCTTTGCAGCTTTCGATTTTAAGATTATTTTAATCATTTATTCTATCTATTTACAGCAACTTGATGATAAGCCAGTAAAAGAAGGCGGAAATAGCGCCGGAAACAGGAAGTGTTACGATCCAGGCCCAGGCAATGTTGCCGAACGTTCTCCATGAAACTGCATTGCGATTGTGAATTAAAGAGACGGCGACCACCGCTCCCACCTTGATTAAACATAAATAAGGGTAGAGGAAAGGATTACGAAATTGGAGGGCTTTTCTTTGTTGCATGTTTATTTTAAGAAAAATATAAAAACCGGAGCTTTAGAATTGCCCTTGCGAAAGATTTCCATTCAGAAAATATGCTGCATCTCTTTTGAATGAAACGAGCGAGTGCTAGAATATTTTTGGAAATTTCACGCAGGCAATAATAATGGTTCGCTAAGCCAACGAAACTTTTATTTTAGAGCGAGATAGGATTTTCGCGCAGTAAAAGCACCTCTGCCTGTACTCTAACTTAACTTAAAAATTATAGCTTTAGAAAAGCTTTTCGAAAACTCTAAAATTTTTCTGGCAGCCCCGAATTTATACCTTGCAATGAGTTGTCGAAAGAGGAATTCCATAGTTGGATCCCAACAAGACAGTCAGCCCGGCCATGATGTCGATCGAGAAGCCTCTAAAACCTGGTTACAACGTCAGATTCAGCCATTTCTTTATCAAGTATGTGTGTCAGTGCAGAAACAATATTTTGTCTGGCGCGCAAAGTTCTAAAAGTGAACTCCGTGTATGGTACCGCCGAGTGCACCTGAAGACGTGAAGATTACGAGAGATTCAGTTTCGCTGTTTTTCCATTTTGAGAGGCGAAAATTCAATACGCGAAATTTACACGTTACATTTCCAACACACGGAAATTAATTGCTACCCACAAACTTTGTACAATTAAAACTGGACCTCTTTTTTCCGTCAATGGAAATGTCATGACTCTGGAATTTATGGAACTTGCTGAGTCGAGCCATTTTTTCAAATCTTGTGCTTACTTAGATCCGAGTCATTTTTCTAAAAACGGAGTCGGCGCGTGTTCGGAATGATGGTGCCCGTGTAATTCGCCCGTAAAGTTCGCGAAATTATTGGGTCGCCGCGCATATCGCGATTTTAAATGTGAAGGTTGTTTGGCTTCATGAAACCCTGTGTCAATAATTTGTGATTCTCGCTCGACCGGAGTTAAAAATTAGAGCCATTGCAATTTCGGCAAGGGAAAAGTGGCAACTGCAGTTTTTACCTTGCAGGGGTGATTTCGGCAATATCTTCTCCAACAGTCTCAATCACACGTCGCCCGAGCACCCATAATCCCAACACGATGCCAGCACAACCGTACGCAATAATCCATGGATCAGGAGCATCAGCTTTTTTCGGGGTCACAATATTCGCTCATATTCATCCTCAATTTTTGCAAGGTTCAATAATCCCGTTTTTCAATAATGACCCTGCCCGAAAAGAAGATTTCCAGCTGAAAAGGCCGACCAGAGCGCTAGAACTGGACCAATGGAGTTCCTACAAAATAGTGGTTAAAATAATCCTCGTGTAATTTCTTTCAAGAAAGCGAAATTTGTCAATTGGAGCTTATCCGGCGACTGAGAACGTGAGAACCCTTTGTCTTGATCCGGTTCTTATTCTCGAACGAGCAAATTTAAATCGGTATTTACAGTGGTGCTTACCCGACGTCGTTGCCGCCGTGTGCGAATGCGTCTAAGCAGGCGGAGAATGCTTGTAAGTGGCTGAACATGTATCGCATCTCTAGAAGACTTAGAGTTAATTGTAAATAGCTTCTACAGTCATTTGTCGCCTCACGCAACTGAGCTGCTGTCACGCGTGGGAACCCGGAGGTTAGTTGAATCAAATCCCGATTTCACTTTCGCCCGAGCATAGGTTAAACACATTTAGCGTTTTTCGACTGAATGCGAAGTGAATTCAGAAGAAAGAACAAGCGCTCTGCCGGTATTTTTGCGAATGTGCATAATGTGGAATTTCGGCGAGAAGATTCCTGTGGCATGTGCCGAGGCAAAGCGCCTATAATTTCTTGTGAGAGAGCTTATTTGACCGTCAGAGTGTTCATTACAAACCGGTCGCTTTTGAACTTCAATTTGAGGGGTTAGAAATTGTTCAGGCGATGTCTATTCAAGATGACTTTTCTCTATGGACCGTACAGTCTACGGTACTTTAATTTTTGAACGACGTCTGATTATAACCGGTTATTTTGGCGTACTGATTGCAAGCTGTTCAATTTTTTAGTTCATTTTTGCAAATCATCCAATTATTTTGTCAAGCGATTACGCGATCTGGTAGTTATTTTTTGAATTTCAGGCTGATAAGCGAGTTATTTTAGTGGTTGATTTTCTTGGATCAAAGTTGCTATTGAGCTAGCTGTGTTTTATCGCCCAAAACTTGATCAAGAACCATGTTTAACGTAAAACGCAACTTTTTCTCACCTTCACCCTCCGATCCATCGTTTAGGCTCTCATCGTTTTCTTCGTCGTCCTCGAGAATCAGGTCGTTCTTCTTGACGACTCCGTAGATGCTCGTTTTGCTGCCGGTGGAGATGTTCGAAATCTTCGAAACAAGTGATGAAAGCGAACCAGAAGACTCGTTTCGTCGGTCACTGAGAAGAAACAGAAATGTCTACTGAGGTTACTGAGGGGGACTAAATTGCCATTCTGTGGCCTACTTACGCCGTCATCGGGATTCCAGCCGAGTATTCAAGGGCTTCTTTCTCTTCTTTTTCGAGTAGGGCCCATTAGGTGTAAATACCCATTAGGTGTAAATTCCATTAGGTGTAATTTTCTAGAAGGTGTAACACACCTAATGGATATTTACACCTAATGGGAACTTACACCTATTGGGTGAAAATTCTTTGTTTTGGGACATTTGGTGTAAATTGTTGCCGAATTCATTTCTTTCGATCGAAAAACTCTGCGAAATCCGACTGCTGACGAGAAAATACAAAGAAAAACAAGAAAAAAAACCTTGATCTGCCTGAATATAAATAATACGAATAAAAGAGATTCTCAATAAAACCGGTCAAGAAGGAAGCTCTTTGATAATATCGTCCTTGAAGCCTCTTTATTTTTATAAAATGAAACGACTTCTGCAGGAACCAAAGCATCGGACTTGAATTTACTTGCTCCATCAAAATCTTTTTCATCGAACTTTTTCTTTGGAAGCGAGCTCTGCGTTTGATTCGTTTATACAAGCCGATCATAATGCCTTTACACAGTTTTTGAATACTTCCCTCTAAATAATTGACAACAGAAGGAAATTCGTCACGAAGTAGGACAGTACCTGATTTGTACTTTTCGATGAAGAGACAAATCTCATGAATGAATCCTAACGAGCCAATAGTTGCAATCGACTTTTCCGAGTTAAGCTGCGACAGGATAATCATCGACTCGTTAACGACATCTTTACATTTTGACGTGCGCACAATACTGTACAAAGGTCGTAGTAGTTCTGAAGTGACGCAGCCAAATTGGAGCAATTTCAGGCACTAAATCACGATCGCGTCGTTTTCTTTGTGACTAAGCATGGTGAGCAGAAGTGGTCGGGAGTTCTGTGTCAGTTTCTCGCTCTTTGTGAAAAAAGAAATCGCTGTAGCTGCTGAGGAGGACTTGTAGTATTTCTCAAGATATGCCATCGAATCTTTGAGGTTGAGGTCTGCTTTCGGAGCTGGTACTTTCGTATTCATTGAGATCTTCATCCATTTGCAGCTGCGTTGTCGTTTTGCTTAAAACACTGTTATACAATTATATTGACTATATGAATTTGAATTCTAGTGCTTCTAGAACTTAAGTCTACAGATATTTTCATAAAAATTGAACATTTACTTCTCGATTTTCTGCAGGAGTCTACTTATTATTAGAGATAAAAATGAAGCGTAAAAAGGATGATGAAAAGAATGAGGATTTGGAATTAACAAAAGAAGTCAGCGACATGGTTAAGAAAGCGCCAAAAGCTAAACTTGAGCTCAAAGACTTGCTTACGCCTGAACGTCCCCCAACGATGATTGAAACTCAAGAAATCATCGATGATTCTACCAGTACCGATCCAAAGGAAAAGTGCTCTTTATTAATAATTGAATTACCTTGCAATTTGTCGTAAGGATAAACTTCCAAGTAGCCTCGGTCAGAAATGAGCAACCCTTTCGCGGAGAACTCTTCATCATCAAATTGAAATCTTGAGAGCACTAAATAGTTGATATCAGTTCAATTGGCAACAAGCATGGTCAATTTCATTTTCTTTATTTGCTTTGGACCTAATGAATTGTTCTCATATACTCCGCGCAATAAAGACGATTTTCAAGATCTTCCAAAAGAACTAGCAGCAAAATATCCAGGAGCAGGTCAAATAGAATGATTTACCCTTTAATATATACGGCATGCATCTTTAGGGCATTAACTTACCTAAAACGCTTCTCAATCGAGTAAATCATGTTGTGGACATCGCTTTGGCACTGTTGCTTGCCAAAATGCTGGAATTGTGACGGTTTTTTCGTGCGCTGAAATCAAAAATTATCATTTTGAGATCTGTTAAAAAGGATGGAAAAGAATGAATCTCAACTGTCAAAACCACCACGTTCGAAAGAATCTGGAAACATCTAACTGTAAAGCGAAAATATCGGTGCTTGTACGAAATTCTGATTACAAATCGAAAGAATTTTACGATGTTGAAAACTTTATAATCTACGATCCAAGAAAATCTCATGTGGCGTTTGAAGTTTGTGGCTTTGGTGGTCATTTGAATGCACTGATTGATTGTTGGAAAAGATATGTGGTTTACAGATTCCGTCGAAACGAGCTTGAATCACAGCCCCGGACTTCGAGAAAAATGCTTGAATTGTTGCAAGATGAAGTCGTTGACAGTGAAATTTCAAATCGAATTTTCGGTGGAAATGCCAAAAAGAATGCCAAAAAAGCGGCGCTTCGATTTAAAAACTCAAATGTCGCTGCCAAGGAAAAACAAATTGTGCCGACAAAATGCCACTTCTTATATATGTTTCAACGATGGTGGGCGGATTCACGACTCCCTTCCCTTAGCAACGATTTCACGCGCCACAATATAGTGTTTTTTTTGGACCATGACGCTCGCCGAAGTGAATATGCATCAAGTCTCAATATAGGAAGAGTTTTTTACCTTTATTGAGTACAGTTGAGTTGTTGTTATTGTAGATGAGACAGGTTGTTTGTGAGTTCGCTCGTGATCTGAAAAAAAATATGAAACTCGAAAAGATGGAATAATGAGTGTCGTGAGTGCCGTCAAAAAACAGTGGCCACAACTTGTGATGGTAACCGAACCTTGCCGCGATCAATCGAACAAATTCAAGGTCGGGTTTTTTTTATTTAAGTCGCTTGGTGTCGCTTATTCGGGCTTTTGTTTTCGGGGTAATCATCAAAAATCGACGGTGCGTTAAAAAACCTGTCAAGGGTTATTGCGTTGACCGAATGACTTGTCTCCTCAAAGATCACAAAGCGGAAACATATGAAGCGTTATGGGCATTCTTCAAAAGCCAAACGAATGGGCTCCCTAATCTTCGCTATGTGTGCAGTGACTGGGAGAAATCCTTTATCTCTGCTCACAAAACTGTCCTGCCCGGCGTTATTCATATAAAGTGTTCCTTCCACTTGTATCAATCCTGGAAACGCCGGGCAGGACAGGAAGGCCTCTTGAAGGCTTGGGAGGAAGAACGGACACAAGTCATCAGGAAGGTTTTATAAAATGAGATTGCTAACATTTGCTATTTTACCTTTGATCTTTTAGCATCAGCTGATTTGTAGATAAGTTTCCGCTCTCCGACTCGCTTGAGGTTTCGGTTGCCATTCGGGCAAATCTTCTGCGGAAGATGAATTTTTTCTGACTGAGCTTCAAAATGAAGAATACACAGGCGCTTTTGGTCTTCATTGGAGGTGTGTATTGATAACTGTGCGCTTAGAATGGGTATTATTTGAAATCAATTAAAAATCGTCCACAAAATCAAATTCTGACGTATTTTCGTACCTTGGCAAATAGTATCGATGAACTTGATTTTTTTTTTGTTGCTAGTTTGCGCTCTTGGTTGACTTAATAAAGGACTTGTAGTTTTGCTCAGCTTTTTCTTTTCTCCGGCTTTGAGGACTTCCTCGATGTTCAGATTGACATCGAGAGCTCCTGTGCATTCGCCAGCGAAGATCTTTCTCGCTCCGTGACGGATCATGTTCAACATTTCCTTTTGATTGAGCTTCTTGTTCTGATCTATTGATCATCGTTGAGGGTTTCTAAAAGGGGGATTAGTATTGTGAAAGTCAGTTAATTTCATTTTATAAAATCAATAAGGAATTGTCTGTATTCTGCGCCTTATTTCCCTGTTGGACAAGATGAATTTCGGGCTGTTTTCATCGAAATCATCACAGAAGAGTGCCAAAAAAATCTTGAAATCGACGGTAATGCTGTTGAGTCGATGGATGTTGATGACGAAAACGCGAAAAAAGAGGTGGATGTTGATGATGACGAAAACGCGAAAGAAAAGGTGGATGTTGATGACGGCGAAAAGAAGAAAAAGAAGAATGGATGGATCGCTTATCGCGACTACCTCCTCAAGAACTATTTCAACGAAGACGCCACATTCAAGCCTAGTGAATGGGCCGATAAATCATCCAATATGATCAAAACTGGGGAAATCGATAGCACTAATAACGCCAGGCTTGGTTTGATCATTTTTACCTAAATTTTTCTCCATGATTTCGACCACGGTCTCTCTATTTTTATTCGAATTGAGCAGCGCTTCTCATCAGCTTCATGACCAGCGACAACAACAGCTTGACTCGTTTCTAAAATATCAATTAACTTTTGAAATCAACGATGAACCAAGATTTAGCGAGAGTGTAAATGCACGACTCTTGCGCGGTCTGCAGTCTAAGCCTGATGTTCAAGAGCTTTGCAAAGTGATCACAAATCGCAAGAAAACGACGTTTAACGATGAGTTGAGCTATCTTGAAGATGGAAAATGGCCAATAAAAACAACGCAAAAAACTGGTACAACATGGATGGTTAAATTTAACGCTATGCAACGATTCTATCGAAAGTTGGATCGACAGTCTTCTTCCATGCCTCTAAAAATAAGCCATGCTGAGCTGAAAAAGCTTGTAATATCGACTTCAAAAGATCTAAAAGGGGCGTCGACCGAGGCAAAAAGATTACTCTCTTCAAAAGACGCACTTGACAAGTTCCTTTGTGACCTGGATCGCAGAAATCCAGTGTTTGAGACTTTTCTCGCTGGAATGAATTTCAATTTGGTCGAAAAGAAAGAAGAAAACGCAAAAAAGAAAAAGGGCTCACCTGGTCATGAAATCAACGAAGAGAACCTTCCAGCAATGGGCGAGCATAGCGGCGCCTTTGTGAGGAAAACAGATGAAATCAAGGAAGAAAAGCGTCGTATTGATGTCCTTGAAGAAGCCGCGGAATACACAGAAGTTAAGTCAGCAACAAACAACGATGAATCGTCCAATTCCATTCTTCTTGAGGAATCTGAAAATGCAATGAAATACGAAAACGAGCTTGATAGAAAAATGTTCAAAACTCCAACTTTCAAGTTTGAAAAGTTTAATGGCTACAAGATGTCATTTGAAGCAGAAAATATCGCTAAAAATATACAAAAATGGCCTGAAGGACAGCTGGTCAATTTAATAGAAAAGGAGGAAGTTCGCGTCCGAGATCTGTTGCCACTTTACAAACTTCGAACAGAAACAAAAGACAAAATTCTGGACTTGTTTATCATCATTATGAGACATTACCAACAGCAACACCAAACTAATGATATTATTCTTGAAGACACGAAATTCTCACAAATGGTCTTTCAAGGAAAAAATTTTGCTGGTACTGGTTATCATCCATCAGAAATAAAACGATTTGTTTGCCCTGTCTTTATCCCTGGTCGAGTTGGACACTGGATAATTGTCAAGGCGGATAGAGAGGAAAAAATATTTACAATTTACGACTCTTTGAATTTCGAAGATTATGGAGATGTCTATCAAGGCAAATTTCAAAAAATATTAGATTAATTAACCGTATCATAAGCGCAATTGGAAATTTAATTAAGTGTTTCTTGAAGTATTCGAAGAAGACGAAAAGGACTGGGCTCCTATATATCAAAAATGCCCAAAACAAAAATACATGGACTGCGGCATTAATGTGGCGTATGGATTATTTTTCATCGTGTGCCTAAATCTGGAGAACTATTCAACAAAACTCAAGGAGAGCTCCAAAAATTTACGACTAAATTTGGCAGCGTGCATATCCACTGGCGAATTAATGATTGGTACCTGATGTTTGGCGAACCAGCTGTAAGATTTTACTTTCCAGTACTTCTTTTTCTTAAATAAACATAATCAGAAACAGAGATTTATTCAGTTATTTACTTTCGAGTACAAAAGCGTATCGCTGAGCCCCTCAACCGCAACTGCGAGGCGTTGATTATGCCAGGACATTTGGAGGACGTCGCCTTCGAAGCCTTCGATTTCGCGAGCTTCTTCGTCCGGGCCCATGATTCCTTCGAAAGACGCGATGAAGATCTAAAATGAGGGTGAGAAATCGTAAACATGGACGGAGCACTTGCCTTGTTTTTGATGGCGAAAATGATCTTTTGATCGTCATGTGACCAACAGACGTTCAAAGCAGGGCCTTCCAAATTGCACCAGGTTCCTTCATTTGTCCAGGTTACGCAGCTGAAAGAACAGTTTATTGGTCATAAATTGAGCGCAGTTTTACCTAAAAATGGCGATAGAATCGCTTTCAGAAACGACCAGTTTCTCTCCCGAGTTACTAAATCCGACGAAGGCAACACAACTTGTCCAACTTGTCGCTGAACGAGTTCTTCTCGATCCGAGTCCCAGATTTAGACAAAAGTCGCGTTCTTCGAACTCAGCGCCAGAAGCGAGCTGAACGGGTCCCAAGAAAGCGAGTGGATCGGCTTCAAAACTTTGCCAAAAAGGTCGACATTTTCCGCGAAGGAAAGTTCTTCGTGACAGACGTTCGTGCTCTCGAGGAATTGGTCATCAGCGCCGCCTGGATTTCGCGTTCGACGCTAGAATTTTACAATTTATTTTCAAAAATCCCTTCTAAAAGATTACCTCAAGTTCATGAGTCAGCGGTCGAGGGAGATTCTCAACGATTTGATGAACTGGTCTTCCTTTTTCTGCGAATATTAACTTTCCTCTTGATTCGGAGTAGCATCTCTCTTCTGCTCCTGGACTCATCATTTTTCAGCCGGGCTGTTTTCATTAAGCTTCAATTCTTCTTCTCTTTTGTGAATATACATTTGATCATCTATCTGTAATCAAAAAAGGTACCATTAAAGGTCCTACGGGTTAGTTTTAAATATAAAAATTTATCAGAAAAAATTGCAGGAAATAGATTAAACTTCAGCTAAATAAACGTCGGCAAGAAAACATATTTCGCAGAAAGATTTCTCGTTTGAAAAAAGAAAGAAAAATGATAATTCATTGAGCGCAAATGACGAAACGCTTCAGCTTGTCACGATTACTCATCGATAGCGCGCGATTTTCAAATTTTGACTTCGAAAATTGCTCGAAAAGATGTTTTTTGTTTCTTGAGTGCAATTTAGAAAGAATTAAAAAAAAATATTTTTCCAAAAAAAAATGCTCGTTGGGGGGTCGTCGAGAATGTGTGACAGCTTGTGTCGATCCCTTTTTTACAAAATAATTTTGAAAAATATTGAACAATTAGGTGTAAATACCCATTAGGTGTAAATATCTATTAGGTGTGTTACACCTTCTAGAAAATTACACTAAATGGGTATTTACACCTAATGGGATTTACACCTAATGGGCCTCACCCTTCTTTTTCTTGTGATGAGGTTTCCGAAAAAAATATTGGTAAATTATTAATTTTTTATTTGACCATTTGTGAGCTGTTTTAAAACCTAAATTTCAGCATTACAAACCCCAGTAACTTTACTAGTAAACATGAGCTTTCATTTCTAATTTTGAATCATGTTCCAGTAATCTTTCATCACGAACAGAAATCGTTGTCTCGCAGCCATAATATAAATTGATCAATGAGTGGCGATCAGTATAAAACCCCAAAAAGGACCCCTAAAGTTATCTAAAAGGAACTTCCCTTAATTCATGATTGTGTATTTACATGCTCAATTAGAAACCATTTCCTAATCGTTTCTGTTTCCTGGTCTCTGCATCCCAGCCCAGTTTCTTCTCCAGCTTATCCAGGCATCCTTCCTTCGCCTCGATCGTTCCTAAATACGAGCACTGTTTGCAATCAGTCAATTAATGATTTACGGACCCTCCCTCATTTTCTGAATCTGTTTCCGCTGTTTGGGCGTTATGAAGATCCAAAAGACGATCAAAACAACCATCGCGGCGCCGAGCGATATGAGAAGCATGTGCCACGTCTTTAGAACTTCCAATTGATAGACTGAATAATATTTGGTCAAAACAGGAAGCGTGTTTTGAAGTATACTCTTGCTGCCGGTGAACAGAACCGAAAACACATTGAGCAATATCACGAAAGCGTAGAAAAATGGCAAGAGAATTAAGGCTCTCTCGGTCTTATTTTCTGAAACATTGGTTGTTCAAAGATAAGGAGGGAAGACCCTTAGTTCAGAATTAAGCCGAATTTTTAAATTTTTAGCCAGCTTGAAATGCCCCCGCTCGCCACAGAATTGAACAACCCGTGCCTCTCGAAAGGATGAGGAATTTGAGACCAACATAGAGAACCACAGCGGAAATGCCAGCCAAAATGGGCGAGATGAACCACGAAAGTACAATTTTGAAGATTGTCGTCCAAAAGATGCCTTGCCCTTTGCGCGAAACAAGGGCGAAACCTTATTGTTCACGTTTATCACAACTGTAATTATCCGCATTTCAGAAACTTGTCTCATATTTTAAACGCTTTCCTAAAACAGCTCCGACGATCGAGTGAGTTCCAGATACAGGCATTTTCAGAACAGAAGCGAGAATTTGCCAAGAAGCGGCTCCTAACATCGCGCATGCTTGTCCAATCATGAACTTTTTTGGGGCAAGAAAAACTATTTTTTGCACAGGTTTCAACCTGTGCGAACCGGGAGCTGTAAATCGTTGATGATTAGTTCATGACCCTCGTTATTTTTTTATTTGTCTACTATGATGATACAAAATTTTGAGAAGGTGGGTGTGTACTTAACCTACCTTCGTGTCATTGATTAGTAACCTTAGCATAAGATGAGTACGGTTATATAATTTGCGTAAATGGTTAAAGCTCTCTGCATAAAAATGTTGTTTGCCCATTCCTGAGGAATAGTTTCGTTGTAGAGGTCGGGGTTCACTATCTTTTTACGGATAGTGTCCGAGACAGCGCCGCCTGAATACGATTAAAGCATTTTCTCTTACTGTTACTAGCGCACCTAAAGTTAAGGCACCCAGTGACTCCATAAACGTGGCGGCGATGCATACTGTCATTGGGGTTTTGTTTAGAAGGAATCCACGCAGCCTACGAAACTCAACAAATTCAAGAGCCCTTAATTTCCGTAGCGTCTATATTTATGCCGGATAATCGGCCAACGGATATGCATAGACTCGAAATTTCCACTGCATTCCTTGGGGGAGCAAATGAATATTCCAATGACTCATTTTGTACTTTTTGGTCGACGTGCGTCAATGGGTTAAAATCAAACCAAGTCCTTGAAGAAGCGTTAAAGCACCAGATCCAACAGAAGTTCCAAACGGATTCGCCACATCATTCGCACCAACAGAGAACGCCAAGAAAAAGGCAATGATAAAGCCGAGAATCAGGACCCACATGTAGTCTGCAAACGGCGACTCTTGCAGAGAGCCAAGCGTTTCAAAGAAACCACCCGCCATATTTCAGGGCCTGAATGGAACGTGTTCAGTGCTGTTTATAGCAAAGCGGGGATTTATTTTGCTCTTCCCCAGTACGCGCAACAAATTCCTGAGCGCAGCTAATGGGAGGCTTGGATTTGTCCCGGAATGGGCCAAATCCGCCAATTTCATACTCCCTCAGGTTCCCTTTTCCTTCCTCCATCCGATTTCTGTATTAGATCATATCTCAGTACCTTCCTTGCCAGAATTGCAAAATACAAAAAATCTATAGCAAGGGGACATTAGGTAAACTTTAAAAAGAGACATTAGAAACTACAAGATTAAATTTCCCTCCCTGACTCACTTTATAAATTATAATTGACGGACCTTCTTAAAATCAAGAAATCGCTCTGAGTTCTCTATTTAATCTCGCTTATCAAAACCAATCAAATCAATCAGCGAGGTAATAAAAAGCACGATTCTGACGGACACGAGTTCTCTGACCCCTATCTGGAGAAAAGCCAAACTCACTTTTTTCTTCTTCTGAGATTCTTTTTTGAGAAAAGTGATAACAGTACTCAGTTCTTCAGAGGTATTCGTTTGAGACTCTTTTACAAACAATAAAAAAGGATTCAAACCAGCGCGGGCAGGTTTTAAAGATTCCTCGAATCTCGCATCTCGCATCAATCGGGACACACCTCATAACTCTTTACGATTTTACCGATAAATGATCGAATGATAACGAAATTCAACAAAAGAGGCTATTTTTATCTTCAATAACTTCACGTATTTTATTTTTTGAATCTAAAAAAGTTGATCATTTTTGAAGTTTTTTTCCTGAAAAAAATTCTCGTTTTTTTATTAGTTAAAAATTTAAAAGAGGTGAAACTGTTCCTTATCAACAGAAAACAAAAGAATTGAGAATATGAATATTGATTAATTGAAAATTCTCAAACGAACTTCCGCTACCGGCAATAGAAGAAATGTTAGAGAAGAAAACAATCGAGATTTAGAGTAGTAGCTTATTGTTATGTGGTAGATTTTATCTTCTTGGCAAACAAGTAAATCGGAATTGATTTAGGGAAGAGAGATCGTATCTATTCACTGAAGCGTATGTCGAAGAAAATTAGCCAATTTTTCTGTCGAGTAGATCCTCAATAATCACATTTATCTCGTTCAACGAATGTTGGCTAAACTCGCTTCTAAATTGTCAGTAACTGGAACGTCATGTTGCTCGTCTGATCCTCTTGAGCGAATTTCGCTAATCCGGTTGAGCTGATCGTGGCACATTGAACATCGTCGAAATTCAGCTTCGCCGGCTAAGCTCGGAAATCCGGGCCGATTTGAGACGCCAAAATCACCGAGCGGGGCAAGAATCCAGCCTAAAAGCACCATTGGGTCTTCCGTAATTTGAACTTGGAGAGCATGTGACTTTAGATTATCTGCAAGGATCAGACAAGGATCAGGTCGTTGGCGAACAGCTTTATTTTTTTGCAAACATCATCTTTTAATTCTGTTTGAAAAACTACGACTCTTTAGAGTTCAATTATTTCTTCAAGAAAGTTGAGCTTCTCTTTACAAAAAATCTGCGGACAATACACTTTGCCACCTTGATTTGATTAGATTTAATTGAATGAGCAACCGATTATTTGACAACAATATTCAAATTGACATTAAACTCAATTAGCATGTGGACGGAGTGGAAAAAATAAACAGCAACTGTTGGAATGAAAAATATTCGCTCGCGGAAAAACGCTGGGCGAAGCGGAAAATAGAACTTGCAATAAGCTCATCATGAACAACTCAATTAGTGGAGCTTCGGATGTTTGATGAATAATGACGTTGTCTAGCGGTAATAATTCTGCTTATCGGAAGTTTGTCCGATTTGAGAAATTAAACGTTCTATGCTTGATTTCTGCAAAATTAGAATCAAAAATCTCTTATTGGCTCTTCATTTCGAATGGTGGTGGCGCTGTTTAGAATTTTCTGCATTGTGATTGGTCGCCAGAAAGAAAATTTATCCAATCAAAATGTTGGTCAAAAATAGCGCCATTCTACCATTTCTAAGCCAATCAAAATGCTTCTTCAATCAAGTAACCTTCTTTTGAGAAGAAAATTTCGATATTTTCGCTGTTCAAAATTCGTTTTATAAGTTTCTGAGTAATCTTGTGATAAGTGAGTTGTTCCTGTCTGAAGAATGGGATGAAATGACGTTGAATGATGAAAAATTCCATTGATTTAGAACGTTATCTTGAATAATCCGCCCGCAAGAATTGCGATTGCCGGGCTGCACACAGAGATCATTCTAACCCGGGTTAATTCGTAGTAGACCAAAGATTTCTTTTTCAAAATGGAAAAGGTGTGGAAATGGGATTTCGACCGAAAGCTTTCCGAAATTTGTAATGTTGTCGAGGCCCTGTCTCGCTTTGACAGGATTAGAAAAACTCAAAGCCTATTTAGGAGCTCGAAGAACACAGCTTAAAATCGACACTCAACTCAATTTAACTCCGAATCTCTGACTTCAATTTGAATAGCAGATTCCGCGGCTGGGCTCTCTGACTAATAGCATCTTTTGATTCTCATGTGACAGATAAAATAAACCGTAAATCGACATTTCAGTCGTAAATATGCTTAATTCTCGTCAACATGTTCTTTGTTCAGGCTCTCGAGTTAAATCTCCTGTTTTGCATTTCCTACAAATTGTTTCTAAACAAAGCCGAAGATAGATTTTCACGTCTAATTAAATTTATTGCAAATCGAAACAGCCCAGTGTTCAAAACAAGGCGCTTTGTTGTAGATCAAATATTGAAACCGACAATAAGCGCTTAGATTAATCAGTTTTCAGAAAAACAACGCGCCGAATCCGAGGAACAAAGATTCGAACACGTATTTACCACAAAGCACCGGAAACAGTCGCCGGAATCTTAAATATAAAATTCAAGATTCAGCCGGAAGTCGGTGAATTTTTAGGCCTTGATTTTGCGGATTTTGGCGCTTTCTTTTTTGTTGTATTTTCAAATCTCTTCTATGTCCAATTTTGACTCGGTAAAATCTAATAAGAGTTGCTGAAATACTGTCACTGATGCTCAGTAAGCTGGCAATTCTGAAAATATGCGAAATTTATGCAAATTGGGTGGCAGAGATTCGCCCTTTTTGTTAAATGCGCACAAATTTTCTCAGCCTCGTATGTGGCGAATATTCAATGCCCGGCCCAAAATAGAAAATACAAATTGAATCGCTGTTCTTCTAATCGGTGAACTGCCAATTTCCAAAATTCTCATGCTTCTAACCACCTAAGGGAACCATCGTCAATTCGATAGATTCAATCAGCCAATAAGAAAGCCAAAAGCACGAACAGCGCCATCTTTTTTCAGTAAAAGGCGAATATTTTTAACGACATCTAAAGTCACAGTTTTTTGTGTTTCTAAGAAGTTTCGAACAAAATTAAATTGGTTTAGAAAAGCAGCATTTTAGAGAACGTAATAATTGTGCAAATCAAATTGAGCGAGTCGTCTTTAGATTCACGTTAACGCGGGTGAGCTGCAAGGGGTCTTTCTCCTATTATCGGATTCTAAATCACGGAGCGTGACAAATGGGCAAAGTGTGAAAACGATTTGGCTGCCGAGTCTAACGGGGCACCGCGAGTTCTCGCCAGTTCTCGGGCCAATATCCAAGAAAATAAATTTAGAGTCGTCGGCGCCCAGTCTAAAGAGAAAATCAAAGTCTAGGTGGAGGTCAACGTGGGTTTCGAAGAATCTTTTCCCGGGCAACTATATCGAGAACTATTTTCCCTTATTTCTTTATTTAGGGTTACAGAAGCTGATCTTGTACTTGCTAAAAACCCCCCGAAAGCACGTGAATTGCTTTATTTTCGGATCTTCTTTAGAGCGACTGATCCAAAACTTCTCGCTTTTCTAAATGGCAGTTGTGTGAATAAACCCGCGGCGCGGCTTCTTTATTTTGGTTTCTCTAATTGAGCCAAATTTTAAATTCACGTTTTTATGGTTACCGACGAAAACGAAACAGACTAGCTCGGGCGACTCAAAAATAAATCCAGGTCATAGAGAGACACGTATCTTTCTGGAAAGCTTGTTTTCTCGAGACTTTAGAAATCATACAGTGAGTCAGAAAGATCCAGTTTTATACTTTTCTTACAACATGTTTTTCTCATAAGGGCTTATGTCAATAAAGCTTAAGAAAAGTACCCTTTGTTATTGACGACTTAAAGTCGGCATGCTTGACAGAATTCGTTCAAGGTACGAGTTCCATAGCATGACGAAAGAGTGCCATTTCTTAGGCCTGGTTTCTTCCACCAAGTTTACGGTTAGAACTTGCTCTCCCCTGGCCGCGTTAATCCTGTCTCACGCGCAAAAGGGTGAGACAAAGAAAAAGGGCTCAAGTGGCGGGGAGCCGCAGCGGAAAAAGCATTTCCTTTTATGCCTTCTAGTCCAGGTAACTATTGAATCCTGCATCTGACGGGTAAAAAAGAAAATGCTGGACCATTAATCCCGTTTTGGAGACACGTTTAAATTCCGTTCACAGAATTCAATTCTAGAGTAAACAGCTTAGGCACTGGACGCATAAAATGCCAAGCCGCGTTTTTCCAAGCAATTTCTATTCTAAACCTGTCACTTTCGTGTGACCTTTGAGGTGTGCTACCAATTACTACTGAGCCGCTATTACTGTACTGAGCTGTGCTAAAGGGTAGAGGCTAATTCTGTGGTCCTACTGACGAAATTTCAAAGAATGGCATTCAGTAAAGTGGGTAACTGTAAATAGAGATGAAAACAGTCGTAAACTGATGACTGCACGACTTGTAAGAATAATTCAAATATTAGGCTTAACAGGGTAGACATCCTTAACTCAATTCTTCACAGTGTTAAAATAGTGGCCACGAAAATCAATAAAATATCTACGAAAAAAGCTCAAAATCAAATCTTTTTAAGAAAAAAAATTGAAATCTCGCAGCTTTGTCCGGTATTGAGTCACGTTTGTGATGGTGAAGCCGTGTGGCCAAATCGGCTCTGGGCGAATCTAGTTTGGATCCAGCTTGAAAATAACTGGCACAGGCGACCGAATCTGTTTACTGAGAGTGATTTAACTCTGCAGCTGCTTCAAGAATTAACTCACTGGCCACAACGGAAGACCACTGTTGGCGGCGGTGCGACCCAGCCCAGGCTTTACGCGCCACCTGAGCCAGTCAGCTTGTGCGCCAGAGGTTTTCCAGTAGCTTTTAAAGGTGACATCAGATTACGCATCTCAAGCGGCAAAATAAGGGATCAACCCGGCTTAAATCGTGGATATTTGCATTTTGGCAGGGTTGACTCCTTCCGGCGTAAATATTTGAGCCTTGCTAAATCACTGTATTTTTAAGCAGAGTTTTTGCTTCTCATAATTATCTCATCTACTAAGGGTATTTCTATCAAAACTTCAGGAGAACCTGTTTGTCGGAAAATTATTATTTCCATTAGCGTAAATTTTCCTGTCTACTTATCAGACTCGCCAAGCTGCAAAAGTCGTTGCTGTAATCCTGGTTCATCCCTTATTTTGCCGTTCGAGATCGAATCTAATTGAGCAGATGAAGTTGAGCAACGGATTTTGCTCGGACACGTCTTGGCCATCCATCTTACTGTATATTATTCAGTCCAAGTTTGGTTTTTCGTGTCGACTTCCTGATCAGCTTCCGGCTCCAGCGCTTAATTACCAGTCCACCTCGAGGTCTGACCTCTACGCCACCGCTTTGCATAACTTTTCGAGGCGGAAATCTAAAAATCTGGTAATCAGATTGAATCAGATTTCATTCTAAAATAAAAACAGCCTCGATTTTGAGCCAGTTTACGATGATTTATTTTTGCGAAATGCTTCTTTCAACCCAAAATGAAAAACTCGAGGCCGCAGCATCTGGATGATTTATTTTTGGAGCGTCTCTATCTCATCTTTTAAAATGGCTTTTGTTAAACACGTTTTTAGTTGAGCAAGTTTACAAATCTTCCGCAGCTTTTTTGGACCTTATCATGTTCCAGCTGCAGCTTTCCTTGTCATTTTTCGCTGAAATAGGGTCTTTCGAATTCGATAATAAATGAACATGGAGTGAATTTTAATACTACTATCGCTCCCACTGTCAGTTGATAAGGCGCAAGCTCATTCTTGATAACCGAAAACGTGGCGCCCGGATGTCCAGCTGTCACTAGTTTTTGGAGCATTCAGTCACGTGACAGTTTTTACAATGAGCATGATGTTCAGAATCGAGCTCTTTTGTGATTTCACATTTATCAAATCTTGAATCAGCAGATATTTTGGGAGTCGACTCCTGAGTGGCCGGTTCGAAAAGTGAAAAAAACAAACGCCGATCAAGTTTTTACATTATTATTTTCGGTGGTTTAGAGTTTTGATTCGTTTTTGATAATGAAGGACATAGATAAGCAAATCTATGTGAGCAAAAAATATGTAACTTCATCTGGTCTGATTGGAAAATGCTTCTCTTGTGGAGGGTAAGTGTTTTTACTATTTATGATATCAAAGAGATTAAAGAGCTCCAAAATCAACCGCTGCTATAAATGGTCATCGATACTGTAAGAAGTGTGTAATCAAAAAGTTTCCTACACAGAAGGATCCAAAATATGATGAAACAGATGCAAAGTTTAAATGCTATGCGAGTAACATTGATAGAGGTTGTGGCGCGGAAGAACTTACTTATCGTGAGTTTTATGTTGGTTCATGCTGTGAAAATGCTGCTAATTCGACAAGACCTAAAAGTGAGGAAAAAATATTTTCTCCTCAGACAGAAATATGACTAAATAATTTATTTTAGTGAGATATGAGCGCGCAGCTGTGGTCAATGAGATATATGAAGAGACCCGAAAAGAAGAAGGCCTTGCAGAAGAGAGAAACACGAATGCAGCGAAAAAAGTTGAGGAGGCTGAGAAAGCACTTGAAGAAGCAAAGTTGGAAAAAGAAAATGCTTATGAGGAACTGCAAAAGATAAAAGAATGGCGTAGAAAAGTTCAAAAGCGATCCTTAGTTCTGACAAAAAATGCAATGAAAGAGGATAATAATCTTGAAGGTACGTTCAGTCTTCTGGCCCTTTTTAGAAAAGAATAAATAAGATTCAACAGACGAGTCAGACAAGAATCTTGTCAAGGATGAGCCAGATGACAAACTTAAATGCAAAGTCTGCTTCGAAATTTTCTGCGACGAGCATCCCGAAGCTCTTGTCATCCCATGTGGTCACCGAGCTTGTTTCAACTGCCTTTCGTCTCTTCCCCAGAAGACATGCCCAAGTTGCCGCGCCGAATTCACTGAAGACAAGATTTTCAAAATTTATTAGCTGCACTCTCCTTAGAAACACTAGTCCTGGCTCCGATTCTGTATCGTCGAGCAAAAGATATAAAAATGAAAAGAAAACTGTTTTGTATATTTGTACAAGCTTCAGGTAAAAATGTACTTTTCGAAAAGCAAGTCAGGGTAAAACAGGACACTGTTGTGACAATAATGTCATGAAAAACTTCTCGAAAACCTAATTTCTTTCTCGGGAAGGGTTTGAATCGTGTTAATTTCGCAAAAGCAGCTAGTCATTGTTGATTGTCAAATCGGCGAGAAAGGTCGATGGGTTAATTAAATTTGCTGCTTCCGCTACGTTTGCCGCCGCGTTTACCCCCAACAGTTCTCACACCGTTCTATTGTTTGACAGAAAGCGCATGACAAAATATATCAGAGAAGCCAAAATATATATAAAACGCGTTTAGCAGAAACGTGCACGCGGCGAAAAAAGCAGGCGAATCAGCCCTTCCGTGTCAGGCTTGCCCCGGATCCAGCCTCATCCGGAACAAATTTTCAAAAATTTTTAAACGAAAAGGAGTCACTTATACTGTATTAAAGCCGCACATCAGTTGGATTTTTCAATTCAAAGGCTCGAGAATCGCTAATTTTTGTACAAAAAGGCGATTTCTAAAAGCTCGTTTGTACAGTAGCTGGCGCGAGGGCAAATCAGTAGTCCAATCTTAGTCGTTCGTATTTTCATTTTGCTTATCTTCTTGTATTTTCTTGAGTCTTCCAACATCTAATCGTTCGGTCCCTCTTCGGCTTATCAATTTCTCCAACTCTTCGCTATCTCCCAGCTGGGGAAGCGTTTTAGCATGTCGTAACATCTTGTCCAACAACCGAAAAATACTAAACCCAGAGACAAAAACACAAAAACAGTTAAAGCTTCCCCCTTCCTGCATTTTATCCCTGTTCCATACAACCCGTTCAGAATTAGCCTTGAGTCACAAAATCTTCCCCGGAATCGCGGCTAACAACCGCATCCGGGCAAAAATACTCGTCGGAGCCTCAAAACACATTTACAATTGAACTCCAAAGAAGCTTTTTATTAAATTTGGAAATCTTGATAAAATCTGGATTTTTCTTATTTTTGCAGCTTCTCTTAAATTATATGCCTGCTGCTAGTACAGTTGTGAATTTCTCAGCGAGGTAGATAGATTTGATTTACTAATTCAATCTGTTTTTATGCTCGCTAAAAATCTGGTGGAACCTCTCTCTGGGAAAATATTTGTAAAGCAAATTTCAAGTTCCACGGAAAGAAATTTAGCTTACTTATAAATTTTACAGTTATGGCGGGCAAAACTATGGGGGTAGACAATCCAGGATTGCCACAGTAACTCGCGTTTTTTCTGGCCAAAACCTAGAATATTGATTCGACAACTACAGTTTCAAATGATTGGAAAACCCTCTGCGCGAGGTGAAATCCGTCCGGGTATTGCGTTTCTTTGCATAACTTATCCTTCACTTGCTCGAATTGAATATTTTTATATTTTGGATGTAGTCGCGTGCGCTCAAGCTTTGTTTTCAAGGGACCACGTCCAACCACGCCGAAGGATAATCCAGATCAAAGCGACCTTTTTATTTCTTTAAACTGGTAGACTCAGCACGAACGGCCCGAAGGATCAGATCATCATGCCATCATCAAAGCAAATAATCTCTTCTGGAAAGAAAAATAGAAAGAAGAAGCGTTCAAAAGGTCCTTTAAAATAATAGAAGCCCTCTTTCTTCTCTTACAGGACTTATAGAATTCTAGCAAATCTTAGAATTTTCCTCGAAATTCCAGTTTTTGAACTTCAAATTTGATATATTTTTGAAGAAATTTATTGAGCCTTTGCACCAATACTCGAAAAAAGACACATTTTTAAAGAAGCTAATGATAGTCTTTTCGAAAATTCTTATTTACAGATTTTTTCGAATGTTTTCTAAAGCGTCAAAAAATCATTCTAAGGTAGGGTACACGCCACTTAAAATAACAGGCCTAGGCGAGGAGCGAAAACAACAATTTGATCGTTTTGTAAGAGCGATAAGCGCCGGGAAGTGTAGTCTAAACCTTGAGTGCAGCAGCGGAAGAGCAGGAGAACCCTTATCGCCTAAATCGTAAGTGACGGGCGTTCTACTAACGTTCAAATTACTGTAAGCTTAATCCATGTTAGGTAATGCGATTAAAAAAATAAGAAAATAAACATGGTCTAAAAATTGTGCTTTTTTAAACAAAATGGGCTATTTAAAATTTATTGCGGATGATTCTTTTAATAAATCGACATTGAAAAGATGAGCTGTGATCATAATTTGCTCCAGAAAGTCAGTGTCGTTTGCGGATAATTTTCTAAACATTTGCCGAGGCGTGGCGTTTGGCGAAAATTCATTTCGGCGGTGCTTTTCGCTGGCTCGATACCATTAGTAAAAGCACAAGGGCAATTTTCACATCAGAGCGAAGTGTCACACGCGCCTGCTGACATAATTCAAGCCTGGGAGACATCGGCCGCGCGTAAAAGAGCGGGATCAGCTGCAGAAGGAAAATAAGCGGACATTTTCTATTTTTTAGAAGACAGGCCGCATTGCTGAATTTCATCCGCCTGCGCCGGGGGAATCTGACAATTACGTACAGGGGGTATACTTTCGCATTCTATCCAAGCCAGAAAGTGATCAACAAAGGGGCAATTATACGATCGTATTCAAAAAGAAATCTCATCTTCGAAAATTTTGGTCACGTGGTACTGTCATTTCGATCAGGGCTCGGTTTCCTGTGAAGAAAATCTGAGTCAGGGTTTGAAAGATCTTTGCTGAAAATCCTAGTGGCGGCTCATTTGAAGAAACAGTATTTTAAAATAGATTGAAAAGCTAATTTTAGGAAGCCGATTCGCGGCTTTGTTTTGAAAAAGCCGCGCTAATAAGAGAGCGCAAAAATTAAAGCCCAAGAACTAGAATAAGCATTCGCCGTCTGGTACTTAGAATTTCATGTCTTTTGAGGTTGTATTTTGTCGCTTTAGCGGATTTGTTTCAAATTCTATCATAGCGGAGAAGCTGGCACGTTAGGTGGAAATCTAATTCATCGTGGTGGGGCTCAATTAAACAAAGACTGCTCCAACGTTAAAACGGTGTCGCATCCAAAATGTCAAATTCACAACTCCAAACCCACCAATTCGTCATTTCAGCGGAAGCGAAATGCTTCAAATAAATTCTCATCCCTCTTGACCTTTCGTTTTTATTGACTATGAAAATAAGGAATTAATATCTTCAGTAAAAAACTGTAGTTACTAAGTGACAATAAACAAAGACGCAAAACGATTTATAAGTTATAAATTATAACTAAATCTTTCGATTTCGAAAGACAACTGGATGACTGTTTTTTGTTGTTAAGGGCGTGTCTTCGAATTAAATTTATGATTCCTGATAAGCCATTGGTAATAATTCTTATATGCAAAATAATTTCAAATTACTCAATACTTAAAAATTGATGAAATTAAGAGGTTTTGTTTGATATAAGAGAGATCCTTTTGTTTTTAATACCGAATCGACAATACGTGTTTGGCTAATTGATATATTTAGGGAACATCATACGCTTTTCCAGTGCCAAGGGAATACTCCTGTTTGTTTCATACCATTGGTTTCACCGTACTATTAATTATCATGTTGGACTTTGTCATCAGTAATTTGAAACAACTCGATTATTCAGGCAATTCAGTAAGATCAATTTATTTGACGCCTTTTGATGACAGAAATTCGAACTGGTTTATGATCGTCGTTTTTGTTCATATTCATTTTTTCTACAGTTTCATCGATTTTCAGCTCTCCGTGTTCGTTTTTGTTTTTTTCGGTGTTTTCGCGTTTCGAATTTTCTGGGTCTTCTGGGGTGGTTGGAGGGGTCAGTAGATTCACTATGTTTTCTTGGTGCTGATTTTCGACCTCGCGCTTTCTGGCGAGTCGCATTTGCATGTACTGCATCATGTGCGTTTCTTCGAAATGCTCTTCAAAGCGGCTGAATGAGTTTTAGGGGCTTTTACAAGAATCTTGGCCGAATCCCAACTCTAACCCTTATCCTAACCGTAACCCTAGAAGAAAACTGTATTTGTACCTTATGTACTTGTAGCACCGGTCGCACATTGTGCACCTGTAGGGCCTGGAAGAGTCCCTGTTGTAGAAAAAATCTACCATCGACTCTCAAATTGTCAATTCCTAAATGTGTGTGTTCGCAAGAATCCTCAGCTCGATTTTATACCAGCTGGTTATGTAAGCTCACGTAACCTAAATTAATCTAATCCTGTGCTCAAGATATGCTCCATAAGAGCGATCTGCTCTTATGTAAGGTGAGGTAAGCTTTTTGCTTCCATACTCAAATTAAATACGTTTTTGAATAGATACGATTCTTTATGATAATTTATTCAGTCTACATATACAAAGAGCTAGCAGTTTTTTTGTACAGATTTTAGCTCGTGATTTTACAATTTACAAATGCGACAATGATAATAGATTGAATACAGAATACATGACGACAATAAATACACAAGATGATGAATATGATAAGGGCGTAGCGCTACTTTTTGAAAAACGAGTTATAGAAAACCCATTTTGGCTTAGATAAATGGAATAGGTTTGGTTTGAAGGGGTCCTTTGGGGATGATCGAGTTCGATTCTTCCAACGGAGATGGAGACGTGAATAGGCCGGTTGCGGGTTAATAAGAGTTTAAGACGATCACCGGTGATTTTGGAAACGCTGGTGGAGACGATGGAAGTGCCAAGAGTGTTCATCAATGTTGGCGACCTGAATTTTTTGATGATTTTCAGAGAAGTTTTGGATTTTATTTAACCTGTTAGAGGATGAGTCAATGATGATCGCCCCCGCTGCTCCGAGTTTTGTTGCAAGTCGAATCTTTTCCTGAAAAGTGCATCCGCCACGGTAGAGCAGCGCAATCCACTGGCCTCTTCTGACTCTTCGGCGGTTGGCTTTCGGTCGCCACTTAGTCAATTTGTATGCACCGGGACTGGCGCAACCCCGGCCCAAAACTGAATTGTATCGCCGGGAGGACTCGATATCAGGGATAGGCACTAGATATCCTGAAAAAAACGAGTTTACTGGCTAGAATTAGACGATTAATGTACCGGAAGATCGCTTTTTCTCCGAAGTAGAGCCGTATTTGCCCGTAAAATAGCCGAGTAAGTAATTTTGCTTTGCGTCTGTCACCAAAATCCTCGACTCAACCCATTGAGGATCCAATTTCGCCCAGAGTCGATCTTCTGAAAAGTCTCTCAGTCCAAACACGGCCGAGAGCTGAAGCAAGGTCGAAAAAATCGAAATCTTCATCTTCTGATTCTTTTCGAAAATCGAACAAAACGGAAGTCGGAAAAAATGGATCTTAGAAGGGGGCGCTTCAGCAGATGGCGATTTCAGGCGGCGGTGGTTGTTTGATCTTCCAAACGCACAGATTTTTTGAAGTACTCTTTGAGCAGCTCTTGGGGTCAAAAGAGGATCGTCACGGTGGATTTCGGTTATTGCAGTTTTGTATACTCGAGATCTGAAGGAAATTCTCAGAAGTGGAAAATTATAGAGTGATTTTATGAGTTTCATTTTCATCCCATGAAATTCTAAGATTACTAGATGACCATTAATTCTTACTGGATGAAGTTATCTTTATCTCCGAAATTCAAAGCTAGGGGATTATGAAAAACTCCGATTTTGATATTCGATTTCTTAAAAAAGCTTTTGTAATTTTAATTAAAATCAGTTGAAATAACGACTTTCCGGGAGAATTCGCCCGTTAAAATGAGACATACTTTTTTTTAACTTTTTATCATACTTCTGATTTATCAATCGACTATTTTCTTAGTAAAAAATATTGTATTTTTGATTGCTCTTACCAAATATTTGCCCGTCAATCGTCTCTTCAAAATCAGAAGCTGAGTGACTGTACTTTCAAATTCGATCGGTTTCTGATTTTATAGCTTTCTCTTGGGCGAGTTTTTGCGCCCTCTGATTTTCGCTCGATCGTTACGGCTTGTAACAGGTGTTTTTGGGAAGAAGGCGATTTCCTGAAATTCGCACGCTAATCGACAATTTTGATCGACTTAGCGCTGATCGTAAAACTCAATTTCCCCTTATCAGCCGTTTTCTTGTTAAAAATCGTGAAGCAGTAGTTTCCAAATCTTTTAATTTTTCAAACTTCAATTTTCAGCTCGTTTATTTTCTCCTGAAATTTCAACACCGTGCTTTATAAAGTGGATTTGGATTTGTTCGCCCTTCAAATTTCGCAGTGCTCGGCGGGTGATGAAATTTAGCGCTGAGCATGAATTATGAGAAGTTATTTCTCCCGGAGAGATGCATGGAATTCGACAAATACTAAGTGCGGCTAAGCCACGCGGCAGGGGGTTAAATCAACACTTTCATTCTTAGTCAGGGTCTTAGAGTGAGAGTTTTTCCGTGGACCTGTGGATATTTGATGATTTTACGGTAATGCGCATAATTTAATCATAACATTCATAACAAAAGTTATTTCATTGACAGACCCTCAGAGGCTTCATTGAGGAAGTATACAATTATCCTGAGGATCATCCTCAGGATACCCTCCAGAAATGAATCCTGAGGACAATCCTCAGGATACCTTTTAAAAGCGTATCCTGAGGATCGACCCTAGGATACCTATCAAAGATGATTTCTGAGGAAAAGATTTGCGCGGTTCTAAGTCAAGGAGCGTGTGTGCGCTCCGCGCCTGTCTTGTAGTTAACTCTGGGACTGAATCTGTCAGTTTTTTCTTATCCTCAGGACTAATTTTATCGAAGAAATTTTATGATCTGATACCCAGGATTCGTTTCTAGAGTGTATCCTGTGTCTTATCCTCAGGATAGGTTTATGAAAGGTATCCTGAGGACAATCCTCAGGATTCACTTCTAGAGGGTATCCTGAGGATGATCCTCAGGATAATTGTAACCTTCCTTCATTGAGTCTATTAATTAAGAGTCTACAGTAGGGTCGGACGCAGAAAAAAAAAATTTTAAAACCGTTTTTTCTCATCAGTACCGAATTCAGCATGGACCATGCTGCATGGTAAAAAACCCCCACCCACAAAAATTTAGCACAATTGGTATTGAATGTGGGATACGAGAGGCTTAAAGCCCTAAAAATGGCTATTTTGGAGTTAAAAACCTTTAAAAAAATCGAATTCGGTATATAAGAAACGCCGCTTTTACGCCTTCTAATTTGAAAATAACATATTTTTTTAAATACCTTTATTAAAACCGCCTTATCTTAATAAATCAAAGATGTGCAATCTCAATAATTGGTATTAATATAAAACATACACTTGACTTTCATCCTCAATTGAAATTTTGTGCAAAGCTGTTGGAAATAGACTCTACAGTGTTCGTCGTTTGTCTTCTTTGCCTTTGTTATCAACTGCCCTCTGTATATTCAGATTTTGACTTTTCCAAACAATAAGATCCTAAAAACAAGAACGAGACTGCAGAAAATTTTGAAGACTTACCCTACGTTGAAGAGCCTTTTCGACGCTTTCTTCAGATTTGAAAATGATTGAACAGTTTCGTTTGTTGACGGAATCTCTTTTGATTTGCTGGACTTCGCCAAATTCCTCAAATACTCTTTTTATATCTTCTTTTTTCATATCTTGAGGGAGGGGTCCAACAAATATTTCGGTTTTGATTATTTCTTGCTGAGAAATCAAACGTAATTCTTTACTATGGTTCTTTAGCTGTTGATTTTCGACTCCAAGTTTTTCCAATTCGCCTTCAAAATACCGGTCGTTCTGACGCAAAGTGTCGGCCTCGTTCTTCAAATTTGCATTTTCATTCGTCAAATTTTTGACTTGTTCTTCGAGCTCTTTGATTTTTGATATCATTGTAAAACGGTCTTTATTAATTTCGTGAATAGCGGCCCAAACCGGATCTAATGTTTGTTTGATCATTCTCCCGACGTCATCGTCCGAAAGTCCAGAGGAATTGCTCTGATTATCTTGAAACTCTGATGGAGTTCTGATGGAGTCAAGCTCACTACAGTCAACTGTCGACGCTTTATCTGGTGCATTTGACATTTTTCTCTTGCACGAGACTTTTTTAACGAATCAAGTGCAGAATCACTTTATTTGATCAGAAACGTGACTCCAAATGCACACAACCGATTACTGTTAGACTAAACTTCGTAAAACCACAATTACGGTCTAATAGTCTGCTTTGAACCGATGTAAACTTCGCAACAATATTATGACAAGCTTTCCTTTGTTTTCGAAAAGGGAGTCTTGCAAATGTGTTTTGAGATTTTAAATTGGCTTATTTTGGCATCTCGCGGATACTGCCTGCTTACAATGTTTTCAGGCGATAAAAGAACTATATATTTTACGTCAAATACGGGAGATAAAAAACTGATACATGTTGATGATAAATATTCAATTACGAACGTGAAGTCACATCGGCTATTCCTTATTGCCCCTTGGAATCATACTTTACTTAGATTCTTCGGTACCAAGTAATGAAAAGCGTCATTCTTACCTGGGTTTATTATTATTGAAATTTTAAATTCCGAAAGAAAGGGCGCATAATAAAGGGAAAAAGTTGTAGTACCGCGATTCTGTGGTGTTTACGTCGTTTTTTACTCGAAACTGCAATGAGTCAAAAAAAAAGCAAAACTTCGTCATTTAGTAATGAGAATCGCGGTGCTACAGGTTGGAAAAGAACAGTTCTGAAATCGAATCTGTAAAATCAGCCTTATAATGTCCTCACTCTTGAGATTTCTGTCACGTGGTTACGAGGCTGTACTGCTTGAAACTCGACGCTTTGAAACAATTCTTTTCTCACATTGCGCGATTTTTCTAAAGCGCCCCTCAAAAATGCACTTGAGATGCGAGAATTACGTTTAATATTCGCTTTTTGAGGATGACGCAAGTGTCTGTAAATGCTTAAAAACTTCGCTTACGAAACAGATTGCTTCAGAAGAAGTAGGCACCAACATTGCTTGAGTAGCCTCGTAAAACGCTCGTGTCATTTAAGGCGCGGATACTCTGATAAGAAGAATGTTAACACCTGTAAGAAATGCGCTCGATGCCAGTTTTTAGAATGCGTTCAATCACACCGCAGATTTCGAAATTTTCCCTGTACTCATCGCTCATCCATTTCAAATTAGTCTTAGCTCGGCAACCTGTGTCCAGTCAGGGGCTCGGATCCAGGGTCCGAAAGATCTCGGGTCTGACGAGGGTCCAAAACCACATAGCGGCTCTTTTAAAAAACGAAGCCGCTAAAAATAAGCATTCAAAGACCATCCCTCATGTATGGTTTCCAAGATTGCCTAGCAAAGATACTACAGTAGAAATTGATTTTGATCTACAACAGGGTCAATTTAGTAGGGCATATTTTGTCAGGAACAATGAATTTTTAACGCGTATATTTCGGTAAAGGCAGATTACAATTTTTAATAGTGAAGCAGTTCACGCTGATTGAATGCATTTTTGACACGTTCTTGTTTTCTTTGTGGCAGCTCAGCTCACACAGATTCGCTGTCGGGTCAGCGCCGAGTACTTTGAATTCTAGCGCTTCTACTTTTTTAATTTGGAGACTCTAAAAATGAAATTAAAAGGACTCTAACGGGCGAATGTGTTCGAGTGTCATTTCCTAAATTCACGAATGAGGGATCTGGATTCACGATCCCAAGTCGCCGCTCCCACGTGTGACACTGTAGTTGAAATAGAATCGTCGCCGCGGCTAAGTCGCCACTCGAGCCATTCTCACAAACAACAAAAATCATTTTTACACACTCGCCAAATATACGCCTATATTCGAAAACGTGGCGAAAATTCGGACGTCCATTTTCGCGCACATACTTTTTTGCTGACTTAAACATTCTAAAAACGTTTCTTCTGCTGACGGCTTGCTTTTTCCTTGAATAATTTTTATGCCTTCAAAAATGGTTACTTCAGCGGTATTCTTCTAAACCTCGTCGATTTTGTAATCTTTGAGTAGAATGTTCACTCTCATGCTTTCAAATACAGGCAGCGTTTGTAATCTTTATACTTTCCAATATGGCTTCGGTTCACGTTTAGAACGCTCCCACGTGGTCCTTCTCTCTCTTTTTTATTAAACTCAGAGTCGGAACATGAAAATCTTTCCAAAATCGCGCGCTAAAGAAAATTACAAAATCAAGACGGCTGGGCTCCAGTAAGATCGCGTTTCTATATGAAAAATAAAATTCAGAAACAATTCAAATACAGTTGACAGAGATACAGTTAAGAATGGTCACATGAAATCGGTAGTAGATAGACTCGGCTTTTGTCGACTTTAGATCAAATCTGAAGGAAACAACTTTCGCTTCTGACGTTTTTCTGCTTCCAATTTTGGCCTCTTGAATTCCAGTCACTGAATTAATCGCAAAGCAATCAGCAATAAACTCCCGTTTCTCGCCTAAGATAAGATTGTTTTCGCTGAACATACTTTAACAAATTGTGAAGCTTACTACCTTTCGTCTGAACTGCCAAACTCAGCTCAGCAAAGTGTCCATCAACACGATCATAATTATATCGAATCGATGAGCACTCGTGTTTTAGACTGAATTTAGCGCCTGTCGCTTTTAATGAAAACTTTGTCAATCCACTTTCTAGCGCAAGAAGAAGCAGCGTTTGGGCGCTCTTGTTTGTTGATATCGACTTTTTGCCCCCAAATGTCGACCATTCGTCCTTTTCTGCGAAATGTCCTATCGCACTAAAGAACTTTTTAAAATGTTGACATCCCCATAATTAACCCAAATTTAGCCAAATAATCGTATTGACTCTTCTTCAGGCCATGCATAAAAATTTCCTCCTCGATTTTCTCTTCTTCCTTGAACTTCTCACTAAGTATTTCAACCTTCTTCTGAATATCCTGAAGCAATGTTGAAATTCTCGAAATTTCTTGTTTCTGTTCTTCGAATTTATCGATCATCATCTTTTCCAGTTTTTTGGACTCTGCAAAACATTCTCCAGGTAAAAAATCAGGGCTTATTCTTCGACTCATTTTCGAAAATCAAAAGGTAGAGTCAAATCATTCTGAGAGATTCGACTTTTTCTATTTGCCGTAACCATAAAGTCAAATATAAATCGCTTGTAAAACTATTGATAAGGCGCGCTTCCAAATTCAGAAATATTTGATCTTCCAATTTTTATCTACTTTTAGCAAAAAGATGAGCACTAGAATGATGCTTTGAAAATAAGCGGCAATTGCGGTATAACTTGATTGAACATGTTCTCTTTCAATTTAGAGAAAAAACAATGAACAAAAAGTTCTTTCGCAGAAAATCATATTATAGAGAATAATCGTCTTTGCTAATTGAAATTGACTAGATCTGTTAGCGAATCGCATAGAAAGCAAAACAGGCATTCAAATGATTTTGAGCACATGCCGCTAGAAATCTTCTATGCCAGTAATTAGCAAGAAAATAACGGAAGGTTGCAAAGCATTTTGTGGCAACATTCAAGGAGATACCTAGCATACTAAAAGATAACTGAAACTTTTAGACTGAATCCTCTAAAGAGAATGTTTTTCTCTGACGATCAAAAGGCCAGTTTTTCCTTAGTTTTGAAAATACGGAAATAGAAGTACCAAGACTGGAGAGACGATTAGGTAATCAGATGACGATGGGACCGGAAATCTTTCCGGCCACAAGTCAGCAGCTTTTTTTGGAGCAAAAAGAAGGCAGAACTAATTCTAGACCCGGATGGAAACGCGAGGATTAACGTTCATGAAGGTCTGTAGCTCTGAAACAGTAACCTCGCCAATAGCAAGAAATTGTCTCTTGGTGAACTCGACTTTAACTGAGTACATACGTCTAACAGAATCGCAGCTCCTTCCGGAATTAGAATTCAACGTATTCAATTTCATTTTTCTCAAATATATTTTCTTGTTTTACAATATTTTTGTAATGTCGCCTAAATCCCCGCTTTTTTCCCGTTCTTGTTTGATCAAAATGTTTGAAGTACATGCTACTTACGAATGAAAAAACTCACGGATTCGAACTAATAATTTTATCGAACTGGCTAACTTTCAATACATGTATTTTCGAGTTTTATGTAAGGAATAAGAATTACTTGGTTTTATATAAGCGAAAACGTCAAAGGTAAAATTGAGTTAGAGATATTTTCCAAGGATTATGTAAATGATTGTAAGAAGCGACGGATAATTACTAATTTCATGGAAATTATCGCCGCTTGAATTGATCGCTAGTGAAATGTCGGAATGTAGACAAAGAAGGTTGATGATTGTATCAATTGAAAACATAGAAAATGAAGAAGCTAAAAGATCATTTCATCAATCAGGCAGATAAGTCCGGATTCGGGGGAAATGAAACGTGGATGGAGCTCGGAATAAGCCGCCTTAATGACATCAGCTGTGTGGTCTGCCGATCGGCCGCAGACTGAGCCAAAGAATCGACAAATGATAAAAAAAGATTTAACGAAAGCCGAATTTTAATCTAAAGCTGGACACGTTCTTCAGAGGTCACGCAGATCAGCTTATCTTCTATGCTCCTAGATGAAATAGGGGTTCCTATTTTATTATGACCCATGATCACAAAAAGCATTAAAATGAAGAAATTTCGCCGAGAAAAATGTATCTTTTCTTTTAAAACTCGACTTCCAGTTAGACGAAAAAATCATTCTTGAAATAAAAACCAAAACCGACCTCGTTAAAAAAGGAGCAAGAAAAAAGCTCAAGCGATTTAAATTGGGTTTGTCTGCGAATTGAAGTCTTGACAGATTTTGGAATTGGCCGCGTTACGCAGGAAATTCTAATTAAGCCAGATGACGAGCCTCGCATTTAGGCAATTGATCATTCTTTAAATTGAGAAACCGGAGTTGTAAAATTGTAAAATTGTTTTGCAAAATTGTGATTAACTTACGGCATCGGTATAAATTTATCTGTGTCGGAAATGAATATTAGAAGCGCTGCTCCAATCGGTTGATTTCACGTGATTCTAGAGTCGGCTCATTAGGCGTCGGCGATTACGTAAAGCCACTTCCGTTTTTGAATTCTTGGCCAGTGCCGGCATAGAAGGAAATTCAACGAAACACCTAATGACCTTCGCAGTCCAAAGTTCCCAGAAGCCGCTACAGTAAATTACTGCATTCAATTGGGTCAGTTTTGAAGGAAACGCGGGCCGAGTGTTGATGGATGTTGATACACGGCTAGAAGCACTTGGAACGAGGGGATTAGGATGCGCCCCGAACTTTTGATAAAGGCTTAATTTGTTGGTGCTTCTTTGAACAAGTTATTTTCAAAATACAGTAAGTTTTTGGTTCAAATTTGGAAATTGGAACGCTCTTTTTTATCAACTTTAACCTGCTATTGCTGAAAAATCATCATTTTCTTAGTTATATTAAGAGTCTTATTGATCGGCTTATTTTAGAGAATTTCGAAGAGGGGCTGTTTTTCTTATCCGTATTTTCAATAATTGGCTTAGCAACTTATCTTCACTTGGTTCAAGGCGGATAAGAAATGTCTCCAATTCGAGAAAAAAATGAAGATTACTCTTCTGAATGTTATTCTAAGGAACAAAATAGTTTACGCTTAGCCATTGTGTTATGTGAGCGCTTTTCAGGCTAATCGCTTGTTCGCTAAATACACTCTTACGCGATAATACAAAAACTTTACATTGAAGTCTCAGCCCGTCTTGAGCACTGATATGCACAAGAGATAGATATCACACAAGCACCCGCCGCCAAAAGAATACAACGGCGACTTTAGAGCTCTTGAGGCGCCGAATTGTGTGATAAGCTCCGGCCAAGCCACTTTTTTCGCCAGCAATTTTCGTTTAAATGGTTCCATAATTACCTTTGAATGCCTCCAATAAAAGTGGTAGAGCAAAAAAGACTTGAAACTTGTAAACGATTCGATTGTGAAGTCTTAAGAGGGTCGGCTCAAAATCCGGGATTCTCGATGTGGCCCCCTTAAGAGGTTCCTTTCGCATTTTAGAAAGAAAGTATGAAGGACCTTTCTATTAAAATCCGCCCTTGATTGAGCCTAAAATTGACCGCCCGTAGACCAAGTGGCTTGCTCTCTTGCCACTTACTCAATTCACCCGTACATCTCCTTATTCAAACTTTGTCTGGCTCCGCCGGTACGTGCCACTATTTCCTTAAAAAACACTGTGGCTAAAGTACAGCAACTCTTATCAAGGCGCTTCCAGTTCGGTCTTCGCAGTCTTGGATTTTATCACTTCCAGAGACAATCGACAGCTTCCTCGGGGGTCACGGGATAACACTTGCAATCGGCTTGAACTTTTTTCCACCCTTATCAATCTTTGATTAGAACATTGTTACTCTAGAAATCGTTAAGAGCCACTCTTAGAAGGGAACGAAAAAAGAACACGGAAAATGAGATTCGAAGGACTGTATTAAGGTCATCCCTAAAGCTAAAAAGGGTAATGATTAAGGCAGTAAAAGAGGAAACGCCGACGCCCTTAACGGATCCATTGGTGGCTCATGCAAAGATTCCAGCATCGATAAGCCCCTCCCCGTGGGTAAACCAGGCCACGTGATAAGAAAAATAGAGATTTGGATTTTCGAATGTTTTCTGCAAAGCACATTCTTGGAGAACTAATCCATCCTTCAACGGATATCGAGTAAAGATTAACGGACAGCCGTTGTTTTAAATCGCACAATCTTGCGTCACTTCTAAAACTTGACCTTTTCGAAAATATAAAATGACGGATTTTGAGTCAGCTAATAAAGCCGGTAAGATTTATGAAAGTATCGAGGTGAAAGATTACGGCTCTTTGAGTGAGTAAATCATAAAAAAACAGCTTTTTTAATACGGCGGTGTAAAAGGGAAAACAGAAGACATAAAATAGATGATTCTGAAGGAAAAAACTCGCACTTGGGAGAGAAAATCAAAATGGGAATCATAAGCGATTTTTTCGAAGGAGCCTCCCAATTCGTCCAGTCCGAGGTTTTCGGAACTGTTGTTGTCGTTGCTGGGTGTGCTCTTGGCGCGTAAGAGATAAAATTAGCCATCAGATTTCTTAATTAAAATTATAAAAGGTACACGATTTACATAGTCGGCGGCGTCGTTATCGCAGCCATAGAGAGTATGACCGCAGCAGGCTGTATCGAGTTCCTGTTTCAGGCGGGAATCATCACTCTTCAAGTCAAAAAGAGCACTTGTCCTTAGATAAACTTTGGTAGGTCAATAGTATGTTCAGTTTTCCACGATTCCGATCTTCATCATCAATCATGATCTGCATGTTTCAAATAAATAAATCAAGTCTCATTAGCGCAAAAATGTTGTAAATGTTTATTCTCTGAAATTGAGGAAGAAATGTTAATCCTCTCGTCTAATTATCGTGGAAACATTACATTCAGTGGGCACTCTGCTCAGCCATTAATCGCATTCGCAACAAATGTGCATCACGTTGTTCTCCCTGATTTGTTTGCAAAAAGCAATTAAGCCTTTTTCAGTTCTTCGGAACACATGTTTTTTTCCTATTTGAAATGAAACGAACTTGGCTTGTGTTTATTGACAACAAGGGGGGTTTGTTATGTTCAAGTTTGCCCCAAAAAGCATTATGCAACAACAATTATAATTGGACATCAATTTGATTAGTAAGAGCTTATCTTTGAAGCTTGCTCAATCAAAAATTCCCTCTTCATTGTTTATTTTCTATTTTCCATAAATACCGTATTCCGTTGAAATAAAAACGCTCTAGATGCAATCCTTGATATTAAACAAATTGGTATTATCAAATTCCTTGTCCAGGAAAATCTAGACTGAGTCTATATTTTTATGCCAAAAACATATTTATCAAACTAATAAAATTGCTTGTTGCATGATTTTCCAAAGAATCTTTTTATTGACGATACTTGTTTCAATATGAATTCGCAAGGTGATAATTGCTATTACATTTTGGCATGGGAAAGAAGATGAAGAAGAGGCTTCATTAGAAACGTTAGATTTGGTGAGCACTGAAGATTTGAGTGTTGCACGAAAGTATGTGTTTCTAAATTCCGCGTTGCTTCTTGACATAGGAGGCGACTTCCCCGCTCTTCGCTTTAGAAAAATCCTAGCGCGCCGTCGACAAAGTGGCGTGAACCGTGTTCAGGTGAACTCGACTTCCGCCGCGTATGCAACACAACAACCGGCAAATAACTACCGAAAGCGCACAAACAATGCAGCTTCTAATTCCACCACGAGCGATGCAAACTTCTTTCCCGCGAAACTTTTTACGTTCTTTCTCTGAAAAAAAACGAGTCGAATCACAGGCAATTCTTCTTAATCGCTTTAGTGGTCCCCAAACCGCTCAATTTAGGCGTTATTTATCACGAAAAGCTTTACTGGCGATTATGACACCGCGTAAATGATACGTTGCCGTGTTTTGCAAATTCAGCCAACAGCGGTCGAATTTTAGAAAAAAAATATTTTACTGAAGACTTTCAATAAGCCGGGACCTGGGTTCAGCAACCTGTGAAGTAAACCTGAGTCAGGTTCTGAAAAGCTTAAATAAATAGCCCCGCAGCGGCTTTTTTTTAAAGAAGCCACAAAGCGGCTTTTCATTTCAGTTCTTTCAGACCCTGACTCAGGTTTTCTACACAGGTTACCGAGCCAAGCTAATTGAAATCTAGTCTATAGTAATTTGTAGAGCGCGAATTCCGAAGATACAGTAGCAAGTAAGGGTGTCCAAATATTTCAAAATGATGGAATGTCTTCGTCCTGTCAATTTACGTCGGAACTTGCGTAACCGTGAAAAAGCGGCATATTACGTTTTTATTAAAAATATTCTCGTTACTCGATGATTGCGCGTATTTACGAGAATGAGGAGGCTAATGAGGGTGATTTCGAATTAAACTCGCTGCGGCCTCTCAAATCGGATCCAAGTTATTTGGAAGGCGTTGGAAGGGTAACGCCGGAGATAAATAAACTCTTTCGCTCGAATTTACACGTTTTGCGGAAAACAAGAGTTTTTATCTATTTTTGTCAATAAAAGCCAAGCAGGTTCAGAAAGGAACAAGGAGCAATCACCTTGTTATTGATAAAAATATCAAAATTGAGTGAATACGGGATCCAAGAATAGCAATTTGGATAATCATTTTATCCTATTATTAACAAACGAATATGTATTGTCGAAAATTGGTTTCTGAAGTGAATTAGTTTGATATGTTTCTTTATGAACAATGTGGTACCTCCTACTTACTACCAGTTTTTTCTCGTAAATCAGCATTTTTTTCCAGAGAAAGCGGATTTTATAAAAGTTTTCTTAAAAAGCGCTAAGACGTCCTTTCTTGGAGAAGCTTCATAAATCTGTTTATACATTCGACTGTCAACATCTTTCAAACTCATCTCTTTTTCTTATGTCACTCATTTCTAAATTTTGCTTGACAAGAGGGCCATCTTCTAAGCCTCCTGATTCTAGGATGTTTTCTTTCGTGCTTAATAATCATAATTCGCTGTTTCCAGAAAAGAGGGGACTTTTGCCAGCTGCGCAGGGATTTTCAGAGTCGAGTAGCCGACACTTGGCAGCGACAAAACTCCGTCATTTTTCGAGAAAGCGCACTTGCCCGATCAAAAGACGGTTTTTGGAGGAGTTAATTGAAAGCTCCAGGAAAACATGCTCTGCCAGTAGGTCACTCGCGGCCGCCTCCCACTTGGTATTACTTAGTGAGAAGGAACAGTGTAATTAAAAGCTACGTAAACGCAATGGCTGCAAGTGCTAATTCCCAAATTCAAAATCATCTAAGTGTGCGAAGAGACTTTAGCGCTACGGGCTTACTACCCTATTGTGGTTGATTTTTGCCACTTCGATTTTCCGGAAGTCAAGGGAACGAAAAAAAGGAAAGGGATGAGAACCTTAGAGATCAAAATGGAGAAGAAGGAAGTTTACACACAGACCAGATTGGTATTAAATTGATTTTTTTTTGATTTTTTTTGTGTCAAAAAATCTGATTTTCAAAATTTTAGTTTTTGTCTTTTAGAAAAAAGTTTTAGGAGATGATCCGGGTAGATAGGGACGTAGCGAGTTACTCAAGAGATAAGATAAAAGTTGTTTGTGGCAGAGTTTGACAAGGTCATCCTTGAAAAGAAAAGATGTCAGCCGATACGTTTTCCGACTATCTTCCCGTTGACATGGACGCCGATCAGCAGCCAGTGGAAATTTCCAATTCTTTTGGGCAACGTTGAAAATCAAGAGATTCAAAAAGAGAATTGTCGAACAAGCTCTTTTTTCAACGATAAAAGCGACACTACTGTGCTTCAGTTCGGCGTAATGCTGCTCATCTTTGGTTTCTGCTTCCTCCTCGGCTGGATGCATTACGGCATGTTCAGAAAATCAATCCCTTTTTAAATAGAATCCTAGAATTGATCCCGCGCGCGGGCGTTGGGCTTAAAAAGATTTAAAATTTTCCAAAATCAAGTGGCAGCTTTCTCTTTGGTTGATTAAAGCACTTGGTTGTGCAACCGCCAGCCGGGCATTTTTTGGGACGAAAGAGACAACCAGTTCTGATAAGCCAAGTGCTGCTTAATTGGCAATTGCAGTAATCATGAAAAGGACCGCGATTAAAAAATGGTGGGTGAAAAAAATGTTCATCTGTTCTTTGTCACCCTTGTGGCTTTTAGAATCACCACAAAGTATGGCTCATAATTTTCTCAAGATTGAGGACTTACCTGTTTCTTGAATGATAAATACTTAAGGACCCCCCGTCAACGAATTTTCGAAAAATCTTTTTCGGAATTTCAAAATTTTTTTAGGAAAATCGTTGACGGGGGGGTCTTTAAATCAAAAACTCACGTTTTAAATAATGTGATTAATATATTTTATTGATGCCGCTGAGTTATTAGAAATGGGATAATAGTTAGCGAAGGTGATTTGGGATAAACTTACGTTAAAATTTTATCAAGCGATGTAAATTAAAGGAAATCTGATTTTCCGAGACCGCAGCGCTGATGTGGAACTGTTTGGGGTTTATTTTTATCGGAAGGGCGGTTTTTTGGCGCAACAAGGAAATTCATTCTTTCAATAGTAGCTACTTCTATTCCCGTTCAATTTTCCAGTATCATTAACTACCAAAGCTAATTCAAATATCAATAGAGGATGTTATCATAATAGTTGAGTATTTTTGGAACAAGCTTGTTTTTACTCGGATCTGTTTTAAGTGGATGTTAGTAGTTCTAGTTTCAATTGCAAATCTTTACTACTTACTGAGGTTACTTCCTATCGAGGGGGAAAATTTCTGAACTTTATCGCAGCGACCAAGTTCCAGAAGAACATCATCGCTGGTTACGATTTCAACAGAAAATGGTAAGCCCAATTGAGATTCTTGATTAAATAATTCTGGCCGTGTTAGAGCGTTTTTCTTAACGTAATTATTCCACAAGCTATTTAAGCACGTGTACCAGCCCTAGCATGTGAATTGAATTTCGAGCAACTACGGGAGATTTCAGAATTCAGAATTTCTTCGCAGAAGCAGATCAGAAACAAAACTTAATTAAACCGATTAATTCTTACAAGCCTTTTTGCGAGAAAAGGCGTCATAACTCCGCTTCTGATTCAAAGCGCGAAATCATTAACTGACCGCGCGAAAATCCGGATTTTCAAACGGGAGCAAAATAGGACCGTGTTTTAGGAAAATTGGACTTCCTCAGGAAAAGAATATTGCTTGCATAATTTTTATTATAATTATTTTTTTGCGCTTATATCTTGACCTGGCAACCTTAGGAAAAAACCTGAGTCAGGGTTCTGAACAATGAGCAATTTTTTAAGCTTTTTTTTTAAAGACTATTTGATAACGAGACTGCTTTAGTTTAACGAGCTTATAAAAAAGGCTTAATTAAAATTTTATTGTTTTCTACACAGGTCTTTAAGGCTACGCTTATGCTAAATCGAAAAACAATATTAATCGAAAAAATTGATAGAAAATAAGCTGAGATTTTGGTACTCAAATAATTCCCTGAAATATTAATTTCCAAGAGTCCAAATAAAAACAAATCGAATTTGAAAATTAGGGTAACGAAGTAGAGGTTTAACTCACTCGTCAGAAAACGAGAAAGACGAGTATGTTCTGATTAACCTCACATGATCCTTTCAGTGATAATGGATTACTTGGACGCTGAGTCAATTAATTAATATTACATTGATTAATGATGCGCGTTCCTCCGTAGTTATTATTTCACAAAATAACCAG